AACTTATATTACAATTCACCAGGCAAATGCACGACGCGAGAATGAAAGAAAACTTTGTAGGGCCATGTTGCAGGTCACAATTGTGTTAGCTGTGACAGCAATACCTCCCACCATCATGCCAATCTTTCATAAAACGATCAGCGTAGATGTTTGCATCATAACAAGAGTTCTCACGTTACTGAATCAAGTAACAAACCCTTTCATTTACTCAAATATCAGCGAGGACTTCCTGAGATTTCTTCCTTGCTTTAAATCTTCATGCCTGGAGAGAAATCACTCTGTCGACACCGCGCAAAATTTACCGCTTGGGGACGTTACGCCTTACGTGACTGCTTCAAGCGCGCAAGAATTCCCTGTTAGCCTTGATACAAACGCTTTAGAAGGGGAGACAGCAAACCCTGAATTAATCAGCAGTAACAATACTACTGCCATGCGTGAACATCAAGTTAGGACACAGTCTCAAAATTCGCGAGTCCACTCTAATACGCCAGTTAGAAGTAGGGACAGCGATGCTCCATCCACAAGTCATGCGCGGTTTCTTGTTTCGTCGGGACGTTTCCTAAGAGGACAGGATTTGCCAACTGTTGATATCTAATTTGATACAGGACAGAAGAAATTCTCCCATATTTCATGTAGTCAAACAAGAGTGAGCGAGCACTGGGTACCAAATTAAACATAGTCGCTGATTAGTAAAGACATGAGAAAATAAGGCATATACTCTCTTGGTGATAAGAAGTGGATTCATGGTGTAAATAACATGATCAGGGATTTTTCATTCAGTCAACCATAACGTACGTTGATTGTTATAAAATCAACGTTAACTATAGAGATCTTACGAAGAATTTTTATTCACGTTATTAGCCGCATTTCAACACAGCGGTCAAACATTGGGCATGCGCGAGGGGACCAATTGTGGCCGGCCGCGCGCCAATTTCCCGCGCAAAATCTAAAAGGGAAAACATCAGAGCCAACTGCTGTCTCGTAAAATTGAAACGCTCAAAGAAATCTGTAAAAGGAAAAAAAATTAGGAAAAGGAAAACTCGAGACTTTTCTCCTCAAGTCACCCCATACTTATCGCCAACTTAACGCGTCACGGTTGAGTCCAGTTGAAATGGCCACTTACATAACGAAGGGAAGGCAGATCCTTTCTTGTTCAGCGAGGTCGTTCAGCGATAAACTAGTGGTGATTTAGTCATCCGCTGACTAGCTCCGCTGACTAAGCTCATTTAGTTAGTTTAGGCGGACGACCAGAGACTGGGGCCATTCCTGTATTTCACTGATGACAGGAATGGTTCCGAGTCATGCATTTATGAATTTTTTTTCGTTTTGGCTAAATAATTTACCGTATTCACCCGTGTATAATACGCGCCCATATATAATACGCACCCCGATTTTTGACCAAATTTTTCGTAAAAAAAAGTTTTCACAGCAAAAAAAACGTTAATTCTCCCTACAACTGACGTTTCGCAGTGGTAAGTTTCGTTACCATTTCGAATTTCTTATCGCTTGTGATTACAGTAATACGGTACGATCGTAATGTTTATCTCGTCAGCTGTTTCTTAAATGCTCTACTAAATTTATTTATGGATCGAAACTGAAAATGTTTCATTGGTAGATTATTTAACTCAAGCCAATAAAGACCAATTACTACGAGGCTTTCTTTAATTTCTTTGTTGTGTTTGTGGATCGAAATTGAAAATGTTTCATCGGTAGATTATTTAACTCAAGCTAATAAAGACCAGTTACTACTAGGCTTTTGTTACTTTCTTTGTTGTGTTTTTAACGTATGCAAATTAGGACGTGCTTGAAAAACAATCAAAACCGTGTGTAATACGCACCGCAATTTTGACGGTTATTTTTATAGAAAAAAAGTGCATATTATACACGGGTAAATAAATGAGATAAAAACTGAAAGAGCATTTTGAACTCTACAATGCTTGTAAATGATGCCCTCTTATATTCATAGAGGGTCATGTAGTTTCTAACTGCACGTCACATTTGGAAAATCACGTCATGTTGCGTGACGCTGCGATCTAAGTTACAGTATGAATAAAGAGGTAAGTTTCTAAAGAAACTGTGGTGCTGCGTCGGTGGGAGAGTATAGCAGGTAATTAAGTGTCAACAACTGAGTTGAAAACGTAAATTGGCCACCTTAAAGAGTAAGAAAGCTGACGTTAGAAAGATCCCCAAGATAAATTTCCATTGTCTTGTACCTATAGCCGGTAGGATCTCAGGACGCTTAGAAAATACTACCCGGCTAGAGGTACAGCTTGCATACTTAGTCAACTTTGCTCAACTGTACATGTTACCACGATTTACTTGACATTTTACTCTTTCTGCACTCCAAATTAGTCTTAGATTCCTCTGAATCACTTTTGTTCCAAGAACACGTACACATTTATTTATTTTTATTTGGTCTTGTACCTCTAGCGGGTAGGATGTGAGGGGGCTTATAAAATACTACTGGCTGGAGGTACAGCTTGCATACTTAGTCGACTTTGCCCAATTTTTATGATGGTTTGCTCCACATTTGACTTTTCTGCACTCCAAATTAGTCTTACACTCTTGGAATCACTTTTTACAAAAGAAAATTTACATTTACTTTTTTTCATTTGGTCTCGTACCTTTAGCTGGTAAGATCTTAACCCTTTAACTCCCATGAGTGACCAAAACAGAATTTCTTCTTACAATATCAGTACAATATCAACCAGATAAGTGATGAGAATAGAGAAAAATATCAATTAGGGGATGATTAGTCGATCCAATACTAAATTCTCTGAACTAACATTTTAAGAATTGTATGTTTGACAGTAAGGAGAATTACAAATTTGATCTGGGAGTTAAACATTTAAGAGGCATAGAAAACACTACTGGCTAGAGGTACAGCTTGCGTATTTAATTGACTTTGGCCAATTTTTATTACAGTTTGCGTTGAATTTTACTTTTTGGCACTCCATTTTCACCACATTAGAGGCACTTTTTTCGTGAATATCTTCTTGTTTCTTGGTCGTGTATTTCTAGTTGGTAGGATCTTAGCTGGCTCAGAAAATACCATAGGCTAGAGGTACTTCATGCATTTAAGGTGAATTTAGCTCATTTCATGTACTTCTCGATTTATGGTCAAATCTTTCTACATTCCATGTTAGTCTTGTACTGTTGTGGAGTCACTCCATAGGTATATTTTCATGCTTTGCACTCTTGTTCATCTGGCTAGTAGGAGCTGCTTGGATTACTCAGAAAACACTACCAGCCAGAGGGGTAGCTTATGTATGTGAAGTAAGCTTGAAATCATTAACAGCGTTATGTTTTAAATGAATTTCAAGGTATTAAATTTTAAACTAGCCTGATTTTTATTTTCTTCAGTTGTGGATTTATTACGATATAAATATAACCGGTTTTAGATGAGTTTGACTTGAAATTCATTTTTCCCTGAGAGACCGCTCAGATGCCCTACTCTACGCATGCGCTTAAGTATTCCATTCTTTGAACAATAAGGTTAGCAATGACATGTCCAGAAATAACAATTTGATACCTTACCATCCCTGCCCTTATGTTATCTTTTGGTTGGGCTTTCCCATAACACGTTGCGAACCTATTCACTTCCGCTTTTCACTGGTGTGGAAACGAATTTGCATGTTTGACGACGCGTAAGAACCACAGACTGTAGTTCGATGTAGTTCGAAGGAAAAAACTCTTAAGGTAAGACGCTTAATTTCACATTTCCTCCAACTCCTCGTTTAAAGTTTTACTGAAGATCTGTTGAAGTCATGATAGCTTTTGTGGTTGAGAAATCTGTCGAATGAGCGCAATTTAAGTGAGTGACGTGTGTGAACCAGCTCGCAAATGGAAATCGGAGAGATTTTCATTAGTTTCGACTCTCTAAGAAATGTCGTTTGCGATACTTGAAGGATGATTGACTAGCAAATCAGCTAAATCAGAATATTACTAGTATTTTGAGCCTCGTTCGGTTCCTGTTCGGTTAAGATTGAGGTTGAAGTTGATCAATCAATTCCTCCATAGAGAATGATTAGAGCGGCCAGCATGTCGTTATTTTATTATCATTACCCCGCTCCAGCAAATAGATAATATTCTTTGTTTTTGTTGAGTGATGCATCATATATTGTTACCTCGGGAGAGAATGATAATATGAAATTTTTGTATCTACTCCCGTAAATCAAAGGAAGTAAACGAAAAGTGGGTGACTATCAACTATGTCAATCGTGACTGCTAAGTGTTTTCTTTCTTGTGTCACGCAATGAACTACACATTCTAGCGCGCCTAGTTTCCCTTCTTTGAGGAAACATACTTCAATTCTCTTGTAACTGAAAAGTGTATTCAAGTCCTTAAATAGAGTCTTTTGATAATCATGTAAACCGAGAACCTATCTAGCTGTATTCATGCTAAACTTCCCAAATTTTTGTTTATTTACTTTTGTTAGAAAATGAATAAAAAGTAAATGGAAATCAGGCTTCACAGTCATTTTCGTATTTAAGTTTTTCTAAGCGCTGTCATAAACTGAAAAGCTTGAAAAATAAAAGGATTATAAACTTTTTGCGTGAACAATCCTTAAATATGATTTAGAAATCACATTTAAGGATTGTTCACGCAAAATAGGGATGCAGGTCTCGAGATTTCAAGTCACTCGTTCGACCCTATATATGTCGCTTTTGCTAAAGGGGCTAAGATCAGATTATTTCAGGTATTTCTGTAGAATTTCTCTTCTTATAAAGGCTTGAGAAAAACACATCTAAGTTGTTGAACACCAATTCCTTACCAGCATAATCATATCCACATAACGTGGAATGAAAATTTCTAAGTATTGTTGAAAGCAATCCGTTTTGATCCTCTCCTCTAAAATCATCCATCCATCCTGTATATAAGCATAGACGTTTTATATTGGCCATATATGGCTTTTGTGAGATTAACCGTTCACTCCGTTGATCTATTTCACAGTTTGGGTTGCAGTAACTGATCCTGAATTAGTTTTTTCTTATTTAAAAATGGCTGCCGCTCTAGACCCAGATGAGGTGCTTCGTTCTTCGAAAGGGAGAGATAATTTTCAACATCTTGCTCGGCTTTTGATAAGTGGAGGTACTGTGCTATTGAGGGAGGTTTTTGACATCAAATGTCCACCAAGTAATCTTCCTACAACACTTCAGAATCCAGCCACAAAAAAAAGGCTACTTAAGGCAGCAAAGCTCACCAAACCACAATTGGACTGCCTGTACCCTTCACCAGGGATGTATGGAAAGTCAACAGACTTTGATATAACTCTCCTTTTCCGGTTGCTGAGGACAATATGCCGCCTCACCCCTCCTGTCACGGGCTGGGATGCGCTACCGGGAAGTACAGATGACAGTTTAGAAGCAGATTTAGCTAGAATCAAATATTATCGCAATTCGCTATATGGTCATGTGAACGAGAACATGGAAATCTCAGATTATGAGTTTTCAGTTCATTGGAGAGAAATCAGCGAGGCTCTGATGAGAATTTCGGGTCAAATCAGCACAGCAAAAGCGAAACAATGGAAGAATGCTATTGATAAATTTTTAAAAGATCCCCTTACAGAGGAAGCCAAGAGACATGAGCAGGAATTGCAGCGCTGGTACCAGAGTGATACAGAAGTAAAGGAATACTTGGAAAAGGTAGAATCTTCAGTGAAGAATTTGGAGAAAGAGGTTCGAGAACAAGCCCAGGATATTAAAGATGAGCTCGGAGGGAAAGTAGAATCTGCAACCCAAGAAGTGCAGCGCTTAGGACAAGACATCAAAGATGAGCTCGGAGGGAAAGTAGAATCTACAGCCCAAGAAGTGCAGCGCTTAGGACAAGACATCAAAGATGAGCTCGGAGGGAAAGTAGAATCTACAGCCCAAGAAGTGCAGCGCATGAGGCAAGAGTTTCGAGATGAAGCTCAAGACATCAAAGATCTATTAAACCTGAGTGGCCGACCCAGTTCCTCAGCCGGAGGTCAGCTTGTTGATTTTTTTCTGTATCTCTTTTACCAGTAAAGTATTTTTCCTCTAACATATGCACTTAGGCATCGTATCAGGGTTACCTGTACGGTGAACATTGGGCATTTTGACCTAAATAGCTTCATATATTTTTGGAGCAGAGAAATGGCAATTATTAATCGTTACTCGGCTACAGCCGAACGACCACACATAGTAATTGCCTGTTTTTGCCTCTGTTGCAATTTATGACACTTTTTCCCCTTACAGTTAAAATTCGAATGCGGATTGATTGTGAGACCATCCCAGACTCTCATCCGCGACTTGAGACATCAGAGACGGTGGTTATAGCCAGTCAGGGTACCCAGGCTTGTGGCGACGAGCTGGTAGTTACTGGAACGTCAGAAGGAACGCCTGAAGGTACACAGGATAGCCTGGCAGGAAGGCACAAGATGGTAGTTACTGGAGTTAAGCGTAAGGCAGGGCAACCTGTTGCATCTGCTGGTCAACCACTCGCGGGAAGAACAGTAAGTGTCGAAGAAGCAGGTTTTGGAAGCGAAGTTATACCCAGCGCACAAGAAGTTATGAATTCAATCGCACACAAGTACTTCAGGGTAGTTGACCCATCTAACCCTGAGGAATTAAATGGCTTTGTACGGTTTTTATCAGATGTGCGCAAAGTTCTGATTCTGGATGTTCAATCAGGAAGTTTGATAGTAACAGTACTATGTAGTTCATTGAAGGTACTGGACGCCCTGTGGTATGACTACTGCACAGGTCACCTGAATGATATGGCACAGAAATATCTTGTGACAAAGGATGTTCTTAAGGAGTTTGACTTGACTGAGCTGAAACTGACAACAACTATTCAGGGGGAGGAGTACATTGCTGCACGAAAGTTTTTCCAGCAGGGTTCAGGTGAGCACATACAAAGTGTCTCGCAGAGCTGCCTTAAACCGAATAAATAGGGCATCGTCTTCGTTAATGCTTTAAAACACGTTAGCAGAGGTTCGCATGCTATGTTTTTTTTTGTGCCCCCTCAGACATGTTTATAAATTTGTTGTTACACCAGATCATTCAAGAAATTTAAGGATCAGATCTGATCATAGTTGAGCTCTCTCTATTTAATCGAGAGATTGGGATCTAAGACGGATGGAGGCGACGCTGAGACGACCTCACGACCTTTTGACATTTTTAGGAAACTGATCCAACTCCTTTATCTTGAGCCAGCCCAAAGTAGTAAATATCTTGTCAAGCCGATAGTTCAACAGAATGAACACATTTCTTTGAATAGCCGGCTGAGAAATGTATGGTCATCAGTTTGCAGAATTGTTCTCTCTAGAACTCTGTAAAAAGGGTAATTTTTGAGACCCGAGCACTCAATTTGGTTACCTGTCTCTCATACTGATGGACAGATTAGTACTGAGACAGCTTGAATGTATCTGTGATGAAGAAAGCTTACTATAATCAGTCGCTCAGCCAATTTATTAGCGCATTGGATGATGTTAGCTGCTCTATCATCTCTTATCTTGAACGAAGCTGATGTAATTTCTTTTCATATTTGCTTTCAGATCATGGTCCACTTGGTATGACAAGTAGCAGAAGTAACGCAATCGGCCAAGAATCGACATTCCATGAAAAGCTCCACGATATCGCACAAGGAACAATGGAAACAGGTTCAGTTGGCTCACCGGAGAGTCCACTTAAAAAAATTGAAGGAATTTCCCCGGATCAGCAAAGTCTGCTTTGTGCTGGTAAAGAACTAGAAGATGGAAATACTTTGAGTGACTACAATATTCATGGGGAATCGACCTCGCTCTTAGCTTTAAGACGTCGTGATCCCATGAAAATCTTTGTGAAAACAATGACTGAAAAGATTATAACTTTGGATGTGGAACCCTCAGACACCATAGCAAATGTGAAAACAAAAATCCAAGACGAAGAAGGAATCCCACCGGATCAGCAGCGTCTTATCTTTGCTGGTAAAGAACTAGAAGATGGCTGTACTGTGAGTGATTACAATATTACGAGAAGATGTACTTTACACTTAGTTTTACGAAATAGCAGTAGCTTGCAAATCTTTGTTAAGACTCTTACAAGCAATATTCTCACTATAGACGCGAAACCTTCAGATTCGATCAGGAATGTAAAACTGAAAATTCAGGACAAAGTGGGTATTCCACCAAGCCAGCAACATCTGATCTTTGGGAGGCAAGAACTCAAAGACCACCAAACGTTAGATGAATACAGAGTTATAGACAAATCAACTGTGCATTTGCGACTCGAGGACGAACTTGGAGGAGTCCTGATCACGGCGGAGACTCTGACTGGAACGAAGATATCTATAAATGCCTCGCCAAGTGATGATTTCGAGAGCTTGGAAAGAGAAATCTGTGATATAGCAGGGATTCTAAGCCTTAGCTTTGTTGGCCAGAAAGTCTTCGACGACCACCTTCCTCTGAGTGAGTATGACAATCAAGTTGAATTACCCTTGCAAATGGATGTTAAAAAAAAGAAGAATAAATTCCTACTTCATGTGAAGACACGATCTGGAAAGATGAAGATCACAACAGAGGCTGTATCGGGAGACACTATCCAGGATGTGAAAACAAAAATAACAGAAGAGATGGGAACACCAGCAAATCAGCTACAACTCATGTTTGACAACCAGAAACTTGAAGATGAACATCGCACTTTGAAAAGCTACAACATCACCAGAGACTCCACGATTGAACTAGTTATCGGAAGAAAGCATTTAGTCGAGATGCACACTCACGTATAGAAGCAGAACGGTATTAAAATCGTAAGAGGTGCATCACCGGAGGATAACATGAGAAATGTGAAAGAGAAAATATGACGGACATGACAAGGACACCGGTTAACGAGCAAGTAATCATTTTTTATTACAAAAGACTCAAAGGTGATAACACCTGAGCAATTTAGGACCATTAAGGCGTAGAACGTGAATCCACACTGTCTGTGATCACTGTATCTCTGTCACTGTTTCATATACTCTGTTGGTAACGACTGATCCCTCCTCCGTTCATCAGGCGGGAAATAACGACTGACCCCTTATCGCCGGTGTAATGAAGTCAATGAAAGGCTCTGCAAATGGGCGCCGTCTTCTATCCTAGTTTCCTTTTTCCACAAGATCACGACCTTATCCTGTTTTGATTGATTCAATTCGCTTCATTGTCAATGGCTTGTACAAGAATGTCTTTGAAATGACTCTGGTGATTTTCCGTGATCGTCAATCAGAATTAAACCATTAACGATACTACACCGCGCAAGTAACAATAAAATCGAAAAAGGAAATTTTCACCGTTTTTCAACTTCCACTTACTTCATGACTCGAACTGCAAACTCGGAGCAACTTTTGTGTCCCTTTAACTCAGTCAAATAGTATTTCATCTTATGACCACCTGGTGTTGCTGGAAAATTTCGGAAAAAAAAATTCAAAAAAAAGGTTCTACAATCACAACTTTTTCTTTATATTTTCAAGTCAGAACAAGTAATCACAATTATTGAAAAACGTGACTTATTTTCTAATTTCTGTTATCCCATAAGTTCCACGTAAACAAATCCTTTTATTTTTGTCAGAGTGCAGGGCCAGATGGTTTTATCCAGACTGGCTCTTGTCAATCCATCTTATTTTCTCATTTCTGTTATCCCTTAAGTTCCACATAAACAAATCTCTTTATTTTTGTTAGAGTGCAGGGCCGGATGGTTTTATCCAGACCGGCTCTTGTCAATCTGTCCTGCCCTACACAAGTCAGCTTTGATCATGGTTTTGCTATGGTATTACTTGTCCAAGGTGAGCATATCATATGACAAATAAGAATCCTACACAGTACAAATGCTAGTTTCACCTCTGATACCTGTCTGCCTGTCACTCATATCCAGGCCCCTTAGGCCAGACTACATCTGGGGAATGATGTTATCAATAGTCACTGTATTTGAGTTTAAAATCTTGTGGTGTACAGTCAGATTAAAAGAGAACTGTTTATCTAGCGTGTTTGGACCTGTTGTAATTCTCCTTGCCTAACATACCCTTTGTCGTCATACTTAAGGAACTAAAAGTGTAAATGCGTGACTTTTAATCTTGCGTGACATTCGTGTTACAGTTGGCCTTTGTGTCATTTGATTCCTTCAAATAGTTTTTCTCTCCCGCTTTCATTAATCGCCTGTTCATGTTCGGTGTTCATCTAAAGTTAATTTATAAAGTGTGATTTCAAGCCACCGGCGTATAGGGACTGATATGTAAGTTGTTTTCGCTTGTTTTGTTGTTTATCTCGTCTCGAGCAAGCTCTTTCGTCTTTATTTGTATATATATATATCTTGTGTTTGCCGTAGCTCTTGGTTCATTTATTAGTTCCTTTATTATGTTAGATTCATTTACGCTGTTAAGTCGCCACGTGTTTAATTGAATACAATCTATTATATAAGTCCCTTTTTTAATTCGCTTACAGTTTACGAGATTGATTAAAGTTATGTCCCTGTAACATATCCCCTGGATTTGGTTGGCATTTTTCTCCGGTCGCGATTTTCTAGGCACTTCATCGAGCCTTGATGTTCGTTTGCCGCAACAAAAAGGTTAAAAGACTAACCCTCTGAATCCTTGATCTAGGTATTTGTTCTCCACACTGTCTGTCATGTGTTAAAAAATTTAAGCTTTAGGAATTTGGTGATAAATCATTTAACACCCCTATGTTGATCATTTTTCCCTCTTCTCCTCACCTTTTTGCCTGAAAATGTAAAAATACTGTAAGGAAAATCATTTTTTGGGTCACTTATGGGAAAAAAAGGTGATGCCTCTTACAGCTTGCTAATAATTTGAGGCTTGTCAGCAAGATTTTTTTCTAATTGCCATATATTTTTCAAGTCATTTGAGACTAGAGCTTGCAGAGTATTTTCAATTGTCCCATCCTTTACTGATGAAACTAGTTGATACAGTAAGTCAGCTGGAATGCTAAAGTTCACATGAGGGAAGGTACAGGACATGTTTGCATCTTTCACATGACTTGTTATCATTCCTAACAGTTCCCCAGTCTCAGCAGACACCAGTGCCCCTCCACTTGTACCACAGTGAACTGCTGCAGTTGACTGAAGTAACACAGTCTGTTTCTGAACATGCCCAATGTTTGATATTACCCCAGAAACAACTGATGCTCCTGTGTTCAAGTGGCTTGCAAACAGTGGAAAACCAATTACAAGGACATCCTCGCCTTTCTTGTAACGATGTTTGGCAAAAGATTTTGGAGATTTTCTCCACTCAAGATCAGTCTCTAGTCTTGGTCTAAGAGGTCTTAACTGTTGATTCAGTTGCATTTTCAACAAAGCAAAATCTAAAGGGCATTCTTCTTGAGTGGCAAAGAGAACTTGTACTTTCTGATGAGCAATGTGGTCATAATTCCCAGATAGCTTGACTTTGTCCTTGTCCCTGAAACACTGTACAGTATTACTGCTTCCTGTCACAATAAGGGGGTTCTGACAATCTTTAACCACATGACTACAGGTTACGATGAGACCATCTTCACTATCAATTATAACACCTGAGCCCCATCTGTTACCACACTGAACCATTACAACACTTGAAAGAGCTATCTTTATTATGTCCTGAAGGTTAGAACTGTCTTGATCTACATGTATGACAGTTGAGTGGGTGCCTTTGTAAACAAGCATGTTATCTTCTGTAATGACATTCTGCTGAGACTGTATTTTGACCTGGAAGTCTAACACATTGGCTAGAATTTCCATTGACTTGAGTGGAATCAAAGATATGTTCCCCTTCAATAGTTGTGACAAGTTATGTATTATATACCACAGTGAACATGCTAAAGTTATTCCGATCCACTCGCCGTTCCGCCAACAAAACGGTGCAAGAACGATTCCATAAAGATCTCTGCCATTCAAGAATCCAGGTTTTTGGTTCAAAGTGTACAAAGCGCATCCTTCACAGCCTGGAATACAACGGGCATCAGTGATGATCATTTCATTGTTCTGTCCCAGGACATTAGACACGATCCCTTTAGAAACGCTGTTGTAGAAAACTTGGGGACATTCACACCCGAAAGGTGTGCCAATAACACACAAAGAGTCGCCTATTTTAGGGTTTTCAAGGCCACGCAGCGTTCTTAGATTAACCAAACTGTAAGATGAGCAGAAATTCTCAGGATTTTTCACTTTGATCAGAGCAAAATCTGATAGGGCGGTCTGATGCAGCTGGGACGTGTCGTTCCCATGTTCTTCATCTGAGGCTCCTTGAAAACATTTCTGATCATGACCAAATAGTTCGAATTTCCATTCTGATGTTGGAAAAATAAGTTCAGTAATTCTCTTAAGTCCGTAATCTCTCCAAAACAAGATAACGTAGCCTTCGAATGTTCTAAATTCTTCGTCTGTGTGACTTCGAAAGATAACCTCGACAGCGATTTCATCATTTGGTGACATTGAACTGACAAGGATGGGGGAATCCTCGGAAATTGTCCGCTGCCTTTCATTTTGATGCAAAGTATCACCAAATAAAGACGCAACTGTTAACAAAATACCGTTGTTACTGTCTAAAACGATACCACAACAGCTCCAGTCTGAATTACATCTCTTGATTATAACACACGGGACATCCGCCATGTTGGATGGATTAAGTAACCACGATTTTGTTGGAAAGCGGTCAACAGCGATGAGTTGATGCGCGCGAGTCGCTTCTCCACCTTGGCGCTGAATTTGACTTTTTGTTTTCAACCGTTGATAAGTTGATGATTAGAGATGGAAGCTTTAACATCGAGGGAGGACTCTGAAAACCGGTAAATTTTGCTTAAATTTAACAGGATATTCTAGAATTCATAATTTACTTTGCTTAGGTTTCCTTTTTGAGTTTACAAATACGTTGTTAATGTCAGAACTTCACATAAATAGCTCTGTTATATTTACCTTCGTTATACATTCAGTAAATCTGTTTTTTTTTCTTCGTTGTGTTTTTGAAAGGAAATATCATTTGGCTACCATTTAAATTTCTACAATCGAATTATGTTGCGACATGTGGTTCTTATGGGACATTTATTATCGACTAAGTAAGTGACTTAGTAGGAAAGTTGAGCAATCCATAACAAGTTTCATTGAAAGGAAAAAAATCTTAGAAAATTAAATACATTTGAATTTCCATTTGCAGGATCACCATTGGTGGTAAACGAAAATCTTCGAGCCGCCGATCTTCGGTGAGAAAGTTCATTTGTGCAAACATTAGATCAAAATGTAGTTCGTTAAGATTTCCACACATTCCCCTACTATTGTAAAACAAAACCGTTTCCAAAGACAATCTATTGTTTTCGCTATGCATTGCTTTTTTTTGTCAATTTAATAACTGTATGCATAATGAAGTGTGGGGCTGTACAGAAATCTTACCTTGGTTTCTTCTTTTTTGAAGTACAAATTACTGCTCTAAGCTGTTCTGATCTGCTAGCTTATAGTTATAAACACTATGATTCACTGTTGTTTATCCAGGTTTCTGGTGACAATGAGCATCGTAACATTTTTTAAAAATTAACTTTGAGAAAACAACAAGCTAACACAATCTGATGAGAACCAAGCAAGCTTACAGTTGGCAAGAGCCTTTAATGCTAATCTTAGCTTTAATGCCAGTCTCAGTTAGATGATCTTACATGTAGTGGCTTACATGGTGGATAAAGCAATCCTCTAGAATCATTGCAATCCCCCTCCCCCTTAAAAAAAAAATAGTAAACTTACTAAGGGTAAATGTATCTACTGGATGGTGATTACTTCCCACACTCCAAATGATTATAACGATTAGCAAAACTTGCCTTACAAAAAGAAATCACTTGTACACCTCTTCACATAAAAACGCTTCTCGAATAAAGTGCCCTGGGGCAGGAGAGGAACTCCCACTTTGGAAGAAATATTTGCCACTGAATCTTGGTTTATTTCAATTAATTTTTTTTCTAATGATAATCCTGTGGAGATTTTTCCACATAACTTTTTCATGTATCATGCATAATTAGATTTTGAAGGCCACAAAATCTCCATTAAAAGCTGGTGTTTTAGAGGATTTGGATCCTAATTCATTGGATGATAATGGAAGGTGAGAACACATTGGCTAATTGGTAGAATTTTCTGATCAGCAATGCAGGCTTTGGTCACAAGAAGAAAGAAAGAAGTTTGTACAAACAAAGTTTGCTGGCCAAGAGCACCTCCATCTTTTAACACATTCTGCATACATGATTTCTGTTCCTCCCTTTCAATGTGGGTGCAGAATTTGATAAACAGTTGAATCCACATTCAGTGATCAGCCATGGAGAATGGTGGGGCAACTGCTAAATACAGCCTCCACAAAATAGGGGTCAAATTTAATCACAAAAATCATTTGTCAGTATCATTTTTAAGGTGACAACTGCTTGTGCAGATGGCTGTAACATTAGGCAATTCTTGGTTGGTCTTATTGGTTAATAATTATTTTTTTTTACTCTTACAGAAACACATCCAAAAAGTCTAGGAGATCCTCTGGAAGGAGAGTTAGCTTTGCAGAGAAGAACGACATCAAGTAAGTTATTTTTTGTTATTTTACACTGTACCTGAGGTAATTTAATAGAACTTGTTTAACTTGAACCACCAAGAGTAATGGAAAAATGTTAAAAGAGAGTTTTAATTACAATTTTGCTAAGAACATCTAGTAACTGGTCAATGAGAAATGTTCTTTTAAGGAATTGACCATAACTCTTAACCCTTTAACTCTCAAGATCTGATTGCAAGTTCTTACCTCAAGCTGTTACACATTTCCTTGTAAATTAGTTACAAGGATTTGGTGGTAGTTCAAAATAACATTTTCTACCTGATAAGTTTAATTTGTATTCTCATGACCCGTTTGCTGGATAATGTATGGCAATTATAGAGAGAAGTTACATGTTAATCACCCCTGGGAGTTAAAGGGTTAAGTCTGTAAGAGGTTTGACTTAATCAAGTCAGATTTAGCAGGGTTGTTTTGCTTATTATTGTAACAAATTTGAAATCATGTCTTTCTCTGTGAAGTTTATTTCACATAATCCTGTTTAATTAATTAATTATACAAAAAAAATATGTACTTTCATTTTGCAGAGAATTTTTTGTAGAAGACTGGAAGAATTCATGGCCCAAGGATCAAGAAAATAGTAGGTTTTTGAAACTAATGATTAAAAAATATATAAAGATTTTACCAAATGTGTATTCAGCACTGCGATTCATCATCTGATTAGTTTTTAGGAGTTAAATACCTAAATTGATTCCCTGATAAACTATTTTACAGGTGATCTTTTGGAGTTAAGCACTTCTTCTCAAGGGTAAGAGAGCTACATATATTGTTAATTTTTGCATTAGAAAAAATATGATTAAGTCTCAAGTCAGAAGAAAAAAAGAGACAGTGCTTTATGTAAGTTGCTCAAATGAATGAAACATTTTACAGGAATGTCTTTTTTATGTAATGATATGTTTTAAATTTTATCTTATGGCTGATGTCTATCTTCCCTTGTTTATTACTGACAGCGAATACCGGGAACCAGCTAATTCCATTGAAGGTGAATATTTACATGAATACTTTACACCATAACTTCATTATGTATATTCTGTTTTGTTCTCTGTATATTTCCTAAGGTAATGATGAAGAGAATTTGTTTAACAGTCAAGAGCTCCTTTTGTTCGTGATCATTTCCTTTATTCTTGTGATGTTGATGTGTGATTCAGGACTGATACTGTAAGGAGAAAGTAGATGCTAATCATTTGTAGGGGTCAAAGGGTTGACGAAAAAGAAATATAAGCCAATCTTCAAGTTCATTATGATAAATCATTAACCCTTTAACTCCCAAGATCTCATTAGTAATTCTCCTTACTGTCTGCCATACGGTTCTCATGATGTTTGTTTGGAGAATTTGGTATTGGGTATTAACTTATACTCCCTTAATTTATATTTTTCTTTATTCTCATCACTTATCTGCTTGATATTGTATTGATATTGTAAGGAGAAATTCTGTCTGTTTACACTCATGGGAGGTAAAGGGTTAAACTGTACTTTTATTTTACCTCTTACTTTTTAGGTCTTGAATCCTTGTTAAAGGGCAATATTCAAGCACCAGATGATTTCAGTGTTTGCCAAGTGGAAATTGAGGTGAGTTTTGTGAAAGAAATTGCTTCAGAGGATTTTAAAAAGGCTCATCTCTTACCTCTGTTATATCTGAAGCACAAATTCGTGGTCACTGAACATGCAGAATTAGTCTTTTTCAAGAGCAATGTTCAATATTTTGCATCCATCTAGTTTTTGTACTGTATGCTTCATCAAATGACAAAAGAGAGAGAAAGTGTACTGACCAGTCTTCTTGCAACTCATTAACAAGTATTGGTCATAAGTATTAGATAGTATAATTTAAAAAGAAATTTGTATTAAATGAATTCCCTGCTAACAAAGGCTCAGTGTATATTTATAATTATATTTATGGTGTAACTGTCAGCTTCAATGCTTATGTCTAAGATACACATACTTACACTGTATTATTAATTGTTGTCCTGATAAACCTTAGGAGATCCCCGAACCTGTAACTCTAAAGCCAAGTGAACAGGCAGAGGAAATGGAGTATACCACATGCTACAGTTCAGTTTTGCAAAACAGTGCTACAAACATGGAGAATACAAAGATTTTCAGCCATGATACAGCCATTGATCTTGATATAACATGCTCACAAAAAGAATTATTTTACCAGGATGGTTTGAATAACCAGGTTATGTCACCTGCTGGTTTTCAGGAAAATGACAGAATGGACAGCACATCTTTCCTCTTGTCATTAGGATCAAAGCATGCACATACTCAAGGAATTAAAGTAAAGCATGACACTGCAATTTCGGCAACAAGAAGTAATGACGGCATTTCCAGCAGGAGGCAGCCTATAAGTGAGATCAGATCTGAGCAGGGTGGTTATGACAGTCAGAGTGGATCCCAGCAAAGTCCATGTTCAAATGCAGATGTAGAGCTCACAGCTTGTCACAGCTTTGTTGTTCTGGAGAGCAATTCACAGAAAACCAAACGGAGAAGCGTTTATGAACCTGCCGACCTTGAGCTTACATCGTGTTATGGCCAAGGACTGGCAAAATCATCAGACAATCAGGAGGTTGGTGTGCAAAAGAGACAGGCATTGGGGGTTAGAGCAGATCTAAATGCTTTTAGAAATAGTTTTGAGACAAATTTACCAGACAAGGCACAGCCTGTATGTGAAACCCAGCTCAATATAACAAACTGTTCCAGAGATAGTATGACATCAGGCAAGAAGACACTACTGTCGTTTGATAATCAAACAAATGTGGAGGAAGTACATGATGATGTCACAACAAAGGACTCCACAAATGACTTTTCCTTTGATAGCACAGTCTTTTTGAGCTCCCTTGGTGCAAGAAAAAGCCCTATTGCTTCAGGTGATACAGACAACAGAAATTTAGAAAGAAATCAAAATGAAAATCAGTCACCAGGAAGCACTGGTCACCTGGAGATGACACGCTGTTATGGTACAGGAATTTTGCAAAACACGAGGTTACCAGTGTTGATCACAGGTAGTAACCATACACTGGTTTTTAGTTCCGATACCGATGCACAGATTCCCTAGACCTGACTGTTTGTCAGACACAAAAACAACAGGCTGCTTCTGCTCCATTTCCACCTCTTTTGCAACAAAATTCTCAAAATGAGCAAAACTCGCCAAACAGATCTTCAAGTAAAATGAATTCTTCAGTTTTCTTAAGAGGGCTTGGTGAAGTGATGCCATCTGTTGGAGACACAAATGAAGAAGAATGTGATCTAGAGCTCACTACTTGCCACAGTCAACCAGTACTGGAAAACAGTGCACAGAACACAAGTCGGAGCAGTGTTACTGAGCTTTCAGACTTGGATGTCACTTCATGTCATGGCCCAGGGCTTCTACAATCTGTAGACAACTGTGATAGATTAGATGCGAATAAAAGGAAAGCAAACCAGCTTTGTCAGTCTGCAGATGTAGATGTCACAGTTTGCCATGGTCCAGGGTTGCTGAAGGCATCTGGTGAAAAGGTGGAGGAGAAAGAAAGTGAAAATCAGCTATCTGTAGACAGTGCTTCACAGGAGGTGAAGAGAAGAAGCCCATTTGAAGCTGCCTTACATGACATCCCACAGCAGTCCAGAACTGCTCATGTCATCTGGCAAAAACTTTGATGAAAGTGTAAGGTTTGACCAGTCTGGTGGAGACAGGAGTCATCAGATGATTAACAGAAAAAGTCTTTACGAACCTGTTGATGTAGATGTAACATCTTGCTATGGGGCTGGGCTGCTGAAGACATCAGATGAGAAATTGGAGGGTGTAGCTCCTCGTGATCAGTCTATTGTGGACAATAGTTCACGCAAAATTAGCAGAAAAGGTGTCTATGAGCCTGCTGATGTAGATGTAACATCCTGTTATGGAGCTGGGCTGCTAAAGGCAACAGATGAAAAACTGGATGCAATTGCTCCCTATATTCAGGCTGTTGAAGACAGTTGTTCGCGCAAAAGAAGCAGAAGAAGCATTTACGAACCTGCTGATGTAGATGTGACACTCTGCTTTGGAGCTGGGCTGCTGAAGACAACAGGTGAACGCGTGGATACATTGGCTCCTTATAATCAGCCTGTTGTGGGTAAAAGTTGTCAGAAAACAGACAGAAGAAGCATCTACGAACCAGAAGACATTGATATTACATCTTGCTATGATGCAGGGCGGCTGAAGTCAAATAGTGAAAAACTGGATGCGGAGGCTTCTGAAAATCAGCAAGTTGCAGACAACAGTTTGCAGAGAAACAAAAGAAAAAGTATCTATGAACCTACTGACATAGATGTAACATCTTGCTTTGGTCAGGGAGTGGTTCAGTCATCCAGCGCTACAGTCAGTTATAATCAGCTGCTTGTAGGGAGCAGTTCACACGGAATCAAACAAAGAAGCCACTACGAGCCTGTTGATGTGGACATGACATCTTGCTATGATTCAGGAATGTTAAAGAACTCTGGAGAAATTTTAAGAGGAAATTTCTGTGAAAGTAAACCAGCTCAGGGCACCAGTGCACTTCAACAGAAGAGAAGAAGCCTTTATGAGCCTACTGATGTAGATGTAACATCTTGCCATGGCTCAGGAATGGTTATCGCGTGTAAAGGAACTTCGGAGATAGCACAGTTACAACATCAGTCAGCTCCAGACATGGATGGGCCTAAACTTAACCGAAGAAGCTTCCACGAGCCTCTTGACATTGATTCCACCTCCTGTTATGATCAAGGAAAGGCTCTGGCTTCGGAAGAAGATTTGGAGGTGTCATTCTTCCATCAACAACCCTTACTAAATAATACTCTACACAAATCTAACAGAAGAGGTATCCATGAAACTAAAGACATGGACATAATTTCTTGCTATGATCCAGGAATGGCCCAGTCACCTGACGGAAATGTAGAGACCATTGTTTGCCAGCCTGTTCTAGATGATAGTATGCAGATGACAAACCAACAAAACCTGCACAAGACAGGAGACGTGAATGTGACTAGATGCCAAGATTCAGGGCCAGTCCACACTCTTGATAGTCAAGGTGTACACCTTACCGTCAGCAAAGAGCAACTGGACCCAGCGAGAAGTCCACAAAATACTTTCACCGGAGATAAAGACATTGCCGATGCAGTGGTGGAGAAAGAAAGAGATTTAAATCGTAGCAAGGGGGAAACATCTCAGACTTCAAGAGTTTCTCCCATTCCAAAAGCTTTTCTTGAGACAGATGCAGACGACAGTTTGAATATAAACGAAGAATCCGCCCTCTCTTCGCAACAGATGGCATTAAAGGCTAACTGTGGTGTGAGTGATTCAACTCCTGACAGGAAGCTGTCTGTCATTTGTGAGGAATCTCTGAGTGAACTCAGTAAAAAGGGAATGAGTGTAGAGGAGGACGCTGATGTCACAGAGATGGAGAAGATGCAACATTCACGGTAAGTTTGTCTGTTGAGTTGAATGCAGTGCGACTACTTTAAATGAGATGATTCGGTTTTATCAACTGAGTTTATAATGTAAATCGGCCACCGTACAGAGTTTCAAAGCTGACATTTCGAGCCGGCGTTATGTTTTCTTTGCACCTTTTTTTTTTTTTTGCAAAGTAGAATCAAGTTATTATCTCATGAAAATGTCAGGGTTTCTGCAGAAACTGAAATTGTTCAACAGGTGTAACAAATGCACTGGCTTTGCTGATATGTCGTTCAAAAGAGGAAAATTCCGGGTTTTTTTTGTGGAACACTTTTTTTTTAGTTAGAGAGTGCTCAGATCTTAAAGATGTGAAGAATTAGGATATGTTTTTAAGGCTATCAGTACTGAATTGCTGGATGATATCTTTGTTGGTATCTCTGTATCTAATTCTACGATTTATGAATTACTGAGGTCACATAATCCAATCACCTTAAGGAAAGAAAAAAAAAATGGATTTGGGCCAAGTGCTCGTCAACTGCAATTCTCTTAACGTCATGATTTTGCTCGTAACCGTCAATTTGAAAAACGAACACAATCGTTGAAAAAGAAGTCCAGAATGAGTCTAAAAATTTCTTCCGAAGACGTTTTTGCCGAACCCTGAATTGTGACAATTATGCGTCACTTTTTCATATTTTGTGATTTACCCAGAAGTAACTCAGGAATGTTATTTAATGGAAAAAATGACAATAGTGTTTTTTTTTTTGTTTTCAGAAGTGCCATTACCCTGAAGGAGTTCCTTGATATTATAGAAATCGCTTTTATTACAGAGGTCAACATGCGCCGCAGTGTTGTACCATCTGCTGTGGTGAGTTTAGTAACGATGTTGTGTAAAATTATATGACTGTTTAACAGTGAAAGTTTTTTCAATGATTCGGGAAATAACTTAATTTTGAGTAACACTCTCTGACATTTTGTGGACACTTACCGCCTCCCCTGCCCCTCTCAATGTTGATCTGCAAGATGGTTTAAAATATTGGCAGCTCAAAACGATGAGAAGAGGAGAGGGCAAAGGTACATCATAGACTCTGTCCTGGAGAAGTGTCCCAACTAATTATTTCTGGGAGTGTACTTGCTGGAAAATAAACGATAAAAATCGATTTTTAATTTATTTAAGAAATAAAAAGTTCATTATAGTGAACATTTTCATACGAATTGGCCATTCTATCATGGTTCGGCCGAATGAATATGTTTTACCCTTTAAACCCTAACATCTGTATCTAAATTCTCTATAATATTTTCTATACATTTCGTTTGTTTCTGACAAGGAGAATTTGTTTAACAATCAAATATTCCTAAGTTGGCGATCATTTCCTCAATTCTCATGATCGTAATGACTGACTCAGCAGCATTACTGTAAGGAGAAAGTCGTTGCTGGTCACTCCATTAATCTTTATCGCATTGCTGAGTAGTTAATTTTTACTTCGCTCTTTTTTTTCAGGTTGAGGCTCCTCAAACTCTCAAAGACAGGATGATATCAACACTAGTATCAAAACCAAAGGCTGTTTGCTACGAGGAGGCAATTCCAATCGTAGAATCGGAGATCACAGCGTGAGTATTAACACACTGCTTATACCAGTTAACAATGACGTTATGCTCTGTAAGTTTGCGTGGTAGCTATTAAACTTTCTGTGTGCCTCACTCTCAGAGTTCCGCGCGGCGTGCTCATATCAATTTTTCCCTCACCGATTTTCGTTGACGCGCGCGACGGTCTTCGCCGAAAAGGAGGAACTTCTCGGAGTTTACTGTCACGGAATTAACAGCGAGTAGCGTAGCCAAGCAGACTGCGCTATTCGTGGCAGTAGTCTAGTAGGTTTATGCTAGAACTGTATTTTATGGCATTGTGTTTTGTAGACATTTTTACAAAGATATCAATAATAGACATACCATAAATGGTGCAACAAATCGTGCGATCAAACGAATATTTTTAACATAAACATAATTTCTTTGATTGGTTGTGCTGATAGTATGAAAGGAAAAGTTGAACAGCAAGAGATGGAATTGAATGTGTCCAACCCCAGAATATTTATGGAAGTACAAACCGCAAGCAAAGAGGAGGTAAGCCGCCATAGAGCGCTTTACGATTGAGTGTCGTGAAACCCAAACCAAAGTCATCAGAGCGGTCAATTAGAAGAAAGCAAAATTTATTTGAAGAGCCAATGAGAACTCAAAGTAAAAACAAGCCAACTGCTTTAGCGCGGGAAAACGCGGGCAACCAAGTCGTGATTGGTTTCAGTTAGCATCTGATTGGTTGAATCACTCGTTATGGTCATGAGAATAGAGGAAATGATCACAAACAAAAGAAGCTTTTGATTGGTAACCAAGTTCTCCTTGTCAGCATCTTAGTAAATGTATATAGAGCAGTATGGAGAATATGTATACTGATATTAGGACGTAAAAGGTTAAATGCTGCACGATAAATTGACCATGTTATCCTGAGGCAAGTTTCCAACAAATTTTGGCTTGTATTTGGATTTTTTTCTGTACAAGGTACCTTGAAGTGGGACACTTTCGTGTATGTCAACATTTCGATAAGGTCCTTAAACTGTGGGGGTGCAAAACGAGCTCCTTCTGGGATCAATTTTTCAAGATCACATAAACAACAGGGACACTTGTTAGTCTGTTAACATTTCGTAAAGGTCCCTAAACTGTGGGGGTTCAAAACGAGCCATCTCTTTGATCACTTTTCTTGATCACACACAAAAAAGGTCCTTTGACCAGGTGTAAGAGGGTTATATGGAAATAAAATGTGCTATGGCTGGTCAGAATACAGCTTAAAGCAAAGCACTCTCGAAGTTTCGACACTCAAGTGAAAATCGTTCTGTTTATTTTTTTCCTTTTGTTACTTAGTTGTTAGCCCTGCAAAGTAAAGTTCGTCGCCTACGTTCTGTGTGCGAAAAAACTTCCAAACGAGAGTGGAAAGAGAACAAAGGCCAGCTGAACAAAAAAGTACTATTAAAAATGACGGTTAGTTTTATTGTTTTTAATTCTTTCATTTGATACAACCAATTAATTTCGTTTACAGGAGGCTCTCGGTCGGCAGAGGAAAAATTATCCTTGTTAGTTCCAGAGGAATGGGGAACAGTGTAGAGAATATACATACCAACGTTCGGGTGAAAAGAGTTACATGTAAAGCGAAAGCAAAATCAAATGGAGCACAAACCGAAAGTTTACAGCTTTTTTCTTCACTAAGAGTTTTCTGCACGGTTGTCTTTTTGTTCGGCAACTTTATGATTTCTTTGATTCAGATCGATGGAAGCAGTGAGGTATTGTTTGTACGTTCATTCACTTAAAAAAGTGCGATTTGTATTTTTGAAAAACATTTTCAGACGAATCACGCGGCTCTTGCAAAAGACGTGCTCGTTGTGGAAGAGTCCGTTAATATGGTTGATGATTGTCTCAGTTTACTTGACAAAAGTAAGTGAAGAGTGGTAGCTGTAACTCTCTGTCTTTTAACTTTCCCATTACACATCCATTCTACGAGACTTTTTCACAGGCCTATGTATATAAACCATAAACGTTTTCAGAGTTCGACATTTACACGTTATTACCGTCTGTCAAGTTTTCCTGTTTCATTGAGCCTGCATAGAATATAAGCAATCCCTCCTTTTCGGCAAAGTCTGTCGCGGTAATAAAAAAAAGGGGGTTGTTAGCCTACACTTCTGCATGGCGCGCTGACATATTTTTGTTTCGCTTGCACAACGGACTTCTCCAAAAGGAAGGGACTGCTCGTTGTCTAGAGCCTACACAACAGGCCTAATATTTTTAGGCGAGCGGAGGTTAAGCATGAGTCATTTGTTTTTTCTCGCATTACGCTTTCTCTTTGTGCTTACCATCGCTCGCCCGAAACTGCATAAAACCGCTCGTTTTCATTCTTTATTTCCGCTTCGGGGAGAGGAAATGACGCAATGGTTAGAGCACTTAAACTATTATTATCATTACTATTGTGATAGTTATCATTAGTAGTGTTCCATTGATTTATTTCTTTATGTTACCTTTTGACAGTGAACAGAGACTTTGATGAAAAAATGAAAAACATTCACATGTCACTCACAGAAAGCGAAAAGGTACCAAAAATCAAATGTCAGTAATAACTAATTTTTGCTATAAAAGCCTGAGGTGCTATAATTCAATGCGTAAACCTTAATTTCTTCCTATTTAAACCTAGGAAATTCAGAGACAAACAAACATGGTTGAAGAATTGGCGACTATGTCAGAGGCACTGAGAAAGAGCGAACAAGGTACAGCGAATGCTTCATATTTGGTGTCTTTCGAAGAGTTTAAAAGAGACAGTCGTGAGTTTTTTAATTTCGATGTAACGTTTCCATTCACAATGATGTTGACTTTCATCGTAGAACTCGCTGATCTGGAAAGTACAAGGTCTAAGCTACAGAGGTGAGATCTTATTTACAAGGGGTAAGCTGTCAAACAGGATAATGAACTTGTATCACTTCTTTCTTGCTATGGATCAGTACTCGACAATGACTTAGAAAAAAGGTTTTTTTACTGGTAGTTATGGTTCTGTAACGGTGATTTTCCACCGGAGTAACTCAGGAAGTAGCTTGCAAGCATACCCTCTTTATAAGCGCATCGACATGAGTGTTTCTTCGCCTGCGGGAAAGCACGAGGCATTGTGCAAAGCGAGTTGGTTAGAGGTCTGCAAGAGGACTGGCATCAATTGCTCGCACTGGTTACCAGCGCTGGCTACTAGTGCCAAATCTCTCCTCGACTCATCTCAAATCTTCACGCGGGCGGAGTAACGCGCTTCCTGCAGCGCTGATGACAATGGCCTGCTCGCAGGCCACTTGTGAAGCGTACTGGGTACTAGCCAATTTTTAGAGAAACCTGACAAATTGAAATGCCGACTGAAGGGTTTATGCTTCAAGGGACCAAGATGAGTTACTCAATTAAATACTGATTATGCAAACATTTTAATTCATTAATTTTAGCGAGAAACACGAGCTGGCAAAGAACAAGGACCAACTTGATGGAAAAATACTCGAGACGGAGGAAACTATTCGCTTGGTGAAACGAAAGGTTGGTTTCATTTATTTGGTCATATTGGTCTAAATATAACTCGAAGAAGCTGTCTTCTGTCCACTGAAATTTTATGTCGCGATCTGTGGCGTAGTGGAGCTTACTTCACCTCAGCCGATCAGAGCTAAGAAAAATATCAGAAAGAGCCCATGAGAACTCAAAGTACCAAGACGCAAACTGCCTGAAGCGCGAGAAAACGCGAGTGGCCAAGTCGTGATTAGTTATAGTTCTTATCTGATTGGTTGAGATGGTAGCGCGAGTTTTGTAGACCGGAAACAGTGTGAAATAAAGGAAGGGGTTTCGATGCTAAATTAAAAATTGCTCTACCGCCATTTGACATCCTTTTACAACTACGAGAATGGCATCTTTTTTCTCAACAGGACCCAAGGAGCAACAAACCAATAAGAGAATTGTCGCAGAAATTAGATATCCTCGTGAGGTATGTTTCGAAAAAATTTCTGGTTTGAATTGGTGATTGGATTTCCAAGCAAATTCTTCTCTACAAATGCTGTCCTCAAGACGTGACAACATTTGTGAGAGGGAAAGATGTCATTACGTAACATTTTACAAGATATTGGCTTCAATAAGAGTTCTCATCACTTTTCATATGACCCTTAGAGATATTCATTGACCGTTTTTCCACAGTATGGATGGCTTTGCATACTGGTGAACGAGAAGGAAGCACGGCGTAATTTGATTGCGTGACTCATTTCTTTGTCTAGCATGTAACGCAACTATGACATTGTTGATCAGTTTGCAGGAATGGTCCTTAGAGGAGTGGAATAAAGAGCGTGCTAAATTTGCGTTCTTGAACAACACGTTGGAAATTGTCGTGGTATTTGCTCCAGAAACCACAGGTCAGAGTGCGAAACTTTTATTATTATTTGCAATTTTGAATTTCTTCCAGAATCTTTAAGTCACCATTTTATGGAGGCTATTTGAAATGGTGTCTAGGAAGGTTTGAGGATGTGCAATTTAGTAATTATGACTTTCAAAGGTTTCTTGATTTTAATGTATGTGTTACCACTTTTCCCTTACCAATACAGAAGGTGTATTTCATCATCAGGATGTTAGGAGTGTTAAACTGAATTTCACTACAGCAGGTACTTGAAAAGGACTTTGATTACTAAGTTAATTTGTTCCTCAATGGAGGTATTAAGATACACCTGAAAGCAAAAAAATGTTGATACCAAGAATAATGAGACCCAAAGGCATCTGGTTATGCGTGCATGACAGCCACGGATATATTTCAGTATCTGCGCACTTGGGAAGGGCAAAGGCGAATATACTTTTTTAAATTTATTTTTTATGCTGCATTTTGTATTTATTCTACATGACACCAAAAATTTGCTCTAGGATGAGATATTACTTTTTAGGCAGTATTTATTTTTAAATCTAGTTTATCAGTCATACTGTCATGTGTTACCCCTCTAAATAAAGTTGTTACCTACTTAATCTTCTTGCCATGCAGATACTTTTACTGGAAGAATGGGAAAAGTCCAAACAATTGTGAAAAAATTGGTAAATGAGGACATTCTCAACCAGATGTACTCTTCAAGGAAGGATTTAGCCAAGGTACTCGCGATGGACTAGAATTTCATCGAGGGGAGGAGAGTAGTGATACTCCTAGCCGCCTCATGCGAGGGAAACCGGGAAAACTTCTAGCCAGACGGCTCCAATGCAAACTTTGCTTTACTAATTTTTGTTTGAATGGTTACACACGAGAGTCAGTTCATCTGCAGCCTGGAAAGTTTGAACCTGCTCATGCAGTTAATGAACGAAACTCTGTTTGGTAGCTTTTATTAAGAAGGTTGTGTTAAGTTATAGTGTGACAGTTATTAAGGTGATTAACTGTGGTGATAAGGAAAAATTTAGGAGAAAATTTATTTCTGATATCCATATATCTTTCATATTTTGATTTGCTTCCTATAGGTCTTGGAGCACGTGTCAGGGATAATTCATAAGTCGAACGAGATAGGAGATGAACTTTTTAGAATTGGTCTGTCACATCTTATGTCATTTGAAGAGGATAGGTAATGCAATTCTTTGTCAAAACAATTCGTCCTTTCGTCTGAGACCTCGTCTGAACTATCGAAAATTGTCATCTAACTTTAGGTTGGATGAACAAGCCAAAAGATGAAACCTTTCTTTACAACTGCGAATCAATTTGACTGCCACTTTAAAAAGCATCGGCCTGTATCTTAAGCGTAAACGATGTTTATCATGTCCACCAATCAACGTGCCAGTTTTTTTTTCAAACTTTCCAATCACAGTGAACTTGGTGACTAAGTGTCCGGTTATGAAAGGGAAATTGTGAAATACTTCAACCCATATTATAGTTGTTGTTGCATGCATTAAGAATGATTTGGTGCTGTCTTTACAGACTTACTGTGGAGTTCTCAAGTTTGAAGGCGTTTGTGAAGTTTGTGTTGCATATACAAGTTGGGCTATCTTCTTATCCAAACTGTGTATCACTTACTGCATTACCAAAAATTGGACACCTGAGGTTTGTGCTACACGTGGACAATTTATCATATTTTATGGCTAAACCTAAACTTAACGAATTCGTGGTCAATTTATTTTCAGTTTGAAAGCACTGTGTTGCAAAACTTGCTTCAAGAGTGTTCAGTTCTGTGAAAATTTCCTCCTTGTCGTTACGTTGCTTGTTCGACGAGGTGTTTGCTCCCATCGCATCTGTATTTCGCGCGTTTGTTTGTAAACGTGCTTCTTGTTTGTCCCGCCTATGTTCCACCATTTTATTCTTCGCGTGCACGCCAGGTACGTGTTTTCCTGCGCTTTGCAGCGAATACCTTTGCTGCCTTGTCACTGGTTACATGTTAACGGCTTTGTAAACTGGGATATGTTTTCTCTCGCATATCTGCGGCACACAAAATTTAACGTCACGCCCTGTCACATCGGCTAATTTGTTTAAGGATGGACTGAACACCACCATTGTATGGCGTTCTCCTGACCAAAGAATACTTGCTTCTTATTATCGTTACAGTCAAACAGAAATTGAAGAAACCTTGAATGCTGTCAGCGCTGGTCCAAGATATCTGAGCAGAGTGGTGGATGCCGCTGATCAACTTCTGAGCACAATCAAACCTGCTACGTCGTCATAACCTTTCCACAGCTTGTGTGGGGAATTAGTGTAGATTGTAGATTGTAGATACATTTATCGGAAATTTAGCATTTTTTAAAATTTCATCCACCGCTACATTAATTTATTCATGATGTTTTTCAATAGAAAAAAATAGAGTTGTAATAATACTTGTTATACGTATTCAGCTCGTGAGGGTGAAAGGATTGGGAAGAGTCACGGATCCCTAGTGAAGTAAAGCCTTTAAGCCGGAGAAAAATGTGTCTGGGTAGGGGGAGGTCATCACGGGCGTGTTTGAGCTGTCCAAACTAAAACTGCGCTGGATGCTTTTTGCAATCATTGACTGGTAAATTTTGATCTTGGCTGTTTCAATGGAGCTCTCAAAAGTGAGATTTTTTTGTGAATTGATAGCTTAGGGGCTTGTAACTTAAGTGCATGTAGTCTTCAAATGCAATAATATTTGTCATATAATATGCGGAATTATACATGGATTTGAAGGAAGACGCATTTTTGCTTCTTTTTTGTGTAAAACAAAATAATAAATTCCATGTTGCTCAGTGTCTGAAGAGTAATAGACCACAGAAGACGTCAAAATATGGTAAGAACATCAGTGATACACTCAGCTGCGCCTTTGTGACAGTTTTTTGTTCGTACCACATTTGACGTCATCTGTGATCTATTGCTGAATAAACATGCGACAATATGGGATCTGTGTGTCGAAATAGATGACGAGTAGCGTAGCCAATCAGATAGCAGCATTTTTGATAGATTGCTAGTAGATACATACTAATACCTTACAGAAGCACGGTAATATTGGACCTATCTGTTGTTGGAGTGTACAGACCCGTAACTCACCTTTTTCGAATTATTTCCTCCTGTAATACCGTAACTGGATGTGAGTGAAGTGATTTTTTTATACCTTCCCCTTCCCTTTTTTTTTCGTGATTTTTTTTACGACTACGTCTCGCGTTTCTCTCTACACTTCTTTCGCGCTCTAGCCGCTTCCTGCGTGCTTTGAAACAGAACAGAGTACATTCTAAAACTGACCGCGGGAACATCGGAGCCATTAGCATCCTACAATGCACTCTGGGAATGACTCAAAATGGTGGACGAGATACTCTTACAACAGTATTAACAGTATAACAACTGAGGCGAAGCATCCTTGGTGGTGAATTATCACGGAATGAAGCTCTCATTAACCGAATTTTGATCGGTATGGCTCTTTATTTCAAAAGGACATTATGTTCAATATTATAATTGGCAGAACATGGTAAAAGACAATCGTTGCCGCGAAACGATTGTAACCGTGAATCTCAGAACTGCTGTAGTTCCCTTGGTAACTAGTTCAACCTTTCATAGAATGCTTTTTCAACCATTCTGCGTAGAAAAAGGGCAGCTTACGAACAAGTGTTGTAAATGGAAGTCATGTTGATGAGTAATTTGGAGTGACACGTCTGGTTTGACTCACGCAAAATGAAAGCAATTTATCACGTACGAACTGCACTGGAACGTTTGTGGAAACGAAAAATGGTGAAAGTTGGAGTCGTTTTGTTCCTAGTATTTGAATTCGTAGTATTTGTTAGATTTGATAAATTAACCAGAATATTCAACGAAAGAAACAAAACGGCAGTTGCACGAGAAAATTCGACCGGTTTGCAGATGACAATATCGATTAGAGAATCTCCCAAAGCGCTCAACATGTCAGGTTTCTTAAATTTGCATTTGTGGTCAGATACTTGTGCGAAAAACTTAGACATTTTGTGTAATTTTCCTATGTTTCCAAGAGCTCCAGCTCAAAGACTTGTGCTGAAAAAAACGGTAATTACGGGCAACTTGACACAGGCGAAGGAAATGAGGTTGTTTGGGTATATAAACCCGAACGAATCTGGCTTGTTTCTTTTCATGGTTAAATTTTGCACTGCTGAAGTCCATCTTGGCTACCACAAGAACTGGAAAGAAGCAATGAAGATCATATCCTTAGATGCTGGAAAATTTCCTGAAAACAAGTCAGACTCCCAAGTTTCCTCAGCAATTGATCTGATAGCTGGAGAGAAATATTTCATAGACATAGTTGCCATTTGTGTTCACAGCATTAACAAGTTACAACTTTTGTGGAAAACTCCAAGTAGCTCTGGTTTTGAAATCATAAACTCAACATTTTTATTCCCAAACATGGATGACAGCAGCTCATTTAATTTGAATTTTTACGATGAACACATACCAGATTCTCAAGCCTGTGCTCTGAGAAGGAATGAAACAATTTATTTTAAATTGCCAAGTCAAATGAGTCACTTATCACATGAGCAAGTGAAAAATATCTTACCATATTGTGAGTATAAACCAAGTTACAATTTGAATCGCAGAGTATCGGGATACGAAGCTGTGACATATCGTGTTGTTCATTCATTTATATACCCATTTCCTAAACATGAACAACTTAGAGACCAAAAAAAATGGATTTATGCACTTGGAGAAAATGAGACAAAAGAGGTTGTTTACACCTTCATGGAGGCGCTTCGCAGTAAAGAACTGAGGTAATGAAATCACAATTTAGCAGTTATGGTCAAAATAAGAGTAGTGTGTCAGGAAATTCATTCACTTATTTTAGGAAAATTTTGACTCTGGGAAGGGTTTGTGTGTCAGGTTAGGCATAGCATTGTTATTATCCTGCTACTGCATGGACAACCAAATGCAAATGAAGAAGAGAACCTTGCAGAATCTTAAGAAATGTGTTTAAGGGCTGGTTGACTTGTTGAAGGATAGTTTGAACTGTGAGTGACCTGAGGCATGCTGTTGTTGCCTGGCATCTATAGAGATAACCATGAACTAAAGGTTTGTAAATTGGTGAAGTAATGTGTGTAATGAGAATGATAATAATGAAGGTAATAAGTAATGGTAATAGGACTATGATAATAATAACAATAATGATAATTAGGATGATAGTAATTGTGATAATAATTATGATAATTATAATTATGATAATTATAATTATGATAATTATAATAATTATAATTATGATAGTTATAATTATGATAGTTATAATTATGATAATTATAATAGTAATAACAATTTGGTGATAAGAATACTAATGATAATGTAAATGGTAGCTACAGTGATAATAATAGTATTAATAATAATAGATATTTTTTTGCTTTCAACTCCTAAAATGTCTCTCTACAATTTCAACCCCGAATCAAACATTTAGGTCAAGTGATTAATGGAATTAATTGCCATCTGAAGAAGCACTTGATTGTTAAACAAATTCTCCTTGTCAGCACCTTAGGATATGTATAGAGAACAGTATAGAGAATATTGATACTGATGTTAGGGTGGAAAGGGGTAAGGTGACCTGGGGCTATACTGAAATGTAAAGCATACCTCGGATGCACTTTGGTCCATTTTGATCCATAAGCCTTTTATCAGTGTATTGCATGAGTATATCTTAATTGGAACGGAAAATTGTCAGTAATCAGTGCTGTCATTGGTTACTCATGATTACTGCCTCAATATCTGACTGATTACTTGTTTCCTTAATAGGAGGTTTGAACTGATGAAAATAAGAAATGTGGAAAGAAAGACAGATCCAAAAAGAGGCGACCGATATCTGATCGAAGTTGAGCTGCTTGATCTAACAAGCAGCAGCAAAGTGATTTTATCTGAATATGTGTTCATGGCCAAAGAAGAAAAGAAACTTTGTTACCCAAAGGGATTTCAGTGGAACAGAACGGTCGATGTTTATCTGGTGGCAACAGCAAAAAATCTTGGAAGATGGCTGCATCATTTTATTAAAAACGTTGAGAAGATTATACATGAAACGAACGATCAAAATCTTCATGTTGTGATTTACGATTACAACAGCTCTGACATCAACTTGGAAAAGGTTTTAAAGGACAGTTCTCTGACAAATTACATGTTCAGAAGAGAGAGTGGGAAATATTCGCGGACGCATTCCTTTACTGAGGCAATAAAACTCGTATCAAACCCGCACAGTATTATTGTCATGGTGGATCTTCATCTCCATATCGCTGCGCCATTTATCAACAGCGTTCGAAAAGTAAGTTGAAATATATATATAAAGAAAAATAAAATTGTGTCAGTTGATAGAAAAACAATGACTAGATAACCATAGAGATTTATCCAGCGGATATTAGTTCCATCCTCTGAACAACAGGGTCTTGGAAAGGATGATTTCGGAGGTGATTGTGGTTTGATGGCTCATTTCATGCTGTGTTTCCTTTTTCAGCATTGTATCGAAGGTCGTATGGTTTACACGCCGATCATTGTTCAAATGGCCTGCGGCTCTAATCCGGCAAACTTGGTCGGACTGTGGCAAGTGTATGGTTATGGGATAATAGGATTATACAAGTCGGACTGGGACCGAGCCGGGGGATTCGGGATGAATAAAAACACCTGGGGAGGAGAGGACTGGATACTAATGGACCGGCTTGTCAGTGTAGGACTGGAGTTTGAACGCATGCGCACTCCTTATGTATACCATTATTACCATTCAAAGAAGGGACTGTGGTGATTCAAGGTCTTGTTCAAATTTTTTAGAGCAACTCTAAGTTGTTTAAGAGAATGATAACGCGTCATCATTAAGTGTTGACTAGTCGCTGGAGTCCTGTGGTCAGGGAATAAAGCTGTGCTGTGCAATTAATTTTTCCGGTCGTTGGTACGACGATTATACGACGATTATACGACGATTATACGACGATTATACGACGATTATACGACGATTATAAGAATAAAATAGTAACTACGGATCTATCTTCTAAAGATTACGACGCGAAACTATTCGCACCACCCACTGGCTATCACGGCTTACCTTTATTTATTAATACAACTACCGTGAACGACTAAAACTTACTTTAGATATTGCGAACGCATTTCGAAAGGGTGCAACAGAAAACGGTAGACGTAGTTGTAAGAAATTCAGTGCAGGAAAGCTACGGGAACGCACAAGGAACTTGAAAGAAAAGTACTACGGGTATGATACGGAGATGAAACAAGGGGATCAAGAGCAAGCGCTCTGGAAAACATTCAGGTCCGAGGTCTAACCCAAACCGCGGTTTTACGCAAGCAGTGGGCCTTACTTATTCTCTATAAGATGGTTTCTCTTTGTAATAAAATAAATGTCCTTCTACGGCTAGCTTTCGGCCCTGTTGACACTGTTCACGAAAATGAATGTTCAGATAAAAGATTCAGCCAAATTCAAGGTAGTTTGGAAGCAGTTTTGTTAAACAACAGCTAAACTCTTTTTGAATAACCAACCTTAGTCTTGATATAAGGGGGGGAGGGGGGATTTTTCGAGTTTATTTGTGGGTATTTATGGAAATTCCTCACTGGTTATTAAAATTTCCCTCAAAGAAAACCAGCAGTGCAGGCGTCTTATTAGTGCGAGCTAACGCTATAAGCTAGCGATCGTTTATACAACCGGCCGTGTTTGAGTTGGAATTAGAGTGGACGGTGGGGGTAGGGGGCGGGGGGAGGGCGATAAGTAATCTTCACCTCCCAACCCTACCCCTCTCCCTCTTTTTGACCGACGACCACCCCCTTGGTACAAATTTCTTTCCCTCCCCAGCCTTCCGCTGCTATCAAAAAAAATCACGCGCGTATTGCGCTCTTTCCGTTATTTGCTCTCTTTCGCGCATGTATTACGAACATTCTTGCAGATCCGTTGCTTTGCAGGTTAAGATTTATAGGAAACTACCGAAGCATTGAATTATTTTTTTCCTCTGTATTTCTTGGTAAGTTATCATTATCGATTTCTCATGAGCTATCAGTACCCTATAATGCACCACGGGAATGATCCAAGGTGGCGGCGGACAAGAGATTCAAAACAACAACGACGTCATAAATGAAGAGAAGCATATTTGGACGTGAAGTACCGCGGAAGAAGGCTCATATTAACCAAATTTTGATCGGTAAGACTGAATATATTAAAAGAAGATGATTTCTCGGTTCCATCAGTTACAGAAGTACAAACGTTATCCATGAAACGATCGGCCGTGAAATCGTCAAGATTTCCGCACAGCACCGAAGTATTTTAAACAAAGTCATAGCCCCAAAGGCAATTTATTGTTTTTTTAGAGGGCACGGTAACGAATCTTGCAATCTGATTGGTTCTTTACCCGCTCAGTATTTTCCTATCTCTGCCCACGGGCCACGGTAACGCTTTCGTGAGTCGCCGAGTACATCCCAACTTTCGTTGTCATTTTTCAATAATATACCTCGTTTTCCGGCTGGGCAGTATTTTTAAAGTAAACACGTCGGTCACTACCTCAAGCCGATAAATAACTTATGAATCCTCTCTTTTCTCTCTATCAAATCACTTTGGTTGACAGAAAAATATTGGTTTCAGAATGAATTTGTATAAACAATTGCGTCATTACGTTGGTTGACAAGCGGCCTAAAAAACCGTCTGCAATTAATTTTAATCGTTCACAAAAAGTACCCAGAAAGTTGAAACGTGAGGTATTTGGTTACAGTTAAACTGAACGATGGAACTTTCATTCATTTAATATCTGAATTTTCTCGAGCAATTTGTTCGTAGTGAAAGAGCGAGCGAAGTTTTAATTTAAGTTCTACAACAAATATACGCTCCTGGTGAGTCTTTCCAATTCCGTTCAATTTGGACATTTGTACCTTAAATTGCACAACAGAAATTGAAGGAATTTTTTGAGAAAAGGCCGCATCACATTCCCTTGTGTCTCGTTGGAGTGTGCCGTTCGAATTTAGTTTTTGTGAAGGAAAGATCAGAGTTAAACACGCCACTACAGCAAACAAACGAGCAAACTCTCACAACTTCAAAATAAAAAAATTGAATTTACTCACAATTACTTTCCTCGCCGTTTACTTAATGAACAGAGGTAAATCTTTGTACATGAATGAATGGTCGATGAGAGTGAATAATACTTTCCGTTAGATCATTAACTGATTTTGAAGAAAACATTGTCGTGACAGTCCTTGCCAAACTAGTTCTGTTGGTTTTCACATCTTCCTACGCTTTTTTTTTTTCTTGCGCGCTCTCTAATTGACAGGTGTCAGATTGTGACAGATACTTGTAAAAATGTTTCAAAGTTTGTTTGGAAGCCTTTTAAATCAACTTTATCGTTACGGAAATGAAAACGTTTCGCTGAGGCATCTCTCTTAAATTTGCATCACCTCTATTTTAACTACCATTTACTCACTCAAAAATTGTTCAGTTTATGGAAGATCTTGCCGTATTTACGGCCATAAATCATTGGGGTTCTTTCGGAAAGAATTTCGTCAAGTTTAAAAACAATAAATATGTTATTTACCGGCTAAGGGTCGGTCCGTATGGTGAAAAACTGTGACCTCGGTCACAGTTTTTCACCATACGGACCTCCCAGCCGGCAAATAACATATATGTATTGTTTTCTACATTTCTATCTTTATCCAAGAACTGTATGCATAATGAAGCTTGGGGTCATACGGAAGTCTCACAGTGAAATCCCCCCATTCATCCCCATGGTAACCAGTTCGTTCTGTCATAGAATTCGCATTTACTAAACCACTTAGGAAAAGAGCGGCTATAGTTTAAATTTTGGTTATTTTAATATGTTGTTACCGCACGCTGTTGTGCAATTTCGTAGTAAGCCACTTATAAGGCCCAGTTCAGACTGAATGTAATAAAAGAAAATTAGTTTTTGGTTCCGTCAGTGGCAGAACGTAGTGCAAACGTTACACACGAAACGATTGACCGTGAAATCGGTGAGATTTCTGCATAGCACCGAAGTATTTTAAAACAAAGCTATAGCCCTTAAGGAAAACTATTGTTTTCGACGTTTTTATCTGTATCTAAGAGCTGTATGCATAATGAAGCTTGGGGTAAAACGGAAATCTTATTATGAAATCTCCCCATTCATCCCCTTGGTAACCATTTCGTTCTGTTCTAAAATTCGCATCTAATTAAATTACTTAGAAAAAGAGCAACTATCGATTAAGTTTTGGTCATTATAATTTGTTGGAGTGAAATAAAAGACAATGGGGACTCAGAATTTTTTCTTCATCCAACGTTCGTGACAAGACGATTCTCTATAAGAGATAATGTTACGTGTTTCAAAAGCTGAAGAAATTGCCCGAGTCGCGCATTGATCCTTAATTTTACTCGCGCCCATGCCATTACTTTTTTGTGATATAAAGGATAAAAAAAATGATGTTGTTACGACACGCTGTTGTGCAATTTCGTAGGGAGCCATTTAAGGCCTACTTCAAGCGTTGAATTCCACATAATTCCAAACTGCATGAATTCCACATGAATTCCAAACTGCAATTTTGAGCGACCCAAACGGATAAAGTTCGACCGGTTGGTCAAATGTCGAACATAATTCGTCAAACCGAATTCAGAGCAGCATGATTTCAAATGAAGCCATTTATAATTGATTATTTTAGTTCGTTTCATAAACTGAAAAGATCGACGTTTGTCCCATAGCCGATTTTCACACGATCTATCCGTTTGAAGCAAACCGATACAATATTTTGGTCGATCCTAGTTAAGTTTGGCAAACTTACTTAACTGATTCAAACGTTGAACTTAACACGGACTTGATTCTCTCGGTTTAGTGTTAATGAACTGTAAAAAGCACAAATCAGCTAAATGATATTTTATTTTTGAACAACAACGCCTCAGCGATGAAACTAGCCTCGCTAAAAATCGCACACGCTATCAATGAAATCATAATACTTTTAGGTATAAAGTTAAGCTGTTTCATTGTTTTCAATATCAAGTAATTTGGCCCGAGGCATTTTCCAAGTTAATGAAAAATACTCTCTGTCACAGCCAATCAACATTAAGTAATTTTGCCCTCCAGGAAGTGGATGCTTTAATCGGAGGTCACATTGATACGTAGTGTGTAGTTTTCTGTTAAAATCTGGTTTGAAGAACTCACCCAAAATGGGAGCAATTTTTCATGTGCGAACTGCACTTAACCGTGTATGGAAACGAAGAATCGTGAAAGTTGGAGTCGTTCTGTTCCTGGTCTTTGAATTTCTAACCTTTGTTAGATTCGACAAGTTTACCAGTATAATCACCAACAGCAGAAAAACGGCAGCCACAAGCAAAAATCCGACTGATTCGTATAACCTCACACTGATAGAAGAATCTTCCAAAGCACTCAAAATGTCAGGTTTCTTAAACTTGCATTTGTGGTCAGACACTTGTGCTAAAAACTTAGACATTTTGTGTAATTTTCCTATGTTTCCAAGAGCGCCAGATAACAGACTTGCTCTGAATAAAACTGTTATTGCGAGAAATTTGAAACAAGCGAAGGCAATAAGATTGTTTGGATTTATAGACCCGATCGAATCTGGCGTGTTTTTTTTCATGGTTAAATTTTGCATTGCCGAAGTTTATCTTAGCTACAACAAGAACTGGAAAGAAGCAAGACAGATCTTATCCTTAGACGTTGGAAAATTTCCTGAAAACATGTCAGACTCTCAAGTTTCTTCAGCAATTGATCTGGTAGCTGGAGAGAAATATTTCATCGACATAGTCGCCATTTGTGTTTACAGAATTAACAAGTTACAACTTTTGTGGAAAACTCCAAGTAGCTCTGGTTTTGAAATCCTAAACTCAACGTTTTTATCAACAAAAATGGATGACAACAGCTTAAGTAATCTCAGTTTCTACGACGAAGATATACCAGATTCTCAAGCCTGTGCCCTGAGAAAGAATGACACCACTTATTTTAAATCACGCCGTGAAATAAGCTACTTATCACACGAGGAAGTGAAAAATGTATTACCAAATTGTGAGTATAAACCAAGTTACATTTTGAATCGCAGAGTAAGCAAATATGAAGCAGTATTTCGTCATGTGGTTCACTCATTTATCTTCCCGTTTCCTGAACATCACCAAGTCAGCAATAAATCCAACCGGATTTATCCACTTGGAGAAAGCGAGGCCAGGGAAGTTGTTAACATCTTAATGGAGGCTCTCCGTAATAAATCACCAAGGTAGGAAAATTGCAAAATGAATATAACAAAAATGTATACACTTTGTCTAAATATGAAGTCACGTACTTATCATAAATTAGAACCTGACATAAGCAAATAGAAGAAAATAAAACTAAACCAAAGGTTGTCTAAGATGTTGAATACAATTTTTGGTGTGAGCCCCAGTTAAAAACGGTAATGACGAGAATGATTTTAATATTATTAATGCTAATGTAACAGTGATAATAACAACAATAATTGTAATAATGACAATATGATAATAGCAACTGACGATATTGATAGGGTTCGTATATCATGAATAAAGGGGGCAAGTTTCTAAAGAAACTGTGGTGCTGCGTCGGTGAGAGAGTATAGCAGGTAAAACTTGCTTTTCTTAACAAATTTATCGACAGTCAGCATTGCAAACGGCTGAGAAGGAAAACACTGACCGCATCCCATTCACTCTCACATCTCACCCCCACAACCACGCAGTTAAATCTATCATTCTTAAAAAACTAAACTGCTCCAAAACGATTCAGAGATTGGCACTATCTTTTCAAAACCCCCACTAATTGAAACGTGACAAAAACATAGGCAACTTTTTTTTCAGAAGTTCATTTCAAACCAATGGCCAATCTGGAACGTGCGCTCGCTCACGATACAAAACTTGTCCTTCATTCATAACATAGAGAAAATATCGGGACCCAAGAGATCCATTAAGATCACTGATCACTTTACCTGTACCTCCGCCAATGTCATTTACTGCATAACTTGCATTTATTGCAATAAGTTATACATTGATGAAGCAGGAAGACGAGTAGGTGACCGATTCCGAGAACACCTTTGCGACGTAGAAAGAAATGACAAGGACGCATCCAAACCAGTCGCTAAACACTTTAATCTCTCCAATCATTCTAAACTACATATGGCAGTTTGCGGCCTTTTCTTACATCTTGGCAGTTCGGGGAAGCCGCAAAACACCAGAACAAAACTTTCTCCTACAAATCGGCACTCTTAATCCCCACATTATCAATGAGCGCTTTTCATTCAACTTATTCATTCTTGTTTTCTCGTCACCATATTCCCACCAATGGCGTAGTTTCACTTTCTGCCTATAAACCCACACACAACCCACAATTCCTCCAATCGCTCTAACGAAGGGCTAACGCTCGAAACGTCAGCCTTCTAGCTCTTTACGGTGGCCAATTTACGTTTTCAACTCAGTTTTTAACACTAAATTATCCGTATATCATGACCGATAGCCAAACATTTTCCCGTCTGGCTCTCCCGCTCAATCAATTATTCCATGAGCGTTCGCTGGATACGCGTTGAGTAGGCTATAACCAATCTCGTATCCAGGAAGTGCGGATGAAATCATTGTTTTATGAAACTTCATTAAATCCTGACGTTTGGATATCAGGAACTCTGCAACAAGCGGCATAATACATTTCCATGTAAGGTGACTTGGGATATGAGCAGATAACCGGAGTTTAGTGAGCCAATCATAATACTAGAAATGCACCATTCGCAGTTCAAAATTTAATGAATACATATCATTTAAAATTGTACATATATTCATACTTACATACACCTGTACATAAATATGTAAATCATCAGGTCAATAAAGGCCGAAGACATGATTTTACAGTATTTTATAAATACTGAAATACTGGCAAACTCTCTAGTTTTATCTTATGCACCAGACTGCTGTCTTATTTTAGAAGCTTAAAATGTGTATATTCTTATGAAACTGGTTAATTGTTTCTTTGATAGGAGGTTTGAATTGAACGAAATAAGAAATGTGGAAAGAAAGACAGATTCAAAAAGAGGCGACCGATATCTGATCGAAGTTGAATTACTGGACGTGACAAGTGGCAACAATGTGATGTTATCTGAATATGTGTTCATGTTCAACGGAGAAAAGAAACTCTGTTATCCAACGGGATTTCAATGGAACAGAACGGTCGACGTATATCTGATGGTAACTGCTAAAAATCTTGGAAGATGGCTTCATCATTTTATTAAAAACGTCGAGAAGATCATACATGAAACGAACGATCAAAATCTTCATGTTGTGATTTATGATTACAACAGCTCTGACATCAACTTGGAAAAGGTTTTAAAGGAAAGTTCGTTGACAAAATACATGTTCAGAAGAGAGAGTGGGAAATATTCGCGGACGCATTCCTTTACTGAGGCAATAAACCTTATATCAAACCCACACAGTATTATTATCATGGTTGATCTTCATCTTGATATTGCAGCGCCATTTATCAACAGCGTCCGAAAAGTAAGTTAAGTTCATAATTTGAAATTGATTTAGCTAGCTTGAAGGAACAAGTACGCACCAGAAACCCTTCTTATTTTTTCTTGGCCATTAAAATTCGATTTAAAAACTTACTTCTTACCTCGACTCGAGATTCAAAGAGAAACGTAACCACTTGATAGTTGTCTTAAATGAGCTAAAGATTCAACGGATGAACGTGGAAAACTGTAAGTAGTCCTGGCTTCATAAATTCAACATTTTTATTCCCAAACGTGGATGACAGCAGCTCATTTAATTTGAATTTTTACCATGAACTTATATACCAGATTCTGAAGCCTGTGCTCCGAGAAGGAATGAAACAATATATTTTAAATCACCTAGTTAAATGACAGGTGTAATTTGTAGTCTTTAAATAATTTACAAGTGCCTATTACATCAATTTGCAAGAGAAGTCATGTCATTACTTGTTAATAATGTACATGAATAAACATAGGAAAAAGCAAAGACAGACGAAATTTTGAAAGCGTGCTCGCGCTATTTGTAATTTGCACTCGTGTTACAACTTTGCACTCGTGTTATATAAGAATGCACTCGTTTTCAGCCAATCAAAAGCACGTAATTTTTCATGTACATTATTTCGGGAAATGATAAGAAAAAAGTAGTAAACTGGCCTGAAATACCAAGAGGGTGTGAATAACATTGCGCGGTCGTTGTCTTTTCTCATGTATTTTGTTTGACAGAGGAGATGAAATTGAGGGTTTCTGGATTTAACTCTTTCAGCCTTAAGAGGAGTCTGGCCTCTTATTTCTCCTAAAAGAATCAGCCTTGAATCAAATGAAAAGGTCATGGAAACAAAGGAAATGACTATCAATTGGAGAAACTCCTGATTGTCAAAATAAAATCTCCCCGTCAGTATCGTAGGAAATGTAAAGAGAACAGTGTGGAGTATATGAATGTTAATATTAGGATGAAAAGGGTTAAGTGAGATTTTGCTATATAGCGAAAACTACGAACAAAGCAAGTGGAAAAATCTTTAGCTTTATCTTGAAGTATTTCCCCATTTAATATTGTATTTTTTCAGCATTGTATCGAAGGTCGAATGGTTTTCACGCCAATCATTGTTAAAATGCGCTGTGGTGCTAATCCGGCAAACTTAGTTGGACTATGGCAAGTGCTTGGTTACGGGATAATTGGACTCTACAAGTCGGACTGGGACCGAGCCGGGGGATTTGGGATCAATAAAACGACCTGGGGAGGAGAAGACTATGCACTAATGGACCAGCTTGTCAGCGTAGGACTGGAGTTTGAACGCATGCGCACTCCGTATATTCATCACTATTACCACACGAAGAAGGGAATGTGGTGATTCAACATCTCGTTTTACCATTTTCATTATGGTTGCTGATAACGCGCTAGGTCGAATATTCGGATCAATTGTATTTTAATTGAACTAGGGGTGCATATGTATCTTGACAGAGTACTAATTGCGGCTAACCGTCGAGCTAGGCAGTACACCTCGAAAATATCCGCTTCATCGCTGGCTGCCCATGGTGAACCTTTATTTCTTTGTCCAACCGCGGTGAGCAACTAACAAATACTTCATGGATTATGTCCATTTTCTGGAAGAGCAGAAAACGGTACACTTATATGTACGAAAATTCCAGGAAAGATTTGGTAACTCAAAAGAAACAAATGGGTATTTATCAGATTACAATTAAAGTCTATATATAGTAAAGGGAATTTTTCAGCTTTATTTGTGTTTGCACTCTCTTGTGGCAACTCCTCGCCATTTATTACACTTTCCCTGAGATAAGTCTTCGTCAACCTTCTACCTCTTGAACGTGAAATTTCGATAAATTTAGTTGGGTCACTCTTTTGGACAAAAAAACTGACTTTTAAATTCTTAGGAAACATTGTATTCTTACGAACAGAATTTAAATGAACATTACATAAACAAGACAGATGAGACACAAGTGAAAAAGCAGAGAATAAAGTTAACTACACACTAAACGGGGAATAAAGTTTCAGTGTGTAACTGTGATTGACAGATTCCTATAAGTGTGGTGTTACGCGCTTGTTTTATCCTTGGCGCCAGGGATTAAGACGTTTACTCTTTCTCTCATTTGCGTATCACTAAAAATCTCGCAGAGTAGGTGCTTTGCACGGTAAGATTTACAGAAAACTTCCACAGCACTGAATTGTTTTTCCTCTGTACTTCTTGGCAAGTTATTATTATAGAGATCATGAGAGCATTTTTTGGTGTCTCAGAGGTGCGCCAGGAGGTAGTTTGTCTGCAGTCAAAACACACTTCCTAGTGCACCTCAAGACAAAAAAGGCAAAATTTTTGGGTGACCAAAGTCACTAAAGTCTAAAGCTGTCCAAAGTGTTCACAGTGGTTTTATTCAGGCTGTTCTAATGAGAAAACGAGACAGACCCCAAAAATTAAAGGTACAACTGCAAAAAAGAAAATGTTGCATACCAGGAAAAACAGTCAGAAGTATTGCCTTCCCCAAATGAAAGAATTATAATACCTTCACCTGATCAATGGGCAACACATTTTTGTCTTGGTTACCCTATCCACCACCTTCACAAATAAGATGAGACTGAAAAAAATAACCAGTTATGAGATAACAAATTTGTCATTGAGCTGTTAAATGACAGTAAGTCATTACCTGGAAACAGGCCTTCAACATTTAAAGCTAAATAAGTAAGATTTAGACACAAGTTTTATCTTAGAAGGTTAGACTGCAATAACACTGCAAAGCCATGCAATATCCACAAGAATTTTTTGAACTTTTTTTCTTAACTTGTGTCCCTCTTGGTTTGCACATACACTGTTGTATGATAATATAGTCTTATTTCTAGTGTATCTATTGTCTGTTATTACTCTTGAGGTATTGTGCTTTACGATGTAGCAATTGGTTGGGACGGTGGTGGTGTTGGTTGAAAAGCTGCGGAGACATCATCACTTGGCAATGATGGGCTTGTCGTGGGTATTAAGGGGGCAGGCATTGCTCCTGCAGTGATGTCGGTCATAAGTGGCGTTGCTGTGGCTGTCACAGTGACTGCAGAACTTCCAGCTGGTGTTGCTGAGGCAGCTGGCGTATTCATTGGGGCCATTGAGAGGAGAGGTGGGGTCATGCCCCCTATCACAGGTGTACCCTGAACTTGGGGTGAGAATGAGGGAACTGTCGGTGGAGCACCTCCAGGTGCTACCAAAGGAGTAGCTACTGGATATGTAGCAGCTGGAACAGGGGATGTGGTTGGAAAACTTGGGCTGAATGGGTTTATGGCTGGCGATGCTGCAGTTGTGTTGAGATTCAAGGAAGTCATTCCTGACTCCAAACCTGTTAGAAATAGAAAGCTGAGAACTAAAATACCACTTCCAAAGATGTCCCCAAAAAGCAATTTTCCTCTGAAAAATGCCACTTCAGTAATGTCATCTCTCTAAACATACATACATTTTACATTTGGCTTCTTGTACTTCCAAATATTGTTAGAAAATTGTATGTAAGAGTTACAGTGATTAACTGGAGGGATGGTATTACAGTGCCTAACAAGGAAAAGAATGTATATAATAGTCCCCAAGCTTGTAAAGCAAACTATAAGTAATCTACCTGCTGTTTGTATTGGTGAAACTGTTGATGTTGAAGCTGCAACAAGAGGCACAGAAGTGGGCCCACTGAGAGGAACCTTTAGGAACAACAGATAAACAAACATAAAAACAATTTAAAAAATTTATAATTTTAAGTGAAAGAGCTTATGCAAGGCAACAGAGTATTGTGGTAATTGGTTTAATGCTATGCTGAAAACAAGCTTTCTAACACTCATGGCCAAGCTGTTAGGTCTCTCACTAAGGCTTGTTGTGCTTCAAATTTGAAAACTGTGCCAAGTGCTTTGTGATATAAAGCAGCAAACATGCTGGTAATGTGGAGAAATGATCAGAACATCTCAGTGCTCCAAGTGCAAGGTTTTACAAGGTCACCATTTTCCAATGGAAGATCAGAAACAGTTCCCTAAAATTTAAATTTTAGTTGACAGAGGTCACCAATCATTTTTAGACGCCCACACAAAAACTAAAGACCCAACACTCACATAACTAGAGAGAATGAGGCAAAGAACAGCGATAATGATACCCTTGCGCAAATTTTCATCTCTTATTAACTTCAGATCACAAATGTTGAGGAATGCAAACAATTCAGTTTGCAACTTGACCCCTAGACACAGGCTCCCGGTTTAGCAAATTGTGCTGAAAACTTGGTTACCTAAGTTTTTTTAATTATTTGCCATGATGACTAAAATGTTTGCTGCTTGGGAGGTTGCATCTATTTTTTTTTCTTTTTGTCGTGATTAACTAGTTACAACTCTGCAATTTACTTACATCAGAGAAGCCATCAGGAGCAGGAGATGATGATTTAGCTTGTAGGGGCATATCAGGAGGATCTTTGATAGGTATTCTGTGAAGGTAGCCGTATCCTATGCCACAACCCATACTGTAAGATATATCAGAGCCAAAAGGTTAACCCTTTGTAAGGAGAAATTCTGTCTTGGTCACTCATGGGAATTAAATGGTTGAGTGGTCTATACTTACTGTTGTTTTTCTTTGGTTTCTGTACCAAGAAGTGACTAAAAGCTTGTCTACTACTCCTTAAGAGGATGTTGGGTCATTAAAAAATAGTCTCCCCTCCCCACCTCCCACCTCAGTATTTTGTCACACTTTCTTGACCCTTTCACTCTCAATATCTCATTAACAATTTTCCTTACTGGTTGCCATTCACTTCTCATGATGTTAGTTCCAAGAATTTGGTATTGGATCAACTCATAATCCTGTCATTGATATTTTTCTTAAATCTCATCACCTGTCTGCTTGATATTGTGTTGATAACGAGAGGGAAAATTTTGTCTTGGTCAGTCGTATGAGTTAAAAGGTGAATAGTTTGAGTGTACCCATATATATACAGCTAGGTGGAGAAAGGCACTGTGAGTGTTTTTTGTCTTCCTCAAGAACACACCAGAACTAGAACAAAGTGCACTACAAGACACAAAAGCAGTTACAAGATGTTACTCACCTTCCCTCACCACCCCAATTTTGGTTTGGTGTGATGGTTATCTAGAAAGACAGGTAGTAATGCAGGATTAGAACTACAGCACGAGCTTTTTTTCAAGCACTGTTCATTTACATTACAACTTGCAAATATAAGGGACATACCTCTCTACAACCATCTGTTTCAGAATTGTAGACGTACAACTTAAGTAGTTTCCCTTCATGAGATTCTATAAGTTGGAACAGGTCTTCAGACTGAAGAAGAAAAAAAAAAAACAGAAAGGCATCAGAGATATACACCTCTGGATTTTAACACTATGTAGCTGATTGGAGTTGTCCTGAGGTGACAAATATGTTGCTTTCTAATAGAATTGTTCATTAAAAAGCCTCCACTGTTTTTATTTATTCATTACCTCATGTAGAACTGAATCAGCTCCAATGATGTAGTCTGTATTTGAACGCAATCCAGCAATATCAGCAGGCGAGTTTGGTTGAACTTCCTTCAGACAAAGGCAAAATTAAATTAATTGGTTTGTGTGACCCTCATATGAAAAGTTGCAAAAGGTGACATCTTTCTAAGCTTTACTTACCAAAACATGCCATACATTTTCATTAGCTCCTTCAAAGGAACAAAAACGAATACTAACACCTGTAAAAGGTAAGAGACAATTTGTTACACAGTTTATACTTAAATTATATTCATCACCTGAGTGCTATAGAGCCAACCATCTTCCAATTGCATAGGAAATGACATTAAATTTTCATTTTTGATAATCTCTTCCCCTCTCTGCTGTATAGGGGAATTCAAATTCCATTTCCAAAATTCACTAAATTCTCCCCTAAAAAAGAGATCTAACTTTCATGTTTTTTTGTTTTCAATTTTCCTCACAAGAGGAAAATAGGAAGCAAATTCACGTAATCCTCTATATTTTTCAACAAACTTACCCACTTTATTTACAAGTCTGGTTTCTTACCCAATCCAAACATACTTCTGATATTAACATACCTAGGAGACCTTGTCCACCCCACATACTGCTTGGAGTGATGCTAACCTCTGAAATGTGAAGGATGACATGAATTTAAAAATGTGAGCAGACTAACACTTTTTCAACAATTTAAATGTGACAGTTCAATTCGGCCATATGTAAACACCTGAAATATTTATGTGATGTGATGTCTGTGTGATTCAGAGATGGGCAAATCAAGTGTCAGAAACCAAACTGAAAACCACAATGGCAATTTTTAGTTTTGAGGTTTAAGTGATTGTGCTGAACTGAATTATTTTTGGTCAATACTCAACTAACCTGTCAGAATCAAATCAAAGTATTCAGTGTTTCATTGGAAGGGCAATAGAAGAGTCTTTCAGACATCTTGGAGTTGAATCAGATAAGGAAGAAAGCTTTCAACAGAGTTGAAATAAATGTTTAACCCTTTAAATCCCATGAGAAACCAAGACAGAAATTCTCCTTAAAATATCAATACAATATCAACCAGATAAGTGATGAGAAAAACAAAAATATCAATTTGGGGATTATTAGTTGATCCAATACTAAATTCTCTGAACTAACATTGTAGGAATTGTATGGTCGGCAGCAAGGAGAATTACAAATTTGATCAGGGAGTTAAAAGGTTAATTATAATCCCTTGCTCAAGCTACAGTTTAATGAAAAAAATTTCATTTTTTTTTGGACATATTGTGATCCTTTTTTGATCAATTCTCTGTCTATTGAGAAGTTATTTCTATTAATAAGAGAACTAAGGAAAGGTTTTCAAATCTTGGGAGAGTAGTTACAATTTTCATATTGCAGAAACTTACCTCTAACTTTGCATGTTTTGCTACTAAAAACAAGCATCTTTACAGGTTTTTCTGCATTAGACTTGAGGATTTCCTTCAATGTTTCATTATCTTGATCCTAAATAAATTAAAGGGGAGATGGGGTGAAAAATTAAAATGTACATTTTAACATTTAACGTCTTTCTAATATACACAATTTCTCATCCTAAATGACTAACGCACAATTGCTCGTAAGTTGTAATGCTGTTTTCTTTTAAAGAATAATTCTAAAGTCAGGTTTTACCCCCACTTAATGAAAAACAGCTGCTTACAAAAAAGACAAAAGAGCTTTTATGTTGATCAGCCTTTTTATGAAATTCTTTAGTCACAATCGTCTCCGATTTCATGAAGAGAGAGAGAGAGAAACATTGAGCACGACAAAATGTAATACCAAAAAATATGTCATTTCTAATTTCGGTAACGTCGAACTTTGCAAAACCACTTTGCGAAGGGCAAGTTTATTTTTGATTCAACCTACCAGTCGTGTATTTTCTATCGAGATTATAAAATCAAAGAAAGGCTCCAATCCTGCTTTATATCCGGGAGAATTTTCTTGAACCTGCAAAACACCACGTTAAATAAGCCGCGTTAAATGAAGAGGGTCAGAACTGGATCGAACAATTTGTGATCAACAAATTGCGCGCTGTTACAGGATAGCTCAAAGTATGCGTTAATAGGATCGATTGCATTAGTCGTATATTACCCTTAATACATGATATCCTTCGGATCCACCGCCTGGGATTTCTGCAGATTGGCCTGCCCCCATGTTACAATTTCTTTCGATGGTCTCTGCTGAGTTTGTCCACTCATTCAAGATGGCCGCCAAAAATGTTGACGTGGACTTCGCGCTAAATCTCCCAGCAGCACCAGCGAGAGTGAAAATATTTTAACGGGGGTGGGGAGAGAGGTGTTTTGTTTACATACACAGATTTCAAGATGGCGGCGCCACGGCCATGTTCAAAAACTCTTTTTTAAAGAAAATCTCCATTTTCATGCCATTTTTTTTTAGTTTTGGTCACGCTCAACCACTACTATTATGTCAAGTTTAAATGCGAACCCACCTACGTTTTTATCAGCAGGTTGCAAAGCCGAATTGTACACAAAAAGATTGAAATTGCGCTACATGGCGCTTCTGAACTGGTAAGCATGAGATTTTTTTTTTCTCTTTTGTTTAATAAAGTTTAGAGATAAATCAGCCTTAGGCTTTTCAAACTATTTTTGGATCTATCACACAACTGAATACTGCATATCATTATTGGGAAAGAAGTAACGGATCCAGACATTTCTTTGAAGCGGGGGTGGGGGGCTGTGGGGGGGGGATAAGGGGGTTGCCAAGAAACACAGTTTTGTTTTACACTGAAGCCTCAGGAACACAGGATTATTTCATATTGAGTGATAACATGCAGTCATGATGTTTCAAGAATTTTGGTATCAGACAAGAAATAAAAAAACCCACAGTACTGAGTAGAAGTGGGGTCCAAACCCCTACAGACCCTCCCTCCCCTGCCACTTGAGAGAAATTATGAGAGACTGTACTCTCACAGTGTGTCTCTCCATGTAGGGGTACGTATGTGGGAAACCAGTCAGATACTCAGAGGGGGGGGGGGTTAGGGTGATGCGGACTTACATCCCAACTGAGGGGAGTTGGGATACATCGTGCTACAGAAAACGGGGACAAGCTCCAAAAGCTGTGGGGATCAGTCTCTTATGTTTGGAACTTACCTTTCTTTTAGTGGGAGATGCAGAGGCTTAACCCTTTAACCACAAATAACAGGTTGCACAAAAGTAAAAAAAAAATAGCTTCCTTAAAAAGCTCTTGATTTCAAAGTACAAATATAATCGTTTGTCTCATGGTGTAGTCACTTTGGATGTGGATTTGACCTTTCAAATACATACCGCTAGTCTTCTCGGGTGATGAGGTCGATTGTGTACCCATCACCTATATACTGTTGTGCTCAGCTGTGATTGGATGGAATTCCACAGCTGTGATTGGTGCATCTTTCAGATCAGTTTCCTTTTGTAGTCTGCTGCTGCATGACTCTCTTGCTGCTGTTTTTTTTCTATCATCGACATCCAGGCCACTAGGATTTCAATTCCATTGTCTCTAGTGATGCTGTTAGGGCTAAGTCTTACATGAATTGCTTCCTATGTGAATTGAGAGATTCTGGTGCTGACATTTCCAGCATTAGCCCTTTGTTTTTTACTTATTTTTTGTTATAAAAATAAAAACAGTTACTCTATTTTAGTATGATTCATGGTATGTTGCTCACACTAATCAGATCAGGGAATGTATCTTGCACCAATCATTTTACAGCACTGGAATATCTTGCACAAATCACAGCAATTGGGTATTGTTTTCTTGTAATGATGTCACAGAATTAGGGGGCCATGCATACAGAATGACATTAACTAGAAATTGTGGGCTCATTTGATGAGTGAAATGGTTTCTGGCCTTTGTGAGAGCCTCCTTGATCAAGGTAGAGATTTATTGGAATATGAAGGGTTTACATTTAACTTTTTGTATCATTTTTAAATTACTGTAAGGGTATGTTTCATTCCTGCCAAGGGACTCATCCAAGGCATTTAGGCCATCTTGTTAATCACAACATCTGAAGTCTTACAGGCATCAAAGTGATGGTAGTAATCAGACCTGGTATTACTAAAGAATCCCAACTGTGTAAATTCCAACAACAATCACGAACCCCTTTAGTTGTCGTCATTTCTGTTATTCTTTAAGACTTTTCAAAACGTGGGATATAACATAAATGAATATGGAGAGAGCCTTTTGCTCTATACAACTTCATGGACTTGAAATAATCTTATAATCAAAATTTGTATATTTATAATTTAACCCTTAACTTCCAAGATCTGATTGTTAATTCTCTCCTCTAGCTGCTACACATTTCCTTGTAAATCAATGAAAAGAATTTGATATTAAATCAAGATAACAACTTTAACCTGATAAGTTTTGGGTATTCTCATTACCTGCTTATTGAATAATGTTTGGATATTGTATATAGTGGCTATATGTTAATCACTTGAGTAAGTTAAAGGTTAGTCTAAAGCAAGTTGGGGGCTTGCTAAATATTGGTGTTTTATTTGCATGTGAGATATCCTTTCAACAAGTGACAGTAAAAATGTTACAAGTAACCCTTTAACCCCATAGAGTGACCAGCATCTAATTTCTCCCTACTTTATCTCCCCTGAATCACGCATTAAGATCATGAGAATAAAGGAAATGATCAACAAGTAAAGAGGCTCTTGATTGTTAAACAAATTCTCTTTGTCAGAACCTTAGGAAATGTATAGAGAACAGTATGGAGATTATGCATACTGATGTTAGGGTGTAATGGTCAAGGGGGAAGAATCAGTCCAAATGATAAAGAATATTTCTATGTCTCTGGGCGTGCTGCTTACTCAGACATTGTAAATGTCGGCATGTTATACCTGTTTAGCCTGATTACCATCTCTAATTAATACTAACCTTTGTTTTGCATTGGTTTTGTGGTACACCTAGTTGAACTTTACATGACGCATTGTTTTGCGTCAGTTAACTGAATTGATTTAAATACTACACCAAATATCACTTGTTAATCATACTGATCCTTTGTTTGTAAAAGTAGTTTAAGATTCTTACTTTTATTTAAATTTCTAAACATGGGAAATTCAAATACTTGAGTCAGTAACATACTCTTGACTTTGGACCCTAATACCTGCAATTCTTTTTTTTCTAGCTGACTGAGTTATTTCAGTCTTACTGTACAGATATACATTAAATTTATAAGTAAATAAGTTAAATAAAATATGGTTGAAATAAGGACTTCATCTTGTTTTTGGATCAGTTAATTGCCTGTTCTTTTTCTCTTTAATCATAGTTGAACCTTCAAAAAAAGTAGAATTTCCATGTAACACCTTTGGCAGAGATATTAAGGTATGGATATTAAAACAGTAGAAATGTGTTGCAAAGATTATGGAGTCAATACCTTGCAAAAACTCATCCATTTTTTTCCTTTAAAAAAATTCTATTGTTTCAATATTCAGAGAGGATTTCCTTCGTCCAGAAAAGAGCTGTAACTCTGAAACTTGAACACAATACGCAGCTAATCACGCTCTTTTTAACTCACTATGAATTGTTCCGGAATCTCTCCTTTTCCCGGAGATGTAAACCCATGAATATTGAAACACTAAAAATTCGTTGATGAGCTCTGGGCAACTTGTAGGAACAACGAATTAAACCGAGTTCTAAAACTCATTAACAGAATTATATTGCTTCAATATTCAGGTGGGATTTTCTCGGCTCACAAGAGAGCTGTAACTTTGCCTCTAGCATTGAATACACAGCTAATCACGCTCTTTCCAACCCATTCTATATTGTTTCGAAATTCTTCCTTTTTCCCGGAGATATGTACCCACGAATAATGAAACCATAGAATTGGTTAATAAGCATTTGGCAACTTGGAAGAACCTCGAGCCAAACCAAGTTTTCAAACTAATCAACAAAATTCTATTGCTTCAATATTCAGAAAGGATTTCTCGATCCAGAAGAGAACTGTCACTTTGACACTTGTATACCAAACACAAGTAATCACGCTCTTTTCAACTCATTAAAAATTACTCCGGTATTCTTTTTTTTTTTCAAGAGAAATCCAACCATGAATATTGAAACAACAAAAGTTGTAATCTCGCTATTTCCAACTCATTGTAAATTATTCCGGAATTCCTCCTTCCCACGGAGTTATGTACCCATGAATATTGAAACAATAGAACTTGTTTTATGAGCTTTTGGCAACTTGGAAGAGCCACGAGCTTAACCGGGTTCTGAAACTCATAAAAAAATTCTATTTTTTAAATATTCAGAAAGGATTTTCTCGGCCCAAATAAAAATCTGTAACTTTGACACTCGAAAACACAAGATACAGCTACATACGCTCTTTCTAACAAGTTATAAAAATTCCAGGAATTCCTCCTTTTCGTAGAGATATAAACCTGTGAATATTGAAATAATAGAAATCAGTTAATGAGCTTTTGGCAACTTGGGAGAACCACGAGCCAAACCGAGCTTTCAAACTCAGCCCACAAAAGAGCTGTTACTTTAACATTCGCACAATATACACAGCTATCACGCTTTTTTTTAACTCACCATAATTTTTTCCGGAATTCCTCCCTATCACGGAGATATATACCCATGAGTATTGAAACAAACAAAAAAAAAATGGTTAACGAGCTTTTAGTAACTTGGAAGAACCGCGAGCTAAACCGAGTTCTCAAACTCGTTAACAAATTTCATTGTTTCAATATTCAGATGGGATTTTCTCGGCCCACAAGAGAGCTGTCTTTTTAATACTTGCATACAATACACAGCTAATTACGCTCTTTTCAACTCATTATAAATTGTTCCGGAATTTTTTTTCCCGGAGATATATATCCATGAATATTGAAACAATAGAAATTGGTTAATGAGCTTTTGGTAACTTGGAAGAACCGCGAGCTAAACCGAGTTCTCAAACTCGTTAACAAAATTCTATTGTTTCAATAGTTAAGGGTGGTTTTCCCGGTCCAGAAAAGAGCTGTAACTTTGACACTCGCACACAATATACAGCTACTCGCGCTCTTTACAACGAGTTAAAAATTTTCTAGGAATTCCTTCTTTTCGTAAAGATATAAACGCATGAATACTAAAACAATAGAAATTGGTTAATGAGCTTTTTGCAACTTGGAAGAACCACGAGCTAAACCGAGTCCTCAAACTCATCAGCAGAATTCATATTTTTAAAATATTTAGAGGGGATTTTCTCGGTTCAGAAAAGAGCTGTAACTTTGACGCTTGCATCCAACACAAATCTCATCACTTTCTTTCTTACGCAGTATAAATTGTCCCAGAATTACTCCTTTTCACGGAGAAATACTTCTGCGAATATTGAAACAATTCAAATTGGCTCAAGAGCTTTTCTGACGTTTGGTTAACCACGAGCTAGTTTGCACCACGAAGTTGCATCGTTTATATATTCAGAGGGGATTTTGAAAAGGTACTAAAGCCCTTTGTAACATGCAACAAATTGTCGCAGAATTCCTTTTTTTACTGAGATGTAAACGCATGAATATTGAAAAAATTAAAATTTGCTATTGAGCTTTTCGGGCACATCTTAACTCTGACCTTAAAAGTTGGTAGTGAATGAAATAAGAAAAACAGACTTCTTTAAACGATTTGGCTTTATTTCCAAATACCCACTCCCAGAATGAGACAAAAATGTTCAAAGTTAAGAGAAATTGCAATGGAAAATTGTTGTCGTGTTTTCTTTTTACAACAAACAACTCGAACAAAAGAGGTATCACACCATCATGATTTTAGACCAACCGTCATTGCTTGTCGCGAATTGCAATTGCCTGTTTTTTTCATCCATTTTAAAATCGCACAATTCAAGCGCCTAAATTCAAGACTAGACCTCGATCGCTACAAAAATAGGTTTTTTTTTCTCACTAGGTAATAAAAGATGCGATTTAGAACAATAGCGCGAGCTGCAAATAAATCACAAAGATAAGAACCACTATACTCGAGGATCACGATGACTCGAAAGTGGATTCAGAAGGTGGGAAAATGACCATTTTCCCTTAAAATGTTTTCAGCTACTGTAGGTATCTAATTGACTAGCCAGTAGCACCGGATAGCGTAACATCTGGGTGGCAATGACTTTCAAGTCTGCTGCTCATTAACTCCGTGCCTTGAATACCAGTACAGCTGCAAGTTGATCCACATTTACAATCCTCAGGTACAATCGTCAGCTTTCTTCGTCTTCTCTTTCTAATTATGTGCACCAGCAATAGAATAAACGCACACAACAAAATGCTCGCCAGGAGAGCTATCCACGTACTGTGCTGTTTGACAACTGAAGGGATGTCGCCTCTTTTACGGTTGTCATCCTCGTTACCAACCGATTTAGAGTATGGAACCTTGTTACTTAAGTTTCCGGAATCGGTGGACTTGGGACTGCCGGAATAGGCGAAATTCGGAGCAGATGTTGATTCTTGACTACTGTTTTGCTCCTTGTGACTATCACTTGCAACTTCGTCAATGTTTTCTCCACCTGGTTTGGTTGGTTTCGAAGTGATATCACTTGCGCTCTGGTTGCCGCGATTGAAGTTCGTGGTCCGTTCAATCGTCGCTGGCTTAGCAGTGGAGTTATATATGTTGGTGATACTACTTGGGGTTTGAGTGCTGCCCAAATCGCGCTGGACACGTTGCTTTCGTTCCACAAACCAAGAAGCTAAGATAAAGAGAGTAAATTTTTAACATTTTTGGCCAGTGTGGAATGCGTTGAGTTTAAAAAAGTTGGCTTCATTCGTGACGCGTTATTGAGATCAAATAAAGGACGCGACGGATTAATTTTACAGAAAGCCAAGGTCAGGTGAGATTTGAAGTTTTACTGTTAAATTCATGACGCGTGAAATACTGTTTTAAGAGTACGTGTCGCATGAATTCCCTTAAATTTCGTGCGTACGTGAAATGGAATCAGGACCTCCCCCTAACCATCCCCCCCCTCTCCCACCTCTCTTTGCTACCCTCATTAAAGTTGTGTAAGATGATGAGTACATGTTTAGAAAATTTAGGCATCTGATCGATAGAAAGCGATGAGATCAAAGTTGTTGGGGCACTTCCGTCGAAGTAGCTCTAAGGTTTTGACCTCGGTTATTGAACAAAGAATTTAATACAGTACTTCAAGTCTTCGTGAAGGACCCAGGAAATATCTTTGCTCCATGCTTATGACTAACGGTATAAAATTTTATTTGTGCCATGATAGAGCTCAAAATTTACCTTCCTTCATGTTCTATTTACTGTCTATTTTGCGAACAGTTTCAATACAAGTAATGCCAGAAGGAAACGGTACAATATAAGCTGCGCATTTCCTATTTAAGATCTCATTACGTAGGTAATCTTTGATTACATAATTCACCCATCTACAAACGACCGCCTTAAAAAACATGTTTTCCTAAGTTTAGTGTACTTTTTCTACGAGTTACGGCGAAACTAGAAGACAGCCAAAATGTATTTGGTACATGGAGATCAAAAGTAAAGTTAGAAACACACGCTTTTTTTCTTGTCGAGTATTCAACGCCCTTTTTCGATGTGGCGGCTTCTAACATTAAATTGTAAACATTCTTAACTTCTTCGATTACAGTAACGAGGCATGCTGCTAAATGAAATGTATCTTACGCTATCCATCACCATTCTCCTAAAGTTCTGAGAAATTTGAATTCCTTTTTGATTAAGTAAGTTGGCTGCGAGAAGTGTAATCTCAAGGGCATCGGAATTTGAAGAAACTCTTCTCCTCTTTAGCTGGCGCGCAAATTCTAAAGCTACAAAATTGTAGTTCTTGCCTAAACGAGTTCTTAAGAAGGCTGAGATCTTATAAAGCTTTGATCAAAATCTCGCAAGAAGTTAGCGCTCCATATGCAAAAGGGTTCCCACTCCAAAATTTGCACGTTGAGTCGAATAGCGTAACTGATCTGAAACCATACTAACCTTGTGCACGTTGCGGTTTGCTTAAGGTGGCTGCTGTGGGTTTTAAGACGATGGTAGAAGATAGACAAGCGAACAAGGCCCCAAGAATAAACAATGGGCTAAATGGTTTCATTTTGAAAACTGTACCGAATGAAATCGTAGGGTGCCTTTATTCGTTAATGATGTCTGCGGTACCAAACCACAACTCACTGACCTTAGTATGAGACATCTGACACCAATGGAGGATCGTATAACACGCGAGCTTTGAGAAACTGGACTTGTTGACGTTTTTAGTTACCACAATTATGGCCTTGCCTAATGACCATAAACAAGTCTCGATTGACCGCTAACCTCATCGTCTTTCACAACAAACACTTATTCGGATACTTAAGTTTTTTTAAACAAAGAGGTCAGTGATCTCATGCCCACCGCAGGGATAAATGAAAAATGCGCGGTAGCTTTTTCTTGTCGGGGCACGTGATATTCACTTCCTGAGAGGTAATTAACAGTGATATTTCCTGACAAATCACGAATTCTTTTTGTCCCGTGTTCTTGCGAAATAAATTCAAACGCTTTTCTTTATTCAACGACAGAGCTGAAAGGAGTCATTTATCATAACTTGCGTTACGGAGAATCACGTGTCCTTGATTAAGACAACGCTTAAAATAACCTTAAGCTTCAGTAGACAAACGCCAATAAATGCACACAAAAAAAGTTGGTCAAAAATAGAGAAGATTAGAGCAGATTGCAATTACGAACTTGAGAAAACTCGTCTAACTGTCTGCCCAGTACTGATCCACTTAACGTTAAATTTGTCCTTTTATTGATTTATTGAATGAAGAATATTATTATTGAATGAAGTTCTAGACATCGCTGATCTTAGCAGTTTTAAGATCGCGGGTCAAATAAGATATCATCTCTATGGCCTGTCTTTTATGAATTTTGTGAAGAGCCAACCGGAAGTCTGAAGTGCATTCTTACAAAAATACGAATGGTCCCTGGTTCGATCAGATTCTATGCTGTTTATTATGCGTGCGCACGGCTGACCCGGAAACTGAAAGTACAAATTCTCTAACCAAATCAAAAAGTTAATTAATTTTTTTTTATAACTATTTTAAGTTAATCCACCATACGTTTATTAATAACAATGGAAATTGATATCTTTTTGTTAAAACTACGTTTGGTTGGCTAATCCTTCCTCCATGTGTTAATAACAAAAAGCAATTTAAAAATCTAATTAACACACGAATAAAAAAATGTTTGTAGAATAAAAAAAAGTTCGGTAACCCTCTCTGTTCGTTTGTTTCTTATCTGAAGAAATATCGATAGACCCACTACAACCGATTCAAATGAATCGACACCGTGACAAACCACATAACAAACGCGTCCTCAAATTAGATTATCTTAACCGCTTGCGCATGAATTAGCGGACTTTAAACTCTTTTGCTCAAACGACCTTTGCGGTTACCATACTAATTCAGTTATCCCTGAGGTTAACGAGATTGTTGAACCGTCTCACATTTAGATATTACACTTGATTTGCATGACCTTGAGAAATCTACTTGGGCCGATAAAACTCACACGATCTGATCCACGCATTTTCAAAAGTTCATTTCGATCCTCTACAAATTATTTCTCTTAGGTATAATGCACGACATCAATGAAACTACACTATCTTAAATCCGTCACCTCTTTGTCTTTGTTATCAACTTTAAAAATTGCCTTATCCTAATTGTGACAAATGTTTTCACTTAATCACGAGCAAAATCGAAAAAACTGTCGGTTTTCAGGAAGTAAATTAACGCCTTCTTGACGAATTCATCGAGATAGAGTTTGCTTTAGCAAACTCGTACCACCGTCCTTAGTAATAAAGACGACTGTGTCGAGAGACAAGAAAAACTCATTATCTATCGCCGAAAAGGTTCAGACAGCAAACTGCAAGCATGCAAAAATCATGAAATTCATTTGCGTTTGAGGTAAAAAAATTGATAGTACGATCGGTCAGAAAATTTTATTGTTCAGCAAAATTATGAAGTCTTTGCGTATATCGATAGCACAATGGACATGCAAAAAAACTTAAAAAATGAGATTAACTCATGCTCAAAAAATGGTATGGGAAACTTTGCCTAATACAAAAATAACGTGACAGGTTTCAAGTGGCCTTAAATAACCTAAAAAAAAAAAAAAAAAAAAAAAAAAAAGACTGCTTATTGCTGGGTGAGTGGAAGGGCCGAACGCCAAAAATGTTTGGCTTGTGGTCATGATCGAGAGCCAAGTATTTTCCCATCTGGCTGATCTGCCCTAACTCTGTCATTGAGTGTTATGGTCACCTTCCTTCCTTCCTTCCTTCCTTCAGCTCGCATCATGCGGGGCCACGGGTCTTTTTCCCGACCCGGGACCTGCTACTGCCATCTCGTGGGGCCCTCATAAGGGAATTTTCTATTACACCACATTTTCCAATAAAACCGCGCGCGGTGTTTTAAGGGCCATATGATAATGGAAATAAAAACTTCTTTCCTTGAACTTTTTTCATTCTTAACAGAAAACATCTCTCACCAGTTTTTTTCGACGCGTAGTTAACTTCGTGATGACGTCATCGAGATGTTCTCACGTCACACAATAGCCAGGAAAAAAGCAGCGATAACACTGTGATACAGAGCATTATCTAAAAGAAAAAAGGTTACATTTAGCAGCTGCGCTCCTCTTGAACATACAAACACCAATGGTAAAATGGCAGACTAGCCAGCACTTTTGGTCCACACCTGCCAGCAATTGCGGCTATTCAACAATATTCACTTTGCCTTCGGCGAATAATCGTTAAATACAAGATCAGCGGATAACGTTGAAGGTGCGCTCTCATTGGCTACTCAAACTCGGAATATCTTTTGCTATTCACATCCGAGCTACTCGCGCAGGATTTGCGCCCGGAATATTGTAATCGTTGTTGTAACTGAGTCCTGTAGTGTATTATAAGTAGAGTAATGTTTTGTAAAATGCCAAAAAACAAAAAAAATATGGTAATCGTTGCAGGAGTAAACGAGTTAAAATCATCTGTTTTTTGCTATATTATCTCACTGTTTTAGTTTATAATAAAACAACTATTCACCTCGGTGTCAATAGCTAGCAGTGGATATTTACCACGCGGCTTCGCAGCTTGTAAATTTCCAACACTGGCCACCTCCGCTTCACTTTGGTGAATGGTTATAACTAAAGTGTTCTGTGAACAGATCCTGGTGTTATACAACACCCCCACTTAACAAGTAAAACTCAAGTAAGTCTAAGAAAACTCTGGACTTACCACTAAATAACCATAAGGATTGACCGAGTCAAACACAAATCTGGCCAACACAGCATTACCATCCATACTGATACAGTTCAGTGTGGATTCGTATTCACATTTCATTCGAACGTTCTTTAACAAGATTTTGGTGATCGCAGAGTAGCCATAGAACTGAGGATTGACGTAAAATAATAAGTTGTACCTGAAATGACAAAAGCGCCGAATGAGACGTAGTTATTATTTATCAAGAATACCTTTGACGCTCTGATAAGTTCACTCCTTTAGAATCCCCCCCCCATCTTAAATGCCCCTTTTTCATAAGCTACTCTTCCCTTTTTCATCCACAGATTATTAATAAGCACCCCTCGATAACGTGCCCTCCGTCCGAAACTTCAGATCTTTAATAATCCATTCCTCTCAAATAGGTCCGTCAAAAACCTTGAATTTACAAAATGTCCCTTTCTTATAAAACCTCTCTCTCGCTTTTTAAGCCCTAAGAATTCCTCTTCTTTAGAAAGGAAGAAAAAAAAAACATTTGCCAACCAATCCGATTTAAAGTAAGTCAAACAACAATGCTTCACCAGATAAATAAAACCGGCCATACCCACCCTATGGGCATCTGACTCCATGTGACAATGAATCCGCCGGAGAATCCTCCTAATGCAGCTATGACGCCGCTTGCGTGACACGCGTTACTCGGTGTAATGTAAGTTGCCAACATGTAAACTGCAATCCACGTTTGGTTCAACACCAGTGACGTAATTGTAACTAGGACGAATCGCCACCAGTTGTATGACGTGAACACCATGAAGTAAGTCAAAACTGAGCATGCGATCACTGGTATCACATAGGCAGCGGATGTGCTAAGAAATGTCTGCATCACGTGTTCGTATGAGAAACCGACGTTTTCTGAAGATTCTATTTGTCGAATCTGAGAAAAGGGAAAATGAAAAGTTGCTCTTTAGAGCAAATTCAAACTTTCTAGTAGCTCTGTGCCGATTATAGTGTCCTAAAAACTATATATGCTTCTCTTAAACAGCCAAAATATTTCATCAACAAATACATTCCTTTAGTTCTGCAGACCATTCTGAGGTAAAAAGGACATCTTTCATGCTGTAAGGGAAACAGTTTTCGTTTTATAAAAGCGTGGAAGGACATATGGGAATATACTGGTTTTTCTGCGTGGCGCTTTGCGCTTTAAACTCTTAACGTAAATTGGCCACCGTAAAGAGTTCCAGAGCTGACGTTTCCAGCTTTAGCCCTTCGTCAGAGCGAAGAATGTATATCTACGAGCAATCAAGGCTCGGTCGCTCAGCTGTGTTTTCCCGCGCTTGACGTCGCCTTACGAGGAAATTCTATGACGTATATTTTCGCTCTGGATATTACTTTGGTTCTGTCTGGTGATACTCAAATAAAAAACGCCATAGTTTTGAAATAAAGCTAGATACTGCAATAAAAAAAACTCTTTTTTTCACTCACTTCCAAATTCTTGTTGATTCGCTTGTGAAGAACCGAGCCCATGAATAAGAGACTGGGAATAGACGAACCGCAGTAGGCGGTCATTATTTGTAACGGCGTCTCCGCTTGCCAATAAACTATTCCCGCTGTCACTCCAAATACGAGGAACATGATTGGCAGGTACACTGTCTGTCCAAAAGTATTCGATAACGAGGCTCTGTAGTCTATCACAAAAAGCCTGGTAAGGAATCCACCATCTTCTGGACTAAAAACAAGGACAGTTTGTTAAGAGTATATGAAGCGAAACAAAGAATCAGCCTTCACTAATTTATTGACCAGAGTCAAATACAATGTTGTTTAAAGCCTTTCACCCCTAAGAATGACTAGCATCTAATTTTCAGTACAATATCACCCCTAAATCAAACGTTATGGTCACAAGGATGAAAGAAGATATCACCGACTCAAGACAAGTCAACTCTTGATTGTTAAACAATTTCTTCCCATCAGCACCTTATGAAATGTGTAGAGAACAGCATGAAGATGGCGCATACTGATGTTAGGGTGAAAGGGGTTATTGATTAATGTTTGTTCCAGACATACCTTTCAGACGAAGATGACAAGAGATTCTTATTTGCGTTTTTTGAGCGGAAGTCGTCCTCTCTCCACTTTTCAGACTGATTTTGTAACAAAGTGGCCTCTATCATCTTCTCATTTCGCAGAATATCTGAAATAATGTCTTCCAAATGGCGGAAATAGATCAAAAGGGAAAATAAATACGTCAACGGAATTCCTCAGCAAAAAGGCATCCAAAATATTACGTGATTGCAGGTAAAGAAAATCGTTTGAAGGTTAAGTTACACTAGAATACAAAACGCGCGAATCCTAAGACATATCGAAGATTGTATTACCCTCTAATCCTCTTTTATCTTGTGACACGCGATCGTAGCAATCTAAGAGTCTTGCAGGGTCACCACAATATATAACCTGGCGGGTCAAAATTAAGAACACAGTTAACGTCTGACTGTCATAGAAGCTTAATGGGAGGTCCCATGCAATTTACAATACTGTCATGGTTTGATAAACGAGAAACTTCATAGTGATGACGTTGTATCGAAAATGGGGGAGGGGGTTGGGGTCCTCGCTTACCTGTTCATCAGCAACTAAAACCAGTTGATTGAACATCATGGCTGTTTTACCAGGTAGAGTCTGCATGGTCATTATTACTAGGCGTCCATTGTTACAAAGGTGTTTTAGAATGTTCAGCATTTCTATGGAAGAGGCAGAGTCCAGACCTAAAAATGTGAAAATATCAGCAATGAATGACACTGAGTTAAAACAGTGCTGCTCGAGATATATCTCATCCTTGGTGAGCTCTAGAGCTAACTTATATCCTATGTCGTACCCAGTCTTTACTCTACCTGCAATAGGTTCATCTAAGAATATGACTCGAGGTCTGGTAATGAGCTGATTTGCCAGGCACATACAGCGCTTCTGGAAAAAATTGAGAAAGAGATTAGATTAACGAGAGAAAAAAACAAACAAACAGAAAAAAAGCATCAAAGCAAAGGAAAAAAATTATTTTAGACGGATAGAGCCATCCTCTTTTAGAGAGAGGAAGGGAGGAGTCATTGGTTTTACTTTGCTTTTCATTGTGATTGGTCAACGCCTGATACATGAACTGCTTTCTCAACCAATCAGATGCAACACTAAAACTTCTTGTAACTCTCCTTAACCCGCGCTTCATATTTTCTTGTTTCTTTAAGTTATCATTGGCTTCCTGTGGTATTTTCCAGCACTCTGATCGGCTGTTTTGATTGCTTGAGGTTTTTTAACGACGCTCGGTAAATATGTGCTTTAAAATACAAACAAACCTGTAAGTCGGTAAGGTTCTCTTTACTCGACCCACCAAACGTTTCCTCTGCTAAAGAATTTAGTCTCATCTATGAGAATAATAGAAATACGCCGTTAATATCTCGCTCTTTTCCTAAACACCGTTTCATCTTAATAAAGGTCGCGGGTAGCAGACAAAATTTATCCACAAGCACTATCTTTCGACTCTCCTCGTTTCGTTTTTGTTTGAAAAGTCTCTTAATTTCTTTATTCATGCTTTAGTCAATATTTGTTTAAACATTTTTTTTCGACCATCTCTTTTTTTTAATTACACATACCTCGGACATCACCTGGTCCACTCTTTCCAACTTGACCGCAGTTTTCGTTTTTCTGGACATTCTCATCAAAGCGGTTAGAATTAAATACTGTCTAACCGTAACCTCTCCATAATAAGGCATCTTAAATTGATTGAGAAAAATATAACTATTTCGAGCTTCCTTTTGTGCGCTACCTTGCATATTGAGATGTTTCTGTAAAATGAAAGAATGGAGATTAGAGACTTCTGACAGGATGTTACCAATACCAGCTACAGAGAGCCAGAGTCTGGGACCAAGAGTACAGCGGTAATTCGCGTAAAAATTACAAATGGCGGATGAAGACACGGAAAAAGGGTCTGAGCACCAGTTTTGGCGCAAGCGCTCTTCGAACTTAGTCGTCAGAGCAATTGTCATGGACGATAGCTAAAGATTGTGTTAAGGGTATCTGACTTGAACTCTGTTTTCAAAAATTTAGTTTTAAATAAATTGCAGGTGTGATAGATTTCGAGCCTTCTAAGAGGTGAGTGTCAGAAAACCTGACTAATCGAAGGTAAGGATGCTAAGATAGAAAAAAACTCAAAGGCAACTGATTATTTTGGCTTCTTTTTCAGTTAGCAGCGAAGCAGCGAAAATCTAATTGTTGTCCGCGGACTTAACCGATACTTGTTGCCTTTTATCATGAAATTTTTGTCGAATTATCTTCGAAACGGGATAATACTCCTGGTATTTTAAGAAGAAAGTTGTGTTTTACCTGCTTACATCCACACTTTAATTTTCCACTCAAAAGACTCAGTAGTTTTGTTTTACCAGCTCCATGCTTTCCCACTATTGCAATAAATTCACCTTGTTTGAAGCTCAATGTGGCGTTCTTGATCCTCAACATACAGGAATCTTTCTTTCCGTCTGTCCTTCTTTCTGGATCATTCTTGATAGTTGAACGAGAAAAACCGCTATTTTCTTTATTTTCCGAGCATTTAACGTCTTTGCAAATCGCATTGTTTTTAAACTGTTCGTTCCCATGATTTTGGAGAAATAATAAACGTAGATATTGCGCTGTTCGGTAAAATATTGTATTATTAGAGAACGTATCCTCCTCCTTCATTGATCGTTCTTTGAAATCTTCTTGGACAACTGGTTCCAGATTTTCGAAACTTGGGGAATGATTAGAAACTTGTGAGGACGAGTACAGTAAAAGTGTTATTGCCTCGCCAGGTTCATAACCGGACACCTTAAACAAATGAAAAAGATAAAAATAGTCAATATGTTTAATCCCAATAAAAATGACGACAAATATCATTTAGTATGATAATTTGATTTTATCAACTGAGTTGATGATGTAAACTGGCCACCGTAAAGAGTTCCAAAGCTGACGTTTCGAGTCCTTAGTCCTTCGTCAGAGCCATTCTCTCTGACCAAGGGCTATGGCTCGAAATGTATGGCATGTATGGGTACAACTCACCTATGAACGGAAACATCCGAAATCAGGCGGATCTGTCCGAAAACGAAACCACCCGATACGGGGCGGACGTGTCCGTAATCGGACAGAACAGGCCAAAATCGAATGAAACCGCCCTAATTCGGACACACGTGTCTGAAATCAAATAGAGCCGTCCGAAAATGTTTGAAATCGGGTGCAACCGGACCAATATAGGATAAAACTGTCCGAAATCTGACGAAAGCGTCTGATTTGAAACGAATGCGTTTGAAAGCGGACGACACAGAGCGATTCTGACGGAATTGTACAAAAGTGGAAGTTAGCATAATACCATTTTGAGCTTTTTAGCGCTCACAAGCAAATCATCAAGAAAAAGCCGAGTTGCATCCGCATCGCTCGACCAGAATATTCTATTCTCGTCAATGGGAGTAGATCCCTACTTGCAACATAAACTTATGACTAGTACAATTTTACCTGCTGCGACTCCTTATGGTCTCCAAGATATTGCTTTTTATTTCGTGCCAAGAGAAGTAACTGGACCATAAAACAGATCTTAACCGCTACACAAACACCAGTGGGTACCAGGGACAAGAATAGAATAACCCAATTGAGCACCTCTCCCCAGTCCACAGCGGTGTCCACAAATTTAAGTGACTCCGAGCACGTGGGATTGCACATTGGTCCAAGACAGGTGTCAGTCACTCTCACAGATTGATGACGTTTCTCAAACCATTTTTGAAGAGTGGACTGCAAACTAATGATTTCGTTTCCACGTCTTATTGTCGTACGCAACCAACTTCCGGGTACTTTGGACAAGCTGGAGAAATTTTTTAGAAAGTAGTAAATTATTGTAATAAAAAAATTAATTCTCCAACTATTTCAACGAAAAAAAGGAACGAACTAACGAGTGAACGAACGCACGAACGCACGAACGCACGAACAAACGAATGAACGAACGAACGAATAAACCACCGAACGAAGGAGCGAACACACGAACAAACGAACGAACCAACGAAGGAACGAACGCGCAGACAAACGAATGAAGGAACGAATGAATGAGCTGACGAGCGAATGAACTAACGAACGAACGAACGAACAAACGAAAAGGCGAACGAATAAACGAACCAACGAACAAGGAACGAAAGAATTAAGTAACAAAAGAACAAACAAATAACGAAGACATGAACAAGAAAATGATCAACCAACGAAGGGACGAGGGAACAACAAAAACCGAATAAACAGAGACACAAACGAAAGCACGAAGTATAGTGATTGCACGACCAAAAGAAATAGAAAAAAAAAAAACGTAATGAACGAGAGAATGAAAGAATTCTGACAACTCACCGGAAAAAAGCATTTCCCTGGTTGAACATTCGACTGTAGTGAAGCGCTTCTCCTTCATCTCTTAAACTTGACATGCCAAAGAAAGTGTGCTGAAAACACGCGGGCACAAAGTAACTAAGGTTTGAAGATCTGGGTTCAATTGCAAACAAAGATTGGTTCATGGCACCCCCATATGACTCGATCAGAGTTAACAGATCTGTCACACCGTGATCTGCGACGGAAACTCTTTTCGACAAACGGGCGACAATGTCTCCAATGATATAAATATCATACATGCTGAACACAAATAGCGTTGGCACGTTTGATGGGTAGTATCCCCGTTTAAGCATACATGAAGCTGACAAACAGCACGGATACCCATGAGTAGTATCTGCACATGCGCTTGATAACGGCTTACCGATGATGTAGAATTCCTTAGCAACCTTTAATGTGATGCTCTCTCGGAAATTCAAAAACCATCCACCGTCTATGATCACTGAAATACTAACATGTAAATTCCTGGATGACATAAGGTCTTGTAACCATTGTACGTGGTTGATCACACCCACCCCTCCCGCGCTGCTCCCAACTAAAACAACCTCACGCGCTCGGCTCAAACCTTGGTCGAGCAGCTCATAAATAGCGCTTTGAAAAATGATTTTACCGCTGAAAACAAACTGTTCCACACTGCTTGATGCTCTGTTTTGTGTTCCCAGCCATGCATCGCTGCTGCAATACGGTATCAAAACACGTGAATAATTGTAGAATAACTTATTCTCGTTTCGAGTTGTTGAGAGCAAGTCCTTCCCACTGATTGTGCTTGGCATGTACTTGGATGTCATTAGAGCGTTCGTTAACTCGCTCCCAAATCGTGCATGACATTGAGCCTTTGTGAGACAATACGCTCCGCTCTCCAAAAATATAATCCACTGTGATGGCTCCTGAACATCCATGTAATAAATTGCTGTTGTTCCGTCGTTACACAAAGCATCTTTGTTGCTAAGGGTCTTCTTGTACATCGTGTTAGAGCGAATATTTCCACTGGCAACCATTTCAGAAGATAGGATGCTGGTCGCTAAAAGGACTCGTAAGAACATCTCTATGGACGGAAAATCAGCTTCTATCCCCTTAAACTCTTGAAAAAAATTTCTTAGAACAGCGTAAATTATGTTAACTTGTTGTTAAAGTTGCCTGTGCGCAAGGTAGCAATATCGACACAATTTTCACTCAATCCAATTTTCTCCGTCATGAAAATCCATTGAATAATTTGTTAACTTCACTAAATCACTCATTGCGATAACGAGCACAGTGTTTAGGTTTCACTTCTGCTCTTGTTTAAGTATTTATGTCGTGAAACATTTTTATGGATGAGTGTTCCTAATTTCGAGTTTTCTTACTAACGTGTCTTTACAGGTGCTTAAATTATATTCCATTCGGAAAATTTGCAACTTTACAGTTTTAGGTAAGATTGGTCAAAGAAAAGGAATGGGTTATGGTTTGTCGGTAAAAGAAAACGAATTATTTACAAGGAAGTTTAAGCACCTGATGGTTTCTAAAGACGAAAGGAGCCCTCGGGCAATGCGATAGAAGTTAACTACTGATTGAATTTTCAAATGACTGTGAATATATGAAAATCATGTGTGTGAAATACGGATAAAGACGTGAATATGAAAGCGATCTTCGCAGTAATGAACACTACCTGCGCAGTAGTGAAAATAAGGCCTGAAAAAAAAAAAAAAAAAATTTAGGCCTGTAATTAATTAAATTTTCATTCGACCCCCCACATATATGTGAATTCTTTAGATTTGGTTTTACGAAACGTAATCGATATGCGTTCACTTAACAATAAAGACCTGTTGTATGTTAGTCCTTCATTAGTCATTCGGTACCCGGCCTTATTCAACTGTCATTTGTTATAACGCGATTTTTTTTTCTTTAAAGCAGTTGTTAGTGGATCAACGAAGAACAATCTTAATAATGAAAAACGTTGAAAACTGCAAACGACAAACCCAGCTTTGAAATTTTCATCTTGTTCTTTGAGAGGATCCCTTGTGAGAAGAAAAGCTTTCACATACATTATCCTTTCGAAATTCCCATCCAACTGAATAACATAACGCGCCTTAGCCGTTCAAAGTGTTTCCATTTAAGTAGTGCCACCTGTTCCTAGCCTCCTGTTTTCAGTTTTTCAAGTCGCTTTTACTTTCTTCAATTTCTTTTGTAGTAGTGTATTGTGGTGTGACTTTCAATATCGTAAACATTTGTTTCTTCAATAGACAAAAATGATGAAGAAATTATGTGCTATTTACCTTGGTATAAAAGCTTGGCAAAGACAATTTCCACAAAGAGTTTGGTGGATTATCACTTCCTCAGAACCTTTAACAATTTTTCTTGGTGAGTGTTTCTCCACAAGTACGCCAAATTTAACCTGAAACACCTTAGACTGACAAACAAGTCTCATCCTTGACTTTCACGGTCAATGTCAGTATCTTGTAATAAACTGCGCACCTACCCCTCCCATAAAAAATATTAACCCTAACTTGTTATCAGTTGAATGTAGTTGGGTTGGGGGAGGGGTAAGCGTGCAGGTGCTCAGATAATGACATTGATCCACTCTGAAAATGACTTCCGCTGAGGGTTTTAAAAACATCAGTCAGTGTGACGCAGATTGAGAGACCACTGGTTTCTTTGGAGAAGTCATATTAATGACGCTAAATACACTATTATACTCTTATGTTAAGATAGATCGTCGCATCTAAAAGTTTTTCCACTGATAAAGAATCTCTCACCCTGAATTCCGAACGTTTTATTTATTTCTTCGTGTAAGAAAAACTTCCTTAATTATTCTCCTTGACTTTAACGTGATGTCAACTTCCACTTAGGTTGTCAAAAGGTCAGCAGTAAGCATCGCCGGCAACAGTCCTGCCCAGGACTACTCTCACTTGGATGACCAACCAACACAAGTTCATGACCAAACCGTTTACTGTATATTCGGAGCTTCAGTTTCTAATCGTCTCAAATATTCTTGTTCTTAAAGCTCAACTAAATCGAGTTTCATTCATGTTTCCTATCATTCCTTACCAAAGTACACTGTTCTTAATTCTTTTTTATTCACTTTTCCCATAGTGTTCCGTGGCAACTCCTCGACCACCAACAAGACCGAGGGAATCTGGTACGGAACCATGAAACCGCTGGCCCATCGTTTCAAGTCTTCAAGACTCAATTTCTATGTGCGAACAAGCAGAGAAAACATCATTAGCTAAAGAAAAAAAAATGACAAACGAAAAGAATGAAAATGCAACGCCTTGTTCAGCCAGTAAAGGCTGATAAGCCAGGATTTGAAAAAGGTGATTTTGTCGCAGATGAGTAGATGACTTTTCTAGATCACTTTCTGAGCAAGCATTTCAGTAGTGGTGGCTTCTGCCTCCTTAACAATTTTTGATTTAGAACAATAGTGCCCGATTTTTGACTTTGGAAACAAGTGTCCGATTTTTAATTTTAGACACCGCTCTTCGATTTTTTATTTTGAATACCAGAATCCAATTTTTGATTTGTACCTTCTAGCCTCATAACTCAACCTCTGTTCTTTTCATTGCTGTATACATTGTGTTGCATCAGTAGCCACATGCAGTCTTGGACTGCCTACTTTTCAATACAGGTGACAGATGCACACCTTGCCAGGGCTCAGCGTGACAATTGCAGCCACACGCTCTCCCCACACGGGATCAGGTTTGCCCAACACAGCACAGTCTACAATGTCATTGTGTGATAAGAGATGTCGCTCAACTTCAAGAGCACTGCAGGGAAAAACGTCCACAAGAAAAATTGCACATTTTAATTCAACAACAGTCTAAGAAAAATTTTCATTTATAGGTAAGTAGTCCTGGAATGTATTAGTGCCGCTGATAAAAATCACTCGGCGCCAGGAGAACAATAAGAAGTAATTCAACACAAATCGAAGCGATAGAACGTCTCTCATCTCTACCAAATCTTCACCAAAATATGTCAACACCGTTACATTAGAAACCGCCAAGAAATTTCGCGTTGCTTAACAGCCCAATTTGGCTACAAATGTTGGCTACAAACTCAAATCCATCGAACCAAATTGTATTTTGGCACAAGCTTCTTCGCTACATAAAAAAGTGGCCCTTCGTTCTATATTTCCAAGCAGAATTGAAACCTGAAGTATGGGATTATGCAGAGCGAGGAAGGAACTAGGAAAAATCCTCGGAACAAGGCAGGAATCAAACCCAGGCCACAGCGTTAAACTTGCGCGGGTAACTGGCACTAGGCCGACCAAAACTCTGCTTCCCAGCATGCATTTTGATTCTGACCTGATCTTGTATCCTCCACTTTTAATGATATCCACCGATGTCCTTCCCAGAATGCTGTACACTCCATTTGCATAAGCTGGAAAGTGAGCGCAACAAAAATTCTGACGTTTATTTTAGAAGGAAAAATATCTGCAAGCATAAATCGGAGGAGAAAAAACTTCGCTCTGAGACTTAAAGCAGGAGCTATTTATTTACCAGCAGTGTCGCCTGTTTTAAACCAGCCGTCCTCTGTAAAGGTTTCTCTTGTAGCATCGGGTTTATTCCAGTAACTGGCGGAAAATGATACAATGATGTAAATTGAAAAGTGTACACTCTCGTATAGTAAATAAAAGATTCACGTGATTGTACAATTAACCCTGGTTAGTGCAGTTTATCTCAAAACCAGAGAAGAGCATTTCTGAACAACCTCCTAAAATGCCGAGGATGTTGGCCCTATACAGGGCTGCACTCTGCCTTGGAGTAACATCCCATATCGTGGGCTGGGAAATGGAAATATCCATAGCAAATTCATACCACAGAAACCGAGATGAGCTTCAGCAGATAAGAAAGGCAGACTGGTAAGCAGATTTTACTTGACAATACCCAACAGCCTAAAGTGTACATCCCCGTGCCTTAGCCCTTTCAACCCTAGGAGAGACCAGCATCGAATTTCTCCCTACAGAAATACTGCTGAATCATTCATTACGATCACGAGAATAAAGGAAATGATAGCCAACCTGAAAAACTCTGATTGTTACTCAAACAGTCTCCTTGTCAGTACCATAGGAAATGTAGAGAGAACAGTTTTGATAATACGAATACAAATGTTAGGTTGTAAAGGGTTAAAATAATTAGATGAACAAATGTATCCGTATAAGCCAACAACCAGCAACCTATTTCCTTCTACTAATTATACTTCGTTGACTGCTGTGGAAAACCAACACGCAGTTTATGCTGAGATAGAGACCAACCATTTAAACACTGATGGTCCACGAACTTGAAGCTCTCCTTCTCGGCCTTCGTTGAAAGACGAAACATGAGATCCATGTTCGTTCCCTTCAGCTATAACCTGATTGACGGGAATTAGAAAAAATTTCAAATTTGCAACCCAATAACTGTTGGTTTATACAAATATGATGATGAAAAATTCACGTACCTCTTTTTCACCATCCACGTTCTCTGTGACAACCCGAACTTCTGTTCCAGGTAAAGGGGTTCCCACAGAGCCCTGCGCTGACACAACATTTCATCGGTTAAATAAGTAGTCACATGATAAAGTTATGTGTGGGATTATTATACAGTATTCAACTCTATTTGGCCAATGGATTCCATGTCGCCGTGCGACTTTTCATTGATAGCTCCCAGATGAATGCGGTAAGTCTTCACGCTGTCGCTTGTCAGCCTCGTTTCATGTTTCACGTTGGAGTCGATATATTATCTGAAAATAAACCTCTGTTGAGTTTTTCTTCACGCCTTACACAAGACTTATTCCGACGCTATACGCTACAGCCACATTTCGAAGCCATCTCTGATCTATTATTAAACACATGGAACAACATGGAATCTATTTGTTTTCTACAATCAGTAGGCAGAAAGTTTTAATGGTGACGTCATTTCTAAGTCTGCCTTTCAATAGAACAGGGAGAGGAACCAATCAAAATGCGTGTATTATTATACTCACTATATGATTGGCTAGATGATTGTTACATCTTACCGCTAATCTTGGTCCACGCAGAGGGTTCGATAGAGCCATGCCTATCTCTGTCATTCCGTATCTTTCTAACAGTGTATGTCCTTTAGTAAACATAGATAAGCATCTTTAATATGTTCCGTATTCTTTTTATTCATACGAATTTTTAACAATGCCAATTATAACAATATACGGAATGCTGGTCACATTTTAGTCCAAAATCCAAACGTAATTGAGACAATTGTTTTAGCCTTCGAACAAGCCCTTTTTATTACCACTTCAGCACAAGTGTTTCTTCGCCTGCGGGCAAGAATGAGGCCTTAAGTGACACGAACCTGCGAGAGGATTGCAAGAGGTATAGCACTGATAAAACCTCTTCTTGACTCGTCTCAAATCTTCACACGGGCGGAGAAACGCGCGTCCTGCAGCGCTAAGATTAAGGACCTGCTCACTATCTATTCCGGCCGTCCTCCCCCATTTTTCATTAGCAATGTTGGACGTTTCCTATATTCTTACCAACGTTGCAGGGGAAGGAGGGGGGGGGAAGGGAAGAGGGGATTTTGTCGGCCTTAAGGTTTTTAACCGTATTTTTTCAAGGTTCCAAAAGGGTTTTCAGGGATTGTTGGAATCGGCTTTGGATGTGTGAACTCAGTATTTCATGATTGGTAAGATTTACTGCAAGAATGATTTCTTTGATTAAAACTTACAACTTTAGAGTGACTAGCATCTAATTTTTCCTCACAATATCTCCTCAGAATCACATATGAAGGTCACGAGAATAAAGGAAATGATCACCAACTAAAAAAATACTGATTGTTATACAAATTCTCCTTGTCAGCACCTTGGAAAATGTGTAGTGAACAGTATAGGGAATATGCATATTGATGTTTGGATGTAAAGGATAAATGGTCCAGCTTATTATAGAAGTGTCTGTCACACAATAGTGGTGAATGAGGGTGTGGAATCTAAAGGTTTAGGGTTTGATTCTTAATAGGAAGCTATTCATTTTTCCTTGTTCCACCCACAAGACAAGAGGAATGATATATTTTGTCAGATAAAGGAATGTTGGATTTCAATGTGATTTTAAAGTAGTGATATTCTAAAGGGTCATATTTACCTGTTATTTCCTTCCATCTTTTCATGACAGGCTCAGGGAGAGCAGCTGAACCAGACACCATTAATCTGTTATCCACAGTTTGAAATCATAGACAAACAAACACACAAACTCATTAACCCTTTAACTCCCAAAGTGATTAACATGTAACCTCTCTCTATAATATCCATACATTAATCCACCAAGCAGGTAATGAGAATACCTATACTTATCAGGTACAAGTTTTTATCGTAATCTAAAACCAAACACTTGTCACTAATTTACAAGGAAATGTGTAGCAAGTATTAGGGAGAATTAAGAATTAGATCATGGGAATTGAAGGGTTCACATTTGACATTTACAAGAATACAATAACCATCACACAACTTAAATACTAGATCATGATAAATTTTTTATCTCTGAAGAGCAGCTTATACAGAAAAAAATATGGAATTCCATAAAAAGAACAAGAACACAAATTAAATCTACCTGAGTTGTTCACATCTAAATCTTATATTCTCCTTCTCTTCTTTCGTCAGGTTCTCTTTTTCATAGTGCTCTATCAGTTTGCTGTAAATTGTTGGAACAGCCATGAATAAAGATGGGTGTGGCTCATCTCCGGTTAGGATATCCCACACCTGTGTATAAATATGGAGAGATAACTCTATGCTATGTTCATCATGCATGTTTAAAATCTCTTGATTCATATTTACTTTTTAACTCAGCAAGAGCTCATGATGTTAGGACCCAGTTAAGCTCAAATATTTCCCTCCTCCTACATGTGTGATTGAACTCAGTCGACCAGCTTTCATCACAAGACTGCTACTTTGTCAATAATTTCCATCTATCTCCTTCTTCCAAGTTCTTTTACCTTGTAGACCTTACACTGTGCCATGTGGCTTTATGCAGCTCTGTTCACCCTATCGCAAGTTTTTTTCAGAACAATGAGATAGCTGTTCCCCCCCCCCGAATTTGGACTCCCTTCCCCCTTCCCCCAATTAGATAGGTGCTCCCCTGAATTTAAACTCCTCCTCCTTGTTGATGTGCCTCATGTCTTGTCCTAAAGTGAATTAAAACTATACGATCATGTGCCAGACACTTTTTAAGTTTTTTTTTTTTTTTTTTTTTTTATAAAAAGTGCTCATCAAGTTGTTTGGGTCATACAATAAAACATTTTAACTTTTGAACAGTCTCCTCAAAATCTGTTCAGTGTGCTATCAAAAACTGATAAAGTTTAGTAAGATTCAAGCTAACTCTAGTAAATTTATAGTGAGTGTAATTCCTCAGCACAATAGTAGCAAAATTTATAACTCCTACCACAATATGTTGCAGGTAATACCAGCTTTCTGATGTAAAGAGACAACAAATTTATGCAGTCAGCAAGGAGAATAAGTACTAACTCTTTTTTAATCATTTACCTTGTCAGGCATAAATTTAGGTAACATGTGACATGTGGCTCCAACCCACAAAGGGCAAAGAAGGACATTTACTATGCCATGGACATGATGAAGTGGAAGACAGTGGATAGTATAGTCAGCTGCCTTCCATTCCCATGCTTTGACTAAAGCAGTAATCTGTGATCTGATGCAACAAAATAATGCAAATTTAAGTGGTGCTGATGGTCGGGTAATTAAAAACAATCACACTCACCTATTTTGAAGGAGAATGGTAATTTCAAACCTAATAATATACATGAAAAAATTATGTGTGTCTGATTATCTGAAAATGAATGCATTTTGAAAGTGAGTGTAAAGTTGTAACACATGTGAAATTAGCAAATAGCATGTGCATCCTACCAGAATTTTGTCTTTCTTGGCTTTCTATGATGTGTTTTTCATGTAAATTATTAACAAGTAACAACATGATTTCTCATCTTCAAAGACTACAAAATGCACTCACCCTGTGGGCTTTTGCAATTTTGTCATTTTTGAAAAAATTACTTGTGCTTATCACCATCAAAAAGCACTTGAAATCATGTTGTTACCAATACTAACTTGTTTAGTAAGTGTATAGAACTAAAATGACAGTAAATTTTGAGCTTGCTTGTAGAATGTGAAAAGAGATGTTATTCACCAGACTAGTAACAAGTATGAGACAAAGAGATTGGTAATAGGCTTGTAATGATCTAGATTGTTATTCTAAGCTGCAGGCAGGCCCTTATAGATAGCCTGTTGGTGCGAGCATTTTTTCTCTTGCATGAGAAGTCTGTGCATGGTCTGGCAATGATTAGCAGACCCCTTCCCCTCCCCCATTGTTCTAAAATTGTCTTATGGGTGAAGCACTCCTCCTGCAGCACTAATAATGAGGGCCTGGTTGCTTTCTACGTTATATTTATTGTGTGGTACAACATTGAAGTGCAGAATCCAAAGGTCTGGAGTGTTTTTGTTCTCTTTTGTTTGTGACAAGATAAGTAACAGATTTCCTTTAGATTAGCTCAACAATATTCTGTATATGAGTAAAGTCTGCCCACTGGTCCAAACAATAACTAACCTCAAATTTCCATGAGTGGACAAAACACCTTTTGGCTGACCTGTGGTTCCACTTGTATACACAATCATTGCATTACGCTCATCCCAGCATTGCTCCGCCATCTCCACTGCAGTGAGCTCTTCACTTGACAACATCTGATTAGCAGACGTTAAGACTTGATCGACATCTGTCAAAAACATAATAGTGACTTCTTGTCCCCTAGCTAGTGGTTCCAGTTTAGGCGCATAATCACTGGACGATATGACTAAATCGGAGTTACAGTCTTGTATCATGTAATCGTACATGCTTGTAGGATGAGAATTGCAGAGAGGAACTGCAATGCCGCCATTTCTCCAGATCGCCCATTGCGTAGCTACATACGAAACGTCGTTTGGACAGAGAAAAGCAACACAGCGGCCAGAAAGGTCTCTTCCTCTGATCCTCTGTAAGATGCTATTCCCAATTGCTTGACTCAAGAATAGAATACGCTCGTAAGAGTGGCTTCCATTCGAATCAACGATCGCAACTCGGTCTTTATATTCTCTTGCTCTCAAAAATACTACAGAATTCCTCTCAGAACGGTTGTTGTTTACACTAGACGAAGCTATGCATCTCCCAGTGAGATTAATAAGACAACATCGCCGAGAAAAACGACGAAATTTACCCACAAAGTTAGAAATGGACGTAAACATTATGGTGGGTTTTTTCAAAACGATGTGCTAACCACGAGCAAGAGTTCTCATTGGCTGTTAAATGATAGAACTTGACCGGAAACGGAAGTTTACCTTTGGCGGGCGTAGAATTTACACCCCAGTGTGCTACAGTTACTGCAAGTTTTTTAACAAAGCAGCTTCTCTAAGAAGTAGTTTGAGCTTTCGTAAACTTGACCATGGAGTAAACTGATTCTGTAAAAAAGAATCAAACAACCGACTATTGATTTGATGTGAATCCAGTTACCTGTCTTTGTGGTCCTTGGGAAGCGTGTGGGTTCATGCCTCTAACCAATGCCAGTCTTGTTCCGGACGCTATTTCGGATGCTTCTGTCCGATTTCGAACACTGCCGTCTGATCTCAGACTCTTCCATACCATCCGATTTTGAACGCTATCGTCCAATTCCGAACGCCTCTGTCGGAGGTCATCGTCGGATTCCGGAGGCAATTTTCCGAATCAGACGCATCTGTCCGATTTTGGACACTATTGTGCAAGTTCGCACGCAATCGTCTCGCTGGGCGAGCGCTCCTGTCCGATTCCGGACGCCACTGATTCCCGGCTATGATTTTCCTAGAAATCCGTCGACATATTTTTCCGACAAAAATGAAGTAGGTGACATTTCAAAATGCTCCTGTTTTCAGTGTTTTACTGTTAGCTCTTCTTGTCATCAAACCTGAGAGATACCATGTTAGTTGAGCGCCACTCCATGAAAAATCCGCTCCTAATAGAGCGCTGCTTCAAAGTTGGAAAAAATGCAATGAACGGCGCGGCGCTTGCGTTTTCTAGACGGAGCGTCGGAATGAGAATGACCAGTAGCCTATTATTCGTAATAGGCTCCTGGCATGACAAAAGGACATTGGGTGCAATCATTACCAGACCTCCGCCTCTTTCTGATCCTCATTGTTATACAAGAAAGATAAAAAATGTGACCCTCGTAACAACTTTACTCAAGAGAGAGGGCGCAAAAGGATTTATACGTAACGCGTGATTTAGTTTTAGGTTTTTTAAGTAAGCAAGCGCATTGCATCATTTTAAGGCGCGCGACGTCGTCCCAACGCGAGGTCCCTATTAGTTGGCATACGACTATGTTTCCGGGGAAACAAGCGTCGACAAAAATACATCGTTAGGCATAAAGAGGTATATTTTATTTGTCAATTCAATTTGTATATTATATTTCCAGAGACACATAGAGTTCAAGCATTAATTATTTACAATAATGACCTAGGAATATAGAAAAATCTTTGCAACGTCAATCTGTAAAATATTTTAACTATGGCAGTCATTCTTAACCTTCTTGTCTGGTTCGTTTTTCTTTGAATACCTCAACAACTGGTTTTCTTATATAAGTCCAAGCTTTAATATCATTCATGGCTTAGCCATGAAATCACAGCGCGAGAGGTACGAAATATATTGGAGGAAGTGAAATTACTTTCTACTCAAAAGGGATCAAAAATTGTTTTCTTCACAAAGCGGATTTTCTTAACAAAATAATTCAAATTGTGAATCCCCTGTCATCTGTCAAATGTAATTTTGTTGTTGTTTAGTAAAGTAGGCAATAGATCTTTGACCAGTCAGAGGGCACGTAGCAGCACAGTTACTCAACAATACGCAACAACGTTTCATTTCATTTTTCATCTTTCTCGGAGGCGACATCTCTAAGTGGCTAAAACGCTACATAAAGTATGAATGCAAAGTACTTCAGGCAAGCAAGTACAGCAAAGCATGTCGATAGTATTATTTTACTTAATAGGAGGACACCAAAACATAGCGGGCTTGTTCTTAAATGACGTCGTCATTTTTCATCGCTGTCACATGACACGGTTTGCAACAAAATCGAGAGATTTCGTCGGTTCCAACTTTAACTCTCTGATGGGCCTGGTAATGACTTTTTTATCTTAAGAAACACAGCCTGGAGGACCGCGTCTGCCTGGTGACCATCTCCGGAGCAGCTGTAAGAAAACGAATGACACAGATATGAGGATGAATTCAATAAGCAAATTTTGGCGGGGTGGTAGCGGTCTTGGTATAAAACTATCTCTTCGTACTTCTTAAATACTTCTGTAGCTGCACCACTAGATTTGAATTCACCCGTTCAACGAAATAGTTGGTAAATATATTCTCCGCGAAGCTTTCTTGCGCTCTTCAGGACTAAAAAACTTTTACGCAGTCATTGAACGAATTTGGGTCCTTTTCGGATTGCAAACTAACGAAGTGCTAACTCATTGATGGCTTTCATTTTTCTTGCACCTAATCCATATCAGCAAAAACTTGTTCACTGATGTTGTGTTGGTAAATTTCGAACTGGTATTCGCGCTCTTCTATTATTGAAAATCATTAGCTGTTATTCCTACTCGGCTTGGAATCTTAAGGTCCATAGCCAGCAAGAATGGACGGGAACCATAGTGGAAAGAACAAACAAAAGTAGGTTTGCAATGCATGCATTAAGTTCCTAATTTTTTTCCATTTTTATTTCCGATCCTCATTCTCCAGTCCCCATTCCTGATTTTCCAGTTTCCATTTCCCAATCTGTTTCCCATATCTCATTTTCCAATTCTCCACTCCCACTTCCATTTACGAGCCGCGACCGATGAAGTTCTTTTGATGAACCTAAATCAAGCTTCTATGAAAAGATTAATCAATTGCAGCAAAAATCAAGACACTGCTTTTAATACATACAATTTTTGCAGTTCAGTTTCAGCGATTTCAAACCAGGCCCAGTCCCTTCGTCGTGTAGCTCGGCTCATATTGACCAAGAACTCCACATGATGAGTGCTGACCTGTTGCCTAGTGTCTAGTTCGTCCTCGTCATTCATCATTTGATGGACTTTGGGGCCCAATGACTTAATTGTGTCCACCAGGTGCAACGCTTGCTGTTCTAGTCTAAGTAAAAGACAGCCATAAAAGTACAAGATAAATATTTCTATTTCAAGGTTTTGCGCCCTAAAAAAGCTGTTCCTCACCAAGGCCCCTAGAGGCTTTGTCATAGCATACACGGGGTAATTGGCGCGCGGCTGGCAAGAACTTATTCCCTCGCACATGCTTGACTTTTTACCGCTGTGTTCACACGCCCACGGGATTTCCACTGCATGTAACTCAGCGGTAAAACGGGAAACCGGAAGTTCTTAGATAGCAATCTTCTTAGGAAACTCAAGTTACCTCTTTGTCCCAGACTCGAGACAAACAGACAAATTAATATCTTCCTTCTCCACTGTATGCTTTAATTTTTAGAATATTTTTACAGGGGAAGGGATGAATTAGGCAGCACTAGAGTCACTGGCAGGCATGGTATAAAAGTTTCGAAAGGGTTAAGAGAAATGTTCAGGTACAGACTTCAAAGAATTTCTCACCTGAGACATCTCATCAAGTCCTTTGCAGCTAATGCTCGGATGAACCCATTGTAAAGAAATTGTAGGGCGGTTAAGTAATCTTCTGCTTGGCAGCACATCCAGTGTGCATCTAACAAACTGTCAACTGAGATCAAGGAAAAAAGCTTTAGTATTGAAACAGATTTTTCTTAGAGAGGTGGGTTCTCGCATCAAATTTTGAGCGATTTTCGATTGAGTTTCGAAAGTTATTCCGAACTATATCAGTTATGGTGGAATTGGTCCTTATTTTCCTTGACAACTTTTGTTTTGATTGAGAAAGAAACTACTTCAGAAACTTGTACCCGAAAATAGAGTAAGAGGAGACTGCACTGGCGCGCGGGGATGGGAGGAAATAAGGGAAAAGAGGAAAGTGTGAGGGATGCACGAGGAAAGTGCGCTGAAAATGGTGTAAAAGTGCGATAAAATGTGATGAAAATGCGATAAAACTGCGGTAAAACGGCGGGAGAATTGCGGTAAACTAGGGAGAAATGCGATAGAGGTGCGATAAAACTGCGGGAGAATTGCGGTAAACTAGGGAGAAGTGTGGTGAAACTGTGGGAAAAGTGTAATAAAACTGCGGGAAAGAGTGAGAAAAGGCGGGGAAGCGCGAGGAAAGTGCAGGGAAAGATCAGGAAAAGTGGTTAACTGGTAAGTGGTACCTGCACACGCGGTTGCCTGCATGTTGCTGTACACCATGGAGACCCGATAGAAAGCTTGGGACGCCTCGCGCCAGTGCTGCTCTCTACACGCTGCTGCAGCTGTGATACTGTACAAGACAACAGACCATGTGGTGCCCTTACTAACACTGGAAAATCTGCAAACACAGAAGGTTAAGAAATTCTAATCGTAAACAGTACAACGTGAAAGTACCGCTCAGTGGCTTTCATCTGAATGGTCACACTTCAGGGTTTCGTCCACTGAATGAAAAGTTAAAACCACCTTGTACAGTATAATTAGAAACATCACATAAGAGTACTGTTAAGACGTTTAGAAGAACAGACACACACTGGGGTTTCTCACACCAACCTAAAAGTTAGAAGCACCTTGAATAGCTATAACAAAAAAAAGGAAACCCTTTCACCCGCAATATCTCGATGAAATTCTCCTTACTGTCTGACATTCATTTCTTATAAAATTTTTTCAGAGAATTTGGTGCTAGATCAAATGATGATCTCCTAATTGATAGTTTTCCCTATTCTCATCACTTGGCTGCTTGATATTGTATTAATATTGTAAGGAGAAATTATGTTTTAATCGCTCTTGGGAGTTAAAGGGTTAAAGTACTGCTCTGTAGCTTTCAGTTAATTGACAAGAATCGTAATAGAAATGCATTCGCAATTTATAAGAAGATACTTAACTCACCCAGCTGTTTCGTTGAGAAGACTTGTTAGAGAGTTGTACGAATCTTCTATGTCGAAACTGCAACAAAAGAAGAGTCGTGTAACGAAAGATGTTGAAGAAGAAACCAATTGCTCAAATTGTTTTGTATCATTACCTGGCGCTTATCTGCTCTCTGCGATATGCTTCGTACACATCCACAGTTTTATTGAGTAAGAGGTCTCGTGTAGCAAACAACTAAAACGTACAAAACAGACAAACATTCAAATCAGTCTACTAGGCGAGACACTATCCCAGCAAAGTCTACTTTCCTCAACGCGTGTGAATGGGATCTCAAGATCTGCTGTGAAACTTGAGAAATAACTTCGAGGTTGCCTGTGATACACCAGCAACCAATCCTAGAGGAGAGGCAACACTCCAAGTTACCTCTTGATAGAGAAATCAGAAAAAGTACCGGAAGTGATGATTGGGACACCCACTTAACACATGACCTTTACGCTAACAGCGTTGTCTACAGGCACTTACTCCTTCAAGTTTTCTTATTTCTTCCAAACTTAGCGTTGTAGCTACGACGTCACTATAGAGTTGAAGCGCCCTTTCACGGTCTCTTAATTGAAACAGCCTCGCAGCAATCATCCTGGTTAAATGTAACAACTTGTTGAGCTGGTTTTCCTGCGAAAGTAAAGTTGGACAATTAACCCTTTGACTCCCACGAGATACTAACATATAACTTCTCCTAAAGATTCCGATATGTTATCTTACAAACGGGTTATGAGAACAGAGAGCTGATCAGCCAGAGGATGTCAACTTGACATGACACCATATTCCCTTCTCTAATTTACAAGGTAACGTAAGATAACCAGAAGGGAGAATAAAAAATTGGATCTTGGGAATTCAAGGCGGATTAACAAAGAAACGAGCGTTCTATGGCTTGGTAGAAAAACTGAAAAAAAATCTCATCTTGCGAACTGTTCTTCCGATCTTTGAGTAATGAAACAAATTAAACAAACAAACATACAATCAAACATACAAAAAGGGTAATTGTCCTACACAGAGCAATAAAAAATATTAGTAAACATGGCGTGCGTGACTTTTTCAAACACGTGATTTGCACACCTCAGTTTCTAGCTTGAGCCAACGCTCCACAGGTGTCAACTCGGCCAATTTTGGCTCTACGCTTGCTTCCACATTGGGCGACTGAGGCATAGATGAATCATCTAATGAGGTTTGTTGCATCAGACCATCACACTCGTCTTCGATAGACGATGGATCCACCGCGAGCATTCTTTCTTCTGTTCGGAATTTTCTAATGTTTTCCCTCAATCTCTCTGAAGTGCTCGGATCTCTTTCTCTCTTAACGCTCTTCCCACAGTTCTTAGAGGCCGGCTTTCGTTTGAATGTCGTCCGGCGGGAGCCACCCTGCCGTTGTGTACGAATTCTGAGAAGTCCCCCATCAGTGGAACTAAATATGAAAATAGAAAGAGGTCATGTAGCTAAAGCCTTAACACACTTCAAATGATTTATCCTCGCAAATTATCCCACGAGTCTGTCGCGCTGATATGAGTTGAAGAAGTTGCCTACTGCAACACTTTCGCCCAACTTTTCCTTAGCAAGTTTCACAAGTTAAATGCAGCCTTGTAGATGGCCTGTTGAGAAATGGACTTTTCAACAGTTCTTGTCACACAGGCGTTGTGCGATGTAATCATTATAAAGGGCATTTAACAGAGCAACATTACCTACGTTACGAAATTTCGGATAAGCTTGCAAAGAGAGAAGGCTTGCACCAAAATGTACAGGCAAATCAAGGAAGAACGGTCCTGGGTAAGCAAGATTGAGACAAATTTTTCAAGAATTTATTTGAAGGAAATTTTGGAGAGGTCAAGCGTTTGACTGAGTAGAAATGACCAAGATATTTTTACTTGAAAAAACCTGAGGGATGGCTACCGCCGCGGATTAAAATACCAGTTTTAAATCTTAGCAAATTTAAGTCACTTACTCTGTTTGGTCTTTATCGGATTCTGAGCCTCTGCCTCTGTATCTATTCCACGCTACACAAAAATAAAATAATTTTCTTTCGTTTTAATAGTTGTTCTTTACGAAAGAAAATGGCAAGTTGTCAAAAGTTGACGAGAATAGTTAATAGTTTTAAATATTCCTCTGCCTTTAGTGCTTGGATGACTTCTTCGATTTGGCCTGAGAAAATACATTAAAGGTACAAAACTACTTTCTCATTACTGTACCAGTCCATCATGGAAGACGATTTCTGTTATCTCATATTCACAATTTCCCACAAACCCTTTCACCCCCAATATCTTATTAATAATTTCTCCTTACTATCTGCCATAAAATTCCTATGATGTCAGTTTAGAGAATTTGGAATTAGTTCACTTAAGAATCCCCTAATTGATAGTTTTCTTTATACTCATCACTTGTCTTATTGATACTGTATTGATATTGTTAAGAGAAACTATTACCCCATTCACACCAGCAAAACATGTTTTGTTAAACTGGTTTTCATTGAATGAAAATTATAAACAGAGAACTGGAAAACTTGATTTTCCATTGGATTCAAGTACTTGCTAACTTGCATTTCCAATGTGCTACATTCAAGTCAAAAATATTCGGTTAAATAGTTTCTATGAAGAAAAAAAAAATTAAACTGTGTTTAACAAAACAACTTTTAAACATGTTTAAGCTTTGGTGTGAATGGGGCATATGTCTTGGTCACTTGGTTAGTCCAGTAGTCCAGTGGACAGTGCACTGGGCTCCGAGTCGGACGACCCGAATTCTAATCCTGGCCGGGGCAAGGCATTGTGCCCTTGAGACGTGCGAGAAAAAAATGCGAGCTCCGCTTTTAGGCTTGGCTAAATCTCTATATTATTGTGAGGAGAAATTATGTCTTGGTCACTTGGTTAAAGAGTTGAGATCGGCGATCACCCAAAGGGGCGAAAGGGAAAAAACGTCACCGAGAACAATGGCGGTTCAAACTAAAAGCCTACAATGTCGCCACATACATTTGGATCAATATCAGTACCTGGGCAACTGCCCACCTACCCCTCCCCTAACCCAACATTAACCTTAACTTGTTGTCAATTAACTGTTGTTGAGTTAGGGGAGGGGTAGATGGGCAGTTGTCCAGATACTGATATTGATCCATATATTTAACATTGTCCAACCTTTGAGCAATCCAGTTTTTTTCTTGGTATGACACTCCTTTATGCTCTTGATCCAGAGTTCCTTTGTTTCAGGTGAAGATGCCTTCAGCAGGTAAATTTCAGCACCTCCCAGCTTTCTCAGCCACACAGCCCACTTGCACGGATCGCTGTCCACTGATTCTGTTTGGCCAATACCTTTGGTCTGGCAAGAAAAAGAAACAAAATAATTAATATAAAGCCATTGACGTAATGAAAAAGTAACCAAAACTGCACACGCGTAATCCGATGTACAAACTTAAGCCAAAATTTTCTAGTCTCGGTATTTCAGTTTAACGAGAATTTTGTCCCAGAATCTCAGTTACCTCTGGCGCTATGTTCAAATATGCCCACCTGTATCGATATATTTTTAAGAGCGTTTCAATCTTACACGGTAGTGGATTTCTCTTACATTTTCCTTAAAAACGCGGCAGACCATAATTGCCCCTTTTTGCGCATGCTTTACCCGTGACCGCTGCGCTACGATAACGCTGTTGAAATGTCGTCTGCATCAGTCCTTTTCGAGACCAACCCCCACCTCGACAGTAACACTACAGTACATGGACACTACGGCTGTTCATCGTATCCGATGTTGACCGTGATTTAGAGGTCGAGAAACTTTTCTTTGTTTTATCATCCTTCCCAAATTTTGAAGCATGCTCAGCATAAAGTTCATTTGCAAGCTTCTACGAGCAAAAACATCGATAGCACCCCACTAAGCCATTTAGAATTACAGATATTTACCTTCATGCTGTGCATATATCTAAATTCCGGAAGACCACCTTCTCTTGTCATTGGCTCGCTAAATATAATGATTTTTTCAAATAAAAACACTCTTCTTTCTCTGCCTTTAGTCTTTGCTTTTCCATCAACAACCATAAACTCGTCCTGGACAGGAAAAAAAATATGAAAATGAAATCCTAAACACTAACAGATGAGAATAAAGGTTGGGCAGAACCACATTTTACCTTTTACCTGCAGTGAAGCTGTGCATTCAATCTTAATTTTACAAATTTCCTATATAATCTGACGTTATTAATCTATCATTATGCACCAATCACAGAAGTGGAATTACATCCAAATACAGCTGAGCAAAACAGGATATAGGCGATGCGTACTCAATCGACCTCATCGCCTGAAGAAGACTAGCAATATACAGTCGAAATGTCACGATCCACTTCCGAAGTGACCACATCGCGAGACAAACAATTATATTTCTCTTTTGAAGTGTTATTAGAATAACTACATCCTATTTTACGATAGAATTGTTTGTTGTTTTTCCTTCAGCGTCCTGTTTATCTTGTTTGAGCAGTGCGACTATATTTATTTCATTTTCGCGAACAACAGTAGAATTCTCACCTGAAGTAAAAGATCTCCTGTTTCCTCGGACTTCACCTGAAAGAGTTAAGTTCAAAGGTAACTAAACCCTTCAATTAGATGGTTTCCATTTAAGGCGTTAAATCTCAGTGTAGGGTCATGTATGATAGAAATGGAACAAAGACGGCAAAGTAAAGACGTCTTCTAAAGATAGACTTGTCTTGCTGCTTGGCGTTCACTACACTCGCTCACCTCGAATCCTTGAAGCATCCCCACGTTAACCATGTCATTTGTTCGCTTGAGAATTCGAAGGGCAACTTCTAAAGCTCTCTGAGATAAAGAATAGAACAATAACTTTGAGAATTTTCTTGCATTTTTCAACGCCAGCGGACTTAAAGGAGAAATGAACGAGAAACCCGAGTTGAAAATAATAAATCTAACCTCTAGTTGCTTACAATCCTCTCCAGCTCTATCTGTATGCTTCAGAATGTCCTGAAGAAAACCGAAGTAAAATTACATTTGTCCAAATAAACACCGATACATGAATGAACAAAACAACAGTTTTTTCTTCTGAGTGTAAGGAGAAATTCAAGATTGCATTAGTTTGCTTATCTTACTCTGTGATTGGTCGGAAAAAAACTCGTGTCACCCTCTCAACCAATGAGATGCAAAACTAAACCTAATAGTGACTTGGTCACCCGCGTTTTCCCGCGCTTTAAACAGTTCTCTTGTTTTTACTTTAAGCTCTGATTGGCTCCTTGTTATATTTTCCTATGTTTTTATTGGCTAGTGTGGTTACGTTGACTTTGGCTTTACAGCACCCAATTGAACTTTGCTCTAAGATAGTTTTCCTTTTAATTCTCCACACGTAACTTATTTGAGTAACTTTACATAAAAAAATATGTCTGCATTATTTTCACAATGAACAAACTATCATTTATACAAGGACAAACATTGCCCTCAGACAGGCTCATTACTCTCATTGCAAAAACCATAAATGTGACAGAAATAATTATGATATTAACCTTTAGCAGCAGTTGATATTTCGTTATCCTCTGAACAGGTTTGATAAGATAATCAGCCAACTGTAGTCTGTGGCCTAGTCTTTCCTTGCAGCTTTGGAAAAAGGAGTCCGCATATTTTTGGACCAACAAGTCCGATTTAGGTTTGTTTCTGCAGTACTCTGAGTATAGTTCTTCAAGTTTGTGTTCCTGTCAAGAATTAAAAAATAAAACGGTTTAAATCCAAGGTAATCACTTTAAACAAATGTTCCTAACCTTTGGTACCGATTATATGAGCAGGTTTCACTTGTGTGTCGAAAAACCAAAACCGCTTTGATTTTTTAGTTTAGCATCTGATTGGTTGGAAGGATTGCGCGAGTTTTGTGGACCAATCACAAGGCAAAGTTAATTACAACCAAAGCAATTCCGGATCACTCTCGACACTCAATTGGAAATTTCACCAGTGTACCTATAAGAAGTTTTAAATAACTTAATAAAAATGAAAGAAAAGTGTTCTTCGATGGATACTATTAATTACCGATTCTGCAAAAACTTCACCAATCTTATCAGGCTCATCTTCACAGGACTTCAAATGACTGCACAATTCGCTGGATGGCGAGAATGAAAGAAAAAACCCAGTTAGTACGGACTATAACTGGATGGCAATTACATGGGAAAATATAAATAAGTATATTTCTAATAGTAATTTATATCCATGTCTGAAATAGAAATGAATTCAGTACAAAATATTACGGGAGACACCTCATCGCAAAACATTTCCCTTCACACTTGCTTGGTTGTGGGAAGAGGTGTATATGGTATGTATCAAGCTACATTTCAACTTTAAAGTTGGTATGTGGACGTTATGTGTCAATTAATTTTTGTGCGGATTGTAGTCGCATCAGTTAATATCGTTAAGTAGTTTTTTTTCCTCTACTACACAAGACTTAGAATGTGTTACTCCGATTATCTGCGGGATCATAACTAAACGGGCAAAAAGTATCCACACCTTGAGTGCCATTCATGAATATCTTGAATATTGGAAAAGATTTCTTTTCCTTTATTTTTTAATTCTACTGGTAGATTGCTTGAGGAAAATTCTGGTATGTAACCCTGAAAAAAAGAAATATGTGTCTTTGATCAGTCAAATGAGTGATCAAAAAGGAATTTTTCCTCTTAATAACATAACATCTTGATGCAGAAGGTAAATACGTATTGAGGAGAAAGAACGAATTTAACAAGTTGGATGTGTAGTGTCTACATTTGGATCAAGTGGTCCATCCAGCTGGAGATTATTCCAGATTATTCCATGAAGCAATGAGAAGAATCCCCACTCCCCCCCTGGATGGGATGCCAGTCAATTGGAGGTAACCCCCTTGCATTTTATCGGGCCTCCTTGATTATTTGATGGTATCCATTTATACTCCTGGGTTGAAAGTGGTACTCTGAGAGAGAAGTGTTTTGCCCATGAACACAATATATTTACCCAGGTACGTCTCAAACCCCAACCTCTCCACTGGGAGTCCAGCGCATTAATCACTGATTAAGCTACTGCATCTCCACTGCTTGGTTTAACACAAACTTCTCAAAGCTGTAAGTATGAGAAATAAGTAGCAGACAATATGGAGCATTGATATTCAGATTGTGAAGATCCAAGGGTGAAAAATGACTTCAAAGAGCTGAACCTTGCTTATCTGATAATCACCATGTCCAATGTACCATTGGCTGAGTTATAAACATAAATTAAAACTCACTCACAACAGTTGTTTTGCAATACCATTGCCATGCTGTAGAATTCAAAGATAAATAAAATTCTCACCTTGACAACATAGCCAAGGTCTTGAACATAACTTTGCTCTGTGTCTATCAGTTCAGTCACAACATATCTGAAGTTTAGAATCAGTGAAGTGTTGAATGATGAAAAGAAATGGACACAATTCGCGCAAAATCACGTGATTTCCAACTAAACTCTTTCATAGTTCCATTTTACAGTTGCATGCTTGGTTGCCAAGCCTCTGAACAGAAGTGAGGCTATGGTTGACCTTGGTATGACACAAACCTTACTGCTTTCCAAAGATAAATTACTTTGTTATCATGCTAATTAGATACTGGTCTCTGTCACAACAAAATCACCTTCAGCCTCACTCCAAACAAAGGCTTGGCAACTAAGTACACAACTGTAAAATGGCCTATTATACAGGCATTTTGATGGGTTCTTACCTATGATCTATGGGAAGACTGATGCATAGATGATGTCACCATTCAAAACAGTGCTTTTTTATCATATAAAATAAATACATCCTATGTTTTCAGGGGTCTGTACAGTGATAGATCACAGAAGACGTCACTGAAAATGTGGTATGAATGTCAGTGACAGACTCAGCTGCACCTTGTGCACAACATTTTTGTCCTTATTACATTTTAATGTTATCTGTGATCTATCACTGAAGTTACACACAACAACATGAAATCTATTTGTTAAATAAAAAACACCATTCCTTATAACAGACATACTCTAGAGCAGAGTTTTTCAGATTCACATTTTGCTACTGGATACATTTCTGCTGTTTACAGTACTGCAGATCTGGAAAATTCTTCTCTAGAACAATCTTAGTCTTAAAAACTTACCCTCTCCTGATTAGTGCCTTCTCCTGTGGACTCCGAGGAACCTCCTCAATAACCTGCTTTCCACATTCAACGACTATGTTATGTGTATGAACAACATTTTCTGAACCCCCTAGACTACAAACACTCAGAGAATCATCACTGTCCACTGTAGCAACTTCAAAATCCTCTTGCATGGCTTCTACACATTCTACTACACACATCTGTATATCATCTTGTGCAATCTCTGCTGCACAGGACACTGATCCTTCAGACCAATCTTGTACAACTGCTTCTTCGTCAAATTCCACAGGTGAACCAAACCTAACATCATCAGACACAGAGCTCTCAGAAGAGGCCATAGAGTGTTCCTCGACAACAGTTTCAACAGAACAAAATGACATAGATTCTTCCTGCACTACACAAATATTTGATTCATCAGCAACATGAACATCTTCTGATGCCTCCAGCTCTCTTTGATTAGTTCTCACTGACTGGCTATTTTGAAGACTCTTTGTTTCTGAGTTTGTGGCTGGATCACTGTCGATAGAAATCGTTGTCACAAGTCCATTTTCTTGAATTCTACAAGAATTTGTTTCACTGTAACCATTCATTAATTCAGTCTTCTCTCCATCTGATGTAATCAAACCTTGCCTTTCCTTCTCATCTTGTTTAGTTTTATCCTTTAAGGAGTCTTCTCTATTTAGAGACTTCTATATTTAACAAAAAGAAAAAAGCCAAGAGTAGAAGTTTGAACAAATGAAGAAGAAGAAGCTTGAGTGATTTCTGATGGAGTTCGTAATTCTCCATGGAAATTGTACTTGTATTCCCATGGAAACAAGAGAAGAAGTTAATTTGCCTTTAAATGTCATGTACGGCTTCACTTCAAACATTCTATCATTTAAAACATATGTACATTGTATGCTCAAAGGATTAGTAAGGTTCCAGAAAAAAATATCACTGTTTTCATTCTCCAAAAAAAAAAAAATCTTTCCAGTCTAACCAATCTAGGAAAGCTAATTTCCTAAGAATTAATTATCAGATGGCTTATGTTGCTTTTGCTAAGCATATAGACATGCCTTTATTAATAGCCCTTTGGCATGAGTGTTTCTTCACCCACAGGAAAGTATGAAGTCTTGACTAACACAAGCCAGCATGAGGTCTGAAAAAAAACTGGCACTGAGTGCCAGACTCCTGGCACACCTCTCCCTAACTTGCCAAGAATCTTCTAATGGGCAGGGAGATGCAAGTCTTGCAGTGCTTATCACTGTATGAAGACCTCCTTATAAAAGCTGAGGAAAATCATCTGCCTTCCAGAGAGGGAGAAAGAACACTGAAAGCAAATTGTAACACATAGGCAACAACATGTAGTTTAAGTGAAGTACATACCTGTCTACAAATTTCTTCCTTTTCCAGAGGAGATAAAGATGGTAACTTGGATTTTTCAGTAAACACATGATTGAGTTGTTCTTTAGCAAGACTGATTAGGGATTCAAAACATTCCAAAGCAGCTTCATCGTCGCCAACAAGAACAAGACCTATAGAATCGCACATGCATGTAAAAAAGATTACTGTATTTACTAAATTATACCACACAGAGTTTATTAATTAATGGCATTTCACAAAATTTAATGATGAGTGGGATTATAAATCTAAAGGCATCTTAATACTAAAAGCTTACCTTTTCCTGCTTTTAGAAACAGTGACATTGCCTTCCTAGGGTGCTGTACCTTACTCTGAAATGCTTCTCTCATGGCTGCATGAAACTCTGTTGGACAAGAATAATTTCAAATCAGCCCAACATGAATTGAAAGGAAAAATGAGGAGAAGGTTAAACTGGCAAATGATCTTCCTGTATCCATAACAGATTAAAAAAAAAATTGTACAGTAAGCATAACAAAAATGGAATTTCCTCACTGCTCCTCTCGAATTCTTTTTACCTTTTCACTCTCAGGTCTCATTGGCCATTCTCCTTACTGTCTGCCACTCAATTCTGATGACATCGTTTCGGAGAATTTTTTAATTGAATCAACTAATGATCCCCCAATTGATTATTGTCTTTATTCTAATCACTCTGCTTAATGTTGTATTGATATTGTAACGAGAAATTCTGTCTTGGTCACTTATGGGAGTTAATAACCCTTTAATCCTAAGAGTAACTAGCATCTAATTTTCCGAAAAAAAGGATATTTCACACAAAAGACTTTTTGCACAAGTCTGTTAGCACAAGTTTTGAACCGTTCGCACAATTCTTTGTGGTCATTTCGCACAATAATTATAAGTGAGAAACATCAATATAAAAGGTATGCTAATTGATACTGATAAAACATTTCACCTTCGCATGTCACTTTCAATAAGATCCAATGGCGAGAACGTAGACATTTATTTACGTAATAACTTCAACTAGATCGAAACACTTGTGAACACGATCACTATTCTTACTTGAAGAAAGGAAAAAAATCTTTCTCTCCTTGTTGTATCATACCTGAATCAAACATCAACCTTTTAGCCCCTAAGAGTGACTAGCATCTAATTTCCCTTATTACATCACCTCTGAATCAAAAATGAAAGTCATGAGAATAGAAGAGGTGATCACCAACTACAGCAGCTCTTGATTGTTAAACAGATTCTCCTTGTTAGCCTCATTGAAAATGTATGGAGAACAGTTTGGAGAATATGCATACTAATGTTTTGGTGTAAAATGTTAAAGTCATGAGAATATAGAAAATGATCACCAACAAAAGAAGCACCTGATTGTTACACAAACTCTCCTTGTTGGCATATTAAGAAACGTATAAAGAATATTATGGAGAATATACCAACTGATGTTGTGGTAAGAAGGGTTAAAGTGATCATTTTGTTACCTTGGCTATCCTTGACGGGAATGGTTTCTTTGTGTGAAGTATCTCCATTTTCTGCTGTGTCTCCATTGATGCCGCTCTGTTGATCTGCCTTGGAGAGAGGCTCATGGATGACTGGCTGAAATACTGTGCCGTGGAAGATGAAAAAAGAAAGATGTGGTATGGTTAAAAATGAGTCTCAGGTAAAATTATTTCAAAATTATTGGAATAGTTTCCTACTTGGTCCCAGGTAACTCAAGATTGTCTTTCAACAAATCATTTTGCTGAAAAACTATGAGGTCAAGATGCATCAGAGGTTTTGTAAGCCAGATAAAAAATACACCCCTGCCTCCCCCCCCAAAAAAAAAATTCCAGTGCCAAAAAAAGAATGAGCACCAGCAATTTCAGAAGTTCAAGAGTTATTTATTTCAAAAGTTCAAAAGCAAATAATAAAGTTAACTTCACACTCCCTCTCTCTGGAAAAAAAATTCTACACACGATGGACAATATATCCAAAGTTTTCACTTTTGGAGAAAGGCTGCATTCAAGCCTGAAAATTCTTGAGCCCAACATAAAATTATAAACTTAAGGCAACTGACAAAAAAAGGCAATTCAATATTCCATACTTTTATCTATAGAAACTAATAATATGATCTAACATTTTTCTTCAACCCTTTAACTCCCAAAAGTGATTGAAATCTAACTTCTCTTTTCAATATCCATACATTGTCCAGCAAACAAGTAATGAGAATACTCATGCTGATCAGGTAGATGTTGTTTTCATGAAAAGACACCAAATTATTGTAACTAATTTATTAGGAAATCTTTAGCAGCCAAAGAGGAGAATTAACAGTCAGATCTTGAGAGTTAAAGGGTAAACCCACAGGAAGTAGGACTGCGGTTATTTCGAGTGCATGCAGATCAGGAAAGTCAGAAGCTTGTGTTGAGCGAGAAATGCATATAAACTGCGTGATTTAGTTCTTGCCATCAGAAGGAACAAAACGCTTCAAGTGAGGATCAAACACAGCCATCTATTTTTACATGGTGACAAATGGGTTAGTTATCAGCAGTTATCACCTGACACATGTTTTCACGATATTAATTTTTTTAAAGAAGATAATCCTGTGTTTACAGTAGTCTGTGAAATGAAAGGGCATAAACTTTGACCAGAGTTCCATGGTTTTCATTGGAAGCGTTAAGTTTCAGGAGAATATTTCCACATCTAAATGGATAATGGCCATAGTTATCAAAAGTTAGTAAAGGAATTCTGTGTCCTAACCAGAAAACTCTCTGATCTCTGATGCATGAAAAATAACCAGGTATTTTGGAAATTACTGACAAATTTTTATAAACACGATTAGTCTGACTTTTGTGCCTGTAGCTTGTCTTTCATCAATTGTTTAATTAAAACTAAAAAAAAAAAGCTATTGTCTATGTGTTGTCTGATTAAAAAAGCTATTGTCTCTGTTTTAGAATACTTGACAGGGGAAGGAATGCACTATTTGAATTTAATTGAAAGTATAGCAGACAGTATGAAGAATCAGTTATGAGATTCTTGGAGTGAAAAGGCGAAGGCTTTAAAAAAGACACCCTTTCAATTGGTTTTTCCTTGTTTAACTATATGTAAAATTTGATGAATTTGAGTTGCATAAGAAAAAACCCCTAACTGCCTAATAAACATCATCAAATTAAGTCTGGTTCCCTAAAAATGATTGTTTGAATTTAGAACCAGCACCACACTGCTGACCAACCAGCAGAGAACAATCAGTTAGCCCTTTAACTCCCAGAAGTGATTAACATGTAACTTCTCCCTATAATATGCATACAATATCCAGTAAACAGGTAATAAGAATACTAAAATTTATCAGAGTGAAGTTGTTATCTTGATCTAACACCAAATTCTCACAACTTATTGCCAAGAAATTGTGCAGCAGCAAGAAGGGAGAATAAACAATCAGATCTTGGGATTTAAAGGGTTAACACCATGTTAAAAAGGACCTTGACAAAGGGAATAGAAATAATCCTGAAAATTTCTGTTGTGAACCACACATTTATTGTGAATAGATCTTGAATGTTATGAATAGGCATGGTTGAAAAATTAACGATAAAACAATACTTTTTCAATTCATTTAAACTAACCCTTTGTTTAACTTATTCATTTTCAAATATGGCATTTTTTCTGCTATTATTTACAAACTTGAAAAACATTTTTTCACTTTGAGGAAAAATTGAATTCAGTAAAATGCTTTAAAAGGATTTATAAGGACAATAAGAGGCCCTCTCTTGAACGGAAATGCATGTTTGTAAAATTATATATATTGGGCTTGTGAACCATAACATCAATCAATATGACATAATTGAAAATATCGAGAAAAATAGTCTTGACCCAAACCCAAAATTAAAATTCCGGGATGAACTGTCACAATCAAATTTTCAGAATTTTCACCCCTTGATAAGAAATTAAGATCAAGTCTACTTATTTCAGTGCAAATTCCTAAACATATGTTTCCGTCCATCAATCGCGAGAACCTTCCAGTTACCGCTGTCTGTAAATTAGCATTTCAGATTTTAACTTCCTTTTGCAACGAAAACAATGGCTTAACCATTAAATATAATGTAAACAAGGGAGACAGTGTTAAGCTGTTATAAAAATTCGATACTGGAGGCGATCGCTCGAACAAAACTGGAAGATACTTAACACGAAATCATTTCTTAAGACTTGGTTCAATCATTTTAAACCCTTAGAGAATTTTGGGATAATTACGGCTATTACACGTTTCACCCCTTTGTACAAGCTAATTGTAAATACACATATATATACATTTCGATTTTTGCAGTTTTGATCGACGAAAACATTTGTGTGACCTTTCTGTTCAACCTCGGTCACTGAACTACAAATTAGCAAAAATAAATTTAAACAGAAATACCAAAAATCTCTCTGGTAATTGTGAATTATTGAGAAGTTCTTGTTCGTGCCGTACGAGACTGAGCACGACCTTGGTTGTATAAATCAACGGAACCCACAAGAACAAGCAAATACCATACATCATATATGTTAAGAAAGATAGCATTTCTCCGTTGCTAAATTGAAAGCATACTCAGTGAAAATTGTCATCAATTAACAAAGTTGTAAGTTCACGTAACTCTGTACCGTAGAGCACTGTTTCGTGATGGATAAACTTGGCTAGGTTATTTACAATTATTAAAGAAACAGAACCAAACAGAACCCGAAGATTCGCATTTTTTTTAGCTTACCACAGTCGGTTCGACCGACAGTATGGAAGATTAGAAAATTTTGCAAATTGCTACAGATGGAAGCGATAAGCAGATCTCTCGTAAAACACGCTCCAAGGTACACGTAAGCAAATATATGTCGTTCATTTGAAGTACTTTTGACTGAGTAAGCTCAGCTAATAACATTTTCACCAAGTTCTCGGCTTGAGACATTTTCGTGAAATTAAAGTGTTATTTCGTTAGAGTGGCACGTAAGTGTCAGTGGTTGACACCGATCCCAGCAATTTTCATTCCAGAGTTCAGAGAGAGAGGAAAAACACAAAACGTTCAACCTTACCGTAGGACAAATCCCGCCTTTGCGCGCAAGCCATTTCCTGCCGAATAGAAGCTAGCTTTTAATTACCGCATAATCCTCGCTTTTCAAAAGTTTTTGTCATCTGTGCGAACTATCATCGCATTTCTTGATCCACAAAAGTCTTTTCATTACACCAAGAGGCGCACAGAGTATCACAACGACACGAAATCGAAAGCCAGCGTGTCAGCCCACAGACAGGATACCAGTTTGCCGATCACTTGTTCTCGAACAGACAACCTCCAACTGGCCTTGGTTGCGTGTTTAATGAAGCGTGAAATGAGCGTGATGTAATCTGCGTGGCGTGATGGGACCGTGACAATGAAGGACTGTGCCTTGTACTAAACGCACATTTCCCAATTATTTCGAGCGCTGAGAATTTTACGTTTCTTCAACACTTAAAATTGTCACTTGGAAAATAACTCTGCATATGGCAATGAAATTTAAAGGTTAAATTTATGATAAGTGACAGTGACTTAAAAGTTGTCAATTAGCAGCTGTAGAGCTTCAGCGCTTCAGCGCTAAAAAGAAAATATTTGGGAAACAAAAACGGATAAATAATAAATGACGACTACGTAGAAAAATAAGAGAAACAGAATCGGTCTTAATACATTTTGAAACTAATTTTCCTTTTATTTTCGATAATCTACTGGACAAATTTTTGGTAATCTTTGGAACGAACGAGTTTATCGATCGCTATAAGTAAATATTATTCCCTGATCGTCTTATATTGACATTTAGGGAACGTGTTATTTTAAGTTACCAAATCCATTCTAGAGAAACTCGACATATTTCTTACAGAATTCACCGATCAGCGTGTCTCTATGAATAAGGTTTCTAGGCCTCAGAAGTGTACTCTAAATTCAGATTGATAGTTTCGCAAGATCGGAGGTGACTAACTGTACTCGAAATTTCACGCAATGGACACGAACCAATCTAAAAAAAAATTGACCAGCTGTTACGCGCAACGCGCCAAACTAAAAGAGAATGTAAATCATTTTTTAAAAACCCTCTCACATTGACAAACAACTGTGATCAGCGCGCTATTAAGGCTGCCGTTCCACTGCAGGAGTTCTATTTGTATTATGGAAAGATATTTTACGTTTCTTACGATAACAGTATGGTACATGTATTTAGGAACTCACAAATATTCACCGAAGAAAACATCTGCGACCTGCGCTGCATGGTGTCCGTCTATCGCAAACATACAGAGGTTATAACGAACTATCTCCAAATTTTTGAAGTGATCTGAAACTGCTGAGACGAACAAGAGCTGCGTTTTAACCAACTTATCGACTAAGTTTCGAATTACGAAACACTTTCATATGGGTTTCTTGTGCTATATTTTCATTGACTTGCGATTTCAACGAAAAGACAAACACCGTCTGACAAATCAAGCTTCTAATGCATGACAACAATTGCTTTTATTTCCATTAATTATTTTGAAAGGGTCCAGATGCGCCAAAAGGTTTTTGAAAGCTTACAATGTAGAGCATTCAATTATCCTAAAAAGCTGACTCTCAGCAGCAAACCCTATTCAGCCAAAACATATTCATCACCCACACCCAAACTGAGACTATTCAACTTACCCTCAACTGTGCGTGTTCGAATATTTCCGTATACCGCTAAAACAGCACACGAGACGTTCCGACTTCAACCGAAATAGCCTCGGCGCATTTAACCATCTTCTCCATGAGCCCCACATGGAATGTCCACTCACGCTCCAAATGAACCTCGCTGGCAAGAGGAATCTACTGAAGGTTCGAAGTTATATTGAGGTAACTGTACGCGTGAGAGCACTGGAAGAAGTGAGCTGTGTTCATCGCACATATTCGGGTTCTGCTTTTTGTTAGATTTGATTTGTTTTATTCTCGAACGATGAACAGTAACAGAAAAAAAAACCGTCAACAACAAAAACCAGTAATAATAAAATTAAAAGGATAAATTTACGATAAGCCGGACAGAGTCTTAAAAATTGTCAATTAGCAGCTTTAGAACTTTGGCGCAAAAAAGTAAATACTTGGGAAATAGAAAGGTAACATTAAAAAACCACAGACCGACTGAAGTGAGTCGAAAAACAGACATCACTCTTCCGATGCGGCCTCAAAGCAGTCCTCATCACGTGATATATTCACTTGACGTGTGATTATCCACGTGACTTAAAATATGCTCTGTGCGTTGATGAGTTTTGGCTGGTTAATCACAGGCTTAGAAGTACACTCGTTTATGTAGGACAGGCGAAAGTACTGGCTTTAGCATCTGCACACATTTATATTCAGTCACCGCTCCACTCAATTCAAAGTCGACGGAACGATAAAAAAAGCCCGGAAAATCAGCATGACACTCTCTGCATCATAGTCTTAAACACGACTATATTTAACCTCTGTACCAAGGATCGGAAATGCTGTGCTGTTTCAACTGCTTGTACCTTAGCGGAGACAAACGAATGGGCAGAGTAAATAGAAGAGAGACGGGGGAGTAGGGGGGGGAGTTCTTCATTAGAGGGTCACCCTTTATTTTTTCTCATTCACTTGCCTTCCTCTAATACCGCTCGTTCTCGCAAACTTGTTAGCCTGGAACTGGACTCGATCGTTCTGAGGAGAGAACAGAGGATTAAGACCAGTGCGATGCCAAATATGTCGTCAGGCGCAACAGGTTAATTGGATAAAAGACTGAGAAAGCTACCGGCGTAGTTTCTGCGCATTGGAAACTTATTTCCTAATGAAATCTAGCTACGCTTTTATTTTCTTCTGAAGCATCCCAGTGGGCCGGAATCTTAAATCCTCAAATTTGGTCGGCCACATAATCGCGCGTTTGTAAACACAGTGGCGGATCTAGGGGAGGGGCCTGGGGCCATATTTATCACCTGAAAAAAATAAAAAAATCGCAGAAAGAAGAAAAGCCGGCAGGGCAAGTGACAAAAAAACCGCCTCCCCCTCCAGCTTATCGCACTCCGGACAACGATCTTTTTTTTTTCCACGCCATTCGGAAAAAGGACACCAGCTGAAAAAACAGTAAGTTATTTACCGTCTGGATCGGTCCGTAGATGGGAAATAACTGTGCCCGAGGTCTTGATTACGTAGTTAAGCTTTCAGCCTAACACCGCACTCAAGACCTAGGGCATGGTTTTTTCCCGTACGGAGCCTGGGAGCGACTTAGACATGTAAAGAACATATATATTTGCGATCATTATGCATCCTCTTTCCTTATAGCCCTGTTTTTCTTGTTCCTTTTTGTTATCAGACTGATATTTTGTAATTTCCGTTACCATGAAATAATTACGTTAATTTCCTGCGTCACAACACAAACGACTCAAAGCATCGTGACTTATCAAAACACAAGGATCCCGGTTAGCTCTCTCCACTGACCAAAAAGGAATTTCTCCTCTCGATCAATACATCGTGAAGAGGGAATATTATGAGAAGAAAGAGGAACATCGACTGGGGGATATTCCTGACCAAACACTAGATTCATAGTTGTAAAATCACAAGAAATGTATGGCAGATAGTGCAGAGAATTGACATGTAGATCACCAGTCTTGAAAATGATAAGACGACACAATACCCAGACTCCGTGATTTCAGCTGAGCAGTTGTAACTTTTTTCTCATATCTACAACCTTTGCCGCAAGCTAACCACAAGGTCAAAATAACGCGATGAGACGAAGAAGTCGTCTGAAATGTCTTTTTTTACCCATATATCTAAGAAATTTCCTTCACTGGTTCTTGATCATGATACCGAAACGCTAACGCTGTTAATCCTTTAACGCCCATGAGTCACCAAGACAGAATTTCTCCTTACAGTATCAATAAAATATCTAGCAGACAAATGACGAGAAAAATGGAAAATATAAATTGGTTGATCCAATAATAAATTCTCCAAATTAACCTTATAAGAATTGGATAGCAGACAGTAAGGAGATAGTACCGAGATCTTGGAAGTGAAAGGTTATTAAAATCGTTTCTTTTGCCAACAACGCATTTTATTTTTACAACAAACCTATGGTTAAGCTACAATTTCTCGTCAACATTGATGAATTTTCTCTGTTATGACCTTCGCTTGACGTCCATAAATTACTTGCCTTCGATTCTTTTATCAGACGGAAATAAATTAGAGTTGGAGGAAACGCGATAAGGTTTAAGACAGAAAAAACATTTCACTTAAAATCTAAATCAGTTATCTAAACATTGACGTGGAAGGTATCAGTCGTGAGCGAAATCACCCGATCTTTTGCTAAATTTGTGACACAAGTTAAATTGATGAATGAATGTCCTGATACTCTGGAAAGAACGATCTATAAAATTCAAGTTTTCCACTAACACACACACAGACACGATATGAACTCAAGACAAATTAGCTGATTAGTATGGCTGCATTTAAAAGATAGGACATTTACTCGTATCTTTTAAGGCGCCAGTCAAAATTTTGCTAAACATCTATATATAGTTCTTAATTTTAGTTCTTTCAATTACAAACTGCTTTCGTTTTTTTTACTTTCTTTCTTCCGCCCTCGCATAAATAGTATTGTTCAAAATAACAAAAGTATTATTTTATACAAAATCTAGTGGTACAGACCCTCACAAAAGCCATCTGCAACTCACTTTATAATTCACTTTGTCTACACATTTATAAATTAAAATCACAATTCACCTGTCTAACTGATCGCCAGGGCAATCGGAAAGATGCGCCTGACACTAATTACACTTAAAGCTAATATATTTTCTGATTTCGAGCTTTTCCTTGCTAATAATACTTATATTCGCCAGGATGTAACAATAATTTAGGCGTGATGGACATAGTACCGAAATAAAAACCGAATATTTGAGGTTATTGAACGAGTAAGGGTATATTTCAAAGCTGGAGTGAATATATTGATCGATAAACAAAACCGTGACCAACAGAGGTCAAGTTCCCGGATGTTTTAAGCAGCAATCCCCTGGGTTGAATAGACAATTTCAACACAAACACTCAGCTATACCGGCTCGAGTTTCGGCTTCGTGAACTCTTCGCAAAGGAAAGGATACAGCTGTCTTAAGGGTGTATTTCACCGGACTGATCTCCGCTTAAAACTCGCAGAATTCCTCGACAATCAACGGTGAAATTCATCATAGAGCATTGCGCTTAATCGTGAATTGTTTCGCAGTGACAAATCGACATCAACACAGCCAGAACTGCTCCCAGACAATCAAACGTGTGTGATATAACAGCTTAAAAGACACGCTCAATTGAGTGTCAGATATGTGAGTGTTTTGAGGCTGATATTGCTTGGCGTCGAAGTGCTCTGCATCAACAAATACCTTAAGAAGTATTGTTTAGAATATCATAGTGTCCCGGTTTTAAACTGAGTCCATCTGCAAACATGGCGAGTTCATTAGGTAAGGTTTGGATTGTAATAAGTAGTCTGTCTTTTTTTGCCATTACATTGATTCAATTAACGCGTACTAATTGATTGAACACCATTGCTGTTGGTTTTATTTTTTTAGGGCTGTTTTTGAATCAGGATGATTTGGATGAAGCAAACCGATTGTCCAAGAAAATCGACTATGTTCACTTAGAAGACTATGAAAAGGATATGGTTCGGAATATTCTGGAGTTCAACTGGGACTCTCAACACCAAATGGTGTCGAATCTGCTGCACTTTCCCCGCATCATGCCTGAAGATAAGCGAGTCAAATGGATTTTAAAGGGATTAAGGGAAGAGAAACAGTCTTATTATGTTCTAGCAGCAGCTACCGGAGTTGCCGGTCTAAAGCTTCATGGCAAAGATTCAGAAGAAATCGTGGAGCTGCTGAAGAACATCTCGACTTCGCAGAACGGAATGGTAGCTCTTCGGGCGTTCATGTCACTTGCCGATTATTTGAAACACCCGAAAGATACCCCCTTTGTGATGAAATTCATGAAGAAATCCAAGTCGAATTTGAGATATAATTCGCTGGACTGGCTGATAGAAAATGTCAAAGATCGAAAAGAGCTGTTGTCCTTGTTCGAGGATGAATCCATCCCGGAAGATGTCAGACTTGAGGCCGTGGAACGAGTTAACAATTCAACGGATAGTGAGGCGCAAGGTAAAGTAAAAACAACGTGTTTTTTTTTCCAGGTATTTTACAACGTCTGTTCAAAATCATGCGAATATCAAAACGTTTTGGATGTTTGATTAAGGGATTTACCTTAGGCGAGGTGACCTGTAAGTAATGGACACTGATCCTGGCATAGATCGCACTTTGATTAACTCTTCTAAGCCACGCGAATAGATACAATTCTTCGCTCTAGGGCGTTCGAAATGGTATTACAAAAATGCGCAAAGTACATTATTTTTTTCTTAATATCCCGCTACGTTTATTTGCAAAATACTCAGCAACTGCGCTAAAAAGATCCATTCGGATATAATTTTCTAAAAGCGGCTGGCAGTCTTCCGCTGGTCCGGGGTCTTTTGAATTTCAGCCAACAGAAGAAAAATCGCACTCCTAATTATGAAAATTTATCCGGTTTTCATGAACGTTTTCTCAATAATTTTCGGATGGGTTTACAAAATTTTTTGGAGGTCTTTCCGCGACATAGACTGCTTTGGGGTTAAGAAGGGTACTTTATATAGCCAAATAGGCCCTCGAAAGATCTGTTATGATGTCTTTCATCAAAGAAGAACGAGCAAGCGGAATTAAATATCACAAATTGCTAGTTTTAGTCAGGTTTTTTAACAGGCGGATGTAGAATATCAGAGGTCTCAATCGGCATTTCTTAGATTTACCGACACGAGGTCGTTTTAGAGGTTTCTTTACATGTGGTCGCGGATTATAAAAATTTACATAAGCGCCCTTCATGTCGCATGTAAACAATTCACTTTTACTAAGAAAATAAACACGCAGTTACACTTGTTCTGACCCTTCATCTTAAGAAATAATCTGAAACTTCTCTGTCCAATATCTAATGAAATATCGTTTAAAGTGTTTCGTTAAGTTCATGAAGAGCTTTTTCTAATACAGTTTAGCACTTTTTCGCTCTCCTTTGTACAATTTCATCGCTTGGATGCCCTTTGTCTTGAATTACAATTAGTTAGATTAGCAACTGCCCGTTTTTTAAATGAACAATGAACTATTTCGGTAAAGCGAAAATTGTTTATTTTGGCTTCAAACAGGAAAACCTGGAATACAAGGCGCCAGAGAGAATATAGGCATCGATAAGCAAGACCACTTACTCCTCACTCACTAGACACACTAATTTGCAACTGAAGAGAAGTACACGTTAATTGACCGCACAATATAGAGTTACTCTTGGTAATAAAGCAAAACAACCATATCGGTCAAAGAGTGCTGACAGCAGGCCTAGCTGAAATGAAAGGTCGGTTTTTTCAATAAAAACAAACGTGCAAGCAGTGTGTTTTGCTAATTTGAACGCAGGTGGTGTCCTATTCTACACAAATTCGCTGTGATATTTGCAAAATAAAAAAAACAAATGTCAATACCAAGAAGCTATAATTTGTGTGACCGCTTTTTAATTAGGCGTCCGCATGTCTGCAAAGTTCTTTATCGCTGATTGCAGTGTAATTTTCGAACAAATCCGGAACAGTGCAAGAGAAAAGTAGGTAGTTTTGAGAAGCGTGTGAATTAGTTCCTGACTCGGAAATTCAAGTTGTAAGGTGTAAGGCCGAGGTTGAGTGTTTGTAAACAAACAAGATTTCACTCCGTTGGGGAAAGAAGAGTAAATTTTGTTCAAGAAACTTGAGCCTGTTTTTTTTTTTTAATGAAACAAAGGATCTTAGGAAACGATTAGCAAAAAGAACCTTGAAAGAGGATTTAATTGAAAGTTTAAAGAAGTACGATCAAAAGCCAATTTTTTCCTAACAAAATTCATCACATTATGTAGATCGACTGTGCAATAAAGAATGCTTTATGCATGAGTCGTAACAGGAAATTTGAAGAACTGAAACGATATTGGTAGGCAATCATCCCTTCAAAAATTAAGTAAGGACAATGTAAAACTCTTAGCTCGTAAGAAGATCAGGATTACGACAGTTGACAGTCTTAATACCTGATAATCTGAACAGAATTTTACTAATGTGTAAACTGCATCAGATGAAATATCAAGATAAGAGGGATTGTGTTGTGGTTATCATGATCGCATTAAAATTTCCTGTAATTAGGTATTTGAGAAATTTCACCAGCTAAAAATTTTAAAATGGATGCTTTCTGGAATATAGCTGTGCAAAAGAGTATTTACTTTGATCAAAGCCTCCTTTTCGTTGTATTTTTGAGAACAACTTCATAAACCTCTGAATTAATTTTTTTTTCAAGTTCTTGTTGTCGTTTGTCAACAGAGTAGGAACGAGTTTAAACTAAAACTCTTAACTTTTTTTTGGCTCGATCTAACGTAACATTAGATTTCAGGATAAGCCAGTGACGTGACTCAGCCTGCATAAGTAACTCTTAAACTCAGTTCTTTCAAATTGTCCGCCATTTAGTGGATTCCAAGGCGCGGTGGCTTGGTGGCATGAAGCGTATCTCAGAGAGAAATCCCAGAGATCTTTGAAAACTAAAAATAGGCAGAGGCCAATCACGTGACTTAGCCTGCATAAGTAATTCTTAGACTCTGCTTTCAGATTGGGCAAATGAAGATCTCCACCATTTCACATTCGTGCCAAACCTAGCAGAGTTTGAAGCCATGCGGACAAAGGAGCAGACACTCTCAGAGCTTTTTTCCGAGCTCGATCTGGATAAAGATGGTTTGATCGGTGCAGAAGAGCTGAAAGATTTCTGTGAAGACATTGGCCAGGACATCAGCTTGGAGAGAGCAGCAAAAGATATTGCGCTGGTAGACAGTAATAAAGATGGAAAAATTGACAAAGATGAGTGGATCGAACTAATGTTTCCAAAGTTTAATGTTCAATGAGAATTGTTCATTGAACTGTAATTTATGAACTAGAACCAACAACTACTTCTTCATAGGAGTGGCTCCATAGTAGTTTAGAGAGGATTAACAGTTTCGAACTCACTTCCCTTTAAAACGCAGATGGAAAACGCTTTCCACAATTGTAGTCTTAGATAGGAATGGCTATTTGGTGATACAGAAGTGATAAATAAACTGTTTAGAACATAACTAGCCAGTTAGGAACTCGTTCCCTCCTCTGTGAAATACAGATATATAACGTTCTCCAAGGTCCAGTCTCTGTGTCTTCCTTCCGTGGGAGATCTGGGGACCCCGAAAAGCGGCTGTTTATCTGGCCCGATAGAAGTCTTGTAACCTAACCTGTAAGGCTACACAACTTTGTTTGTACATAGAGCAACTTCTCTCGAAGACGTTCTTTTAAGAAAGCTTTCTCTATGACAGGAAAGATTGTGTGTGAAAATGCGAGTGTAATATATAAACTTTTTGTCAATGAACAGCTTTAAATACCTTAATGCAGTTGTGTTAAGTTATTAAACGATCAAACAGAGCGAAGAAAGTATTGGAAACTCCAAATGAGTTTTTAAGTAAAAACAAGAATACTGCTTGAAGCAAAGGAAGTCGCAATTAGTTTCAGTTTGGTATCTAACTGGTTAAGAGGTCAGTGCGAGTGTTTTGGACCAATCACCGAACGCAGATTACTCTCGACACAAAATTGTTCTCTATGATTAACGAGCAACTTTAAATTGAGACAAACTTTGTTCCACTAAAAAGCCCTCAAATACTGTCTGGAGGTCACCTCCATATCACTTTCTTTTACACATAGATTAAACGAAACGTACAAGACATCAAAATGCAAACTAATCCAATGGAAGCCGTACCATAACTATGTCTTTCCCATGTCTCTTGCTAGCGACGTTTCTGCCCTTAGAGGAGAACTGGGAGCTAGTTTGGTTGAGGATATTAGAAACTGTCGATCATACGAGAGTCCATCTGTAAAGTGCCTCAAACGACCCTCGTTTGCTTAATAAAGTTTTGGCTACTTACATGGCATCATGTAGGCTTCATTCCTCTTAGTAACAGTTTCAAGTCAACAAAAACAAGCTGGAAAATTTCAAAACTTGAGCATTTTATTCTATTTGTTTGGTCTTTTAAATCTCAACATCTTTTACTTTCTAGGTTTCTCTCTCCTTTTTCCTTTCCGACTTTTGACACATATCTAAATATTAACATTAACGCGTACATGTTTTCATATATTCCTGTACAGACCTTGTGACGCATTCACTTAAATTCATCTCCAGTACTTCTCTCTGTAAGTGCAATCACGGACGGTTTTAGCTTCAAAAACTGAAGCCACATGTTGTCTTAGTCAAACTTCACATTTGATTTACCCGCAAAATGCTCTTTAAACAAACCAGGCCTTGTGACACGCACACGGGAGTCTGGATATAGTTTGTCTCTTTCAAAGCAGAGAGCCATTTGTTCACAACCGAGGCTACTCTTCCTGGTTGCCAAGGTGATACGTCAAGGAGCGACATTGCCGCTGCAAGCTGAATGGCATACGTCACTGTTGGTGAAAAAAAAATTAAAAATTAAAGGAAAACTTCAGAAAAAAAGTGAGGGGAAGGGCTTCTTAAAGGTTAACGAACAGTTTTTTCAGTACCTTTCGAGTCTGGTGATGTATTATCTATGAGTCCACATTGCATGTCGATTATTTCTGGCACAGGATGTTGTCCATTTTCAACAGCAATTCTGCATAAACCGCCTAAAAAAAAAAGATCTGAGTTTAAGAAAGTCCTCACAGATGCTTGTCTAATCGCAAGATACTGCTGATTGTGCAGTAACCATTTCACATCCAGGAGCAACAAGCAAGTTATTTGTCCTCACAACGTCAATCTAACATCAAGGAGACTGGTGATGAGAAGAAAGAAAATGTCGATCATGGGGAGTTGCTCGACTAATCTCCCAAATGTCGATTCTATAAGAACTGCACGCCAGTCATTAGGGAGAAGTTAACTCTAAGAACATTTCAGCTTACATCGGTTTCAGTAGTACGAGGCGACTGGGAATATTGCTACTTCCCTTGAATGGAATGCACAATCCAACGCAGGTTACCTCCCGCCCCCCCTCCCCCCCAGCAATTCATCAAGTTTCCCAGACACTTAGCTGGTAACGATTTCATTCGGGGAAAGAAAGGCACTGTGAACTGAAATTAACCTGTAAAAACTCATCTCGTTTAATGGTTTTCATCCGTTTCTCCAACATCGATTACTCACATACTATTTATTTTCTTTTGCGCGTAAACTTACCTAAAAGGTGAATACACAAAACAATTCGCGATTCAGGCAGCCTGGTTTCTGTGGAATTCCCACACTTAAGGCAAATCCCACACACTTCCTTTTCGTCAGTGAAAGGTTTCTTCCCTCCTTCCTTGCCTCCTGTTGTCATAGAGGTATTTTCGTTGCTTGTTATTTCGTCTTCAGTGCTGAAAACCCTAGGCATTACTTTAGAAAAATCAGAATTTTTGTCCTTGTCGGTGACCATTAGACAAACGCAAGTCGCTTTGCTGAACTCGCCTAATCCAAGACCTTGACTGTCCTCTCCAACTGACGCCGTTTCTCGTTCACCTGTGCGAGAACTTTCTGCCTCCTTCTCAGCCCACGATCTTAATATTTGCCAAATGTGGTTCAGAATGAGATCAGTTAAGGTCCATTTCCAACCAAGTACACAAGATAACAACTCAAAGGATTTGACAATCTCAAAAGAGTAGCTGTCGAGGACAAATCTTCCTTCTAGGAGGGAAAATAATACATAGGACGTGAGCCTCTGGATGAAACCCACGCGCGTAACCATTCAAATGAGAACTACCGAGCCATACTTTCATGTGGTATTGTCTATCATACAGGCACCAGTTGTGCGAATGGTGGATGACACTATCTAATGGATAAATCTCTATCCGGTGGATAGCGCAATCAGTTTTGCTGACTCTTATCTGATAAACAACATTTTATGTGTTGGATAGCGTTATCCGCTCTTTCAACAACTAGGTGCGGTACCACTAATTCTAACTTTTAAAGTCTGCGCATTTTAACTTTGTGAGTGTCGATTCAAATGAAAGGCTGCGGATGATACCTTAGTGTACGACTTTTCAAATGAAGGCTACCGAGAAGCAATTGCAAGTGGTACAGTTTAGTAATACTAAAATATACAAATTGGGTTTAACTAATCAGTTGGTGGATAGAAACTGATAACTAATCAGTTGGTGGATAGAACCCTGGTGAGTGACCATTCATTTGAAAGCTTTTGAGCAGTTCTTTCATATGGTGCTATTTATTTTACTCAATAAGGTGGTTCTCACTTCTTTTTAAAGTCTGTGGATGAAACCCTGGTGGGTATTAAGCGTATGAGCTGCTACTGAGCGCAATTTTAACTCAAGAACTATTAAACCCTTAAACACTCATGAATGACCAAGACAGAATTTCTCCTTACAGTATTAATACAATATCAATGGAAAAGTGATGAGAGTAAAGAAAAATATCAATTTGGGGATTATCAGTTGATCAAACACCAAATTCTCCAAATGGACACCGATAGTATTGTATGACAGACAGTAAGGAGAATTATTAATGAGATTTTGGGTGCGAAAGGATGAGAAAATCATCATAGACGACCTACCAAATGAGTGTAGCTAGCAATCTGACTTATTCAACTCATTTTTGTTTCAATATACAAACAACTTCCTTCACTGTACCTTTACCAACACTAACAGAGGCGCCGCTCTTTTCATGCAACCACTTGGCAAGCTGTGATCCAAAATCCTTCAGTTCTTCATCCGTAGCACAATCACCTTCCCAACAGCATAAATTACGCAGAATTTTCCCAAATTCCAATGACGGACACTTGTTGGCCCAATTCAATAACACTAACTTCAGTGTACAAGCTAGAGGCGATCGCTCAGCCGACAGGCAGTTGGAGGGCGATCGTAAGACTTCGGGCCAAACTGAAGCTATGGTAACAACGAGCTCTAAGGCCGCGTTGTGGAAACTGTATAGCGTGCGTATGACATCATAAAGGATTGTTCGAGCATTGGAAAGATCGTCTTTGAGTTGACATAAGGCTGTCAGGACACGGCTAAAAAACCGAAAATACAAACAAGAAGCGTAATCTCGCAATAAAATTGTGACTTGTCGAGAAAGAAATTACATTTGAATGTAATAGAGATGTCTGCACAAGACTTTGAGAAAAAGGGTCCTGCACAAAGCTTAAACGGTATAATGAAACCGTAACCCCTAAGAGTACTAGCATCTAATATCTCCTTCCAATATCACCCCTGAATCAAACATTCGAAGGTCACGAGAATAAAAGAAATGATTACCAACTAAAGAAGCTTTTGATTGATAAACAAATTCTCCTAGTCAGCACCATAAAAAATGCATAGACAACAGTATGGAGAAAATGCATACTGATGCTAGGGTGTAAACGGTTAAAAAAAGAATTATATTCGACTGTTCGGAAGAGAAAAGGAATTTCCCACGTCTAGATATTGTGTTTTCGCCTTCTGACAGAGTTGACGAAAGAAATTGCGTCTGCCTTGACATTCTAATAATCATTTCAGGTCTCGATGAAAGGTAATACTTACCATAACGACAAGTTCCCTTTTATTTCCTCCTCTTTGAAAGCACAAGAAGCTTCGATTAAACTTCGAGAACACAGGGTAACCAACTGCGCGATCAAGTTTCCAAATAAAGCTTCACTGGATAACAGGGATACCACTTCCAAGAGACGGGACTCAAAACTGGAAATAATAGGTTTCCAGTTTAATGGTCTCCCTTCAGACTGAATCTGCTCGAGTTGTTCAAGAATGTGAGGCATAAGATCGTCCTTTCGTTTTTTCAAAAAATGGATTATTGCCGAAGCTACCGGCGTACTGGACGAAATGCATTTTTTACTAGTCAGTCTACTGAACACAATTTCCAGCTCCACATTATTTTCATAAATGCGGCCAAGGCATTTGATTACATATTGGACTTCTGTCTGGTAACCTGGTCGAACCGATAAAGGTCGAAATTTACTGTCTTTATCATCAGTTGCCTTCGTTGAATCTTTTTTATGTAATTCCTTCCCCAATATTGGCCGAACGTTGCTATTCTGGTCAACCAGTATTGCTCCCTTGTTGCTTACAAATACTGGTCCCTTATTACCAACACAGCTCTCCAACGGTTGCTTCATTACGTCCTTGTTAAGAGCAACTCTAGAGGCAACCAAACGTACGCTCGACTTTGGAGATTGTTGTTTGTCAGTAACACTGAGATGTTTTTTAGCTCTTTTGCTTTGAGGCTCATTCTTTTGTATTGCTGAATCAGACACTGATCGTTGTAGAGTCCGTTTTGCCGAGACGCTTCCCTGTGCACGGGATCTCAACAACAAAGGCGTTTGCAAAGGTCGTTGCAATAGGACTCCTCTCGTTGGCGAAGAAGTTGATTCCGACGTCATTGTTTTGGTCTTGACAAGAGTATTTTTTGTCGAAATGTCCTTATTGTTAAAACTTGTGTTACAACCAGACATGTTTTTGTTTGGGTTTCTTTTCAAGCTTTTAGAGTATGGTTCAGTCAAGCCTCTTTCGTCTCGTTTGCCTGGACACTTATCATGTGCATCAGACATCAAAATAGTAACGTCATTACCATCACTATTTGAAATAGGAGAGGCTGGAAGTACAACAGTTTCGTCGTCTGAAGGGCAAGGAGACGGAGGCAGAGGCGATAGCGATGGAAAATCCTCTAAGAGGCCTTCGAGGTTGTTCAGCAAAGCTTCGATTGGGGGGTCATCCTGCAAATCATGTGCTGTCGCCGAGGCTTTGGGTGATTCCCTTGTATCAAGGGTCCCTAACAACTGCAAAGCTTTTTCACTGCTTTTGATTTGAGTTCTTTCTTGTTCAAGAAGAGCTGAAGAAGGACTTTCTCTCCCTTCATGATCATTACCATCATCTTCAAAGGAGGAAATCTTATCTTTACAACCAGAAAGTTTTCTTCTGTCGCTCGATGTGTTACAATCGCTATGGCCGCTATAACAAGGCATTTGCCTCTCCATGTCGGTTCTCTCTGTTTCCTGCCTGGAATTTGCGGGGCAGTCTTTGATCCCGTCTCTGAAACTGGACGAAACTCTTATCACATCAGATTTTATCCGTACCCCGTCTGTGGAAACCAAAGAATCTGCTGCAGTATTTCTACAGGATTGCAAATCTCCGTCAAGTTCAATAGCCACCGGAGGCTTCCTTTCATCTTTATTGGGAGTTCTTAAAGACTTCGTATCTGTTTGAAATTCGGAATACTCCCTTCTCTTGCCTTTTGATAGCTCTCCTTCTTTGCTCGGCGCACCTTTACAGGACGCTAGATCATTCTCCAAGTTAGAAAGCGTTACTCCCGTAGGAAACGTTAATGACCCTTCCTGAATCATTGCTCTTGACAGAGATATCCTGTCTTCATAAATTGCATCTTTAAGCTTTTCTTTGGCGGAAATTTCCAATTTTGTTGAAATTTTGGTGTAAGTCACACTTTTTTCCGTGTGAGTCTCACTAATTTTGCCGTGAGTCACACCAGTTTGAGTCATACTCCTTTCGGTGGGACTCACACTTGTTTTGAAGCGTGACACTCTAGTATTGCTATGTGTCACGTTAGTTCCCGTGTGAGTCACACTAGGGGTGATGATGGTGGTAGTTGCCACTCTACCTTTATGCGTCAGAGAAGAACATTTCGTCGCGGAATCGTCACACAACGCTGTAATTCCTTCTCCCAAGTTGGCCCCTTGATCTGTAAACCTTTCAGTTCCGCTATCTTCAGTTGAGCTACCAAGCTTCGCTTCGTCGGACGCAAAGCAATCGGCGTTTCTCTTTGAAGCTAGTTGTCTGTTTACAATGATTTCCTTCATGTGGTGACTGTCTATTGAGGACTCTTCCTTTGTTTTCACAGTGATAGTACAAGAACGCTTCTTTGAACAAATTGCCAGACTGGTTTCGATTTTTGCATCGCCTGTCAAAATTTCAATTGGACTGCATGTTGCTAATTTTCCAGTAGCTTTGCAGCCGGAAGAATTTACATCACTCTCCTTTTGATCAGAACCAGTGGTTTCAAACACAGTTTTATTTTCACGATCATCATCGAGAGCACTACTCACGCTTAATTCACCCAAATCTGAACTGTTTCTTTCCGCTGAACAACTTAAATCTTCCTGATTCTCCTCAATAACGGCCTCTGATTGGTCACACCAATTCTCATCGTCGACAAGAATTGAATCGACCTTTGAATTATTGCGTATGGTTTGTAAATTGTCCACAGGAACGGTGTTATCTGCAATCTCCTCGCTTTTAAACCTTGACGAGTGCCCGCTGTCAGTGGCCTGAGGACTACTTCTACTGTCTCGTAAATTTCGGTCGTTTAGTTCATTTGTCTTACAAGCTACAACTTTCGCGTCCGCTTCGATGTTTTCAGGTTTTATTGAAACACAAGTACAAGCGTCAGTTCTATCGCTAAGTTCGGCTAAAGAAATATCATTATTGTCAGAACTGAACTCTTTCGACGGGGAAAGTGGAACGGCAGTCTTAATTTGAGATTCAGAAACGCTCTCAAGTACAGTAGACATGTTTGTGGTGGGAACATCAACCGCTGATAGGAACGCGTCCGAATTTTCTCTTAGGACCTTTGGTTCGACTGAACCTGGCAGCGGAAATGCGGAGGCACGAAGCTCACCATCGTTTCCACGGTAACAGGTAACACCACCTTCCGTTTCCGTTGGAGGTACACGAGAAGTGCTATCATCGTCTAATTGTTCCTTTGACCCTGAAAGCGAGGCTCCTAGGCATTCGCGCTCGTTGGCGTAGTCATGGTGAGGCGTGACGTCACCAGCATCGCCATTGATAGCTTCAGACAGTGAGTTCGAGCAATTTCCTTGATCCCGAATTTCGCGCTGGTTTCTGGGAGCTTCCGTAAAGGAAACGAAAGGAGCTTCTCTCTCATCTCTGTTTTGAGTACCCTTTGATTTTCTCTTTTCTATTGCATCAGGATTACGTTTTGAGCAAGTGTTTGTTATCTTAGAAGAATTTCCTAATCTTATATTTGACTCTTTTCCAGTTTCTTTCTCTGATGAACTGTCACCATCAGACGAGGAACTTAGCTTCATCGCTTTAGCCCTGGATCGAGTCATGACCTGGGGATTCGGTGATGTCATTCGGCGCTTGCCCTTTTGCCGAACACCAGGCGATTCCGCTTTGTTTATCGCTGCGTTAAATACTTGCGCAGTCTCAATGGGTTCCGTATCTTTCTCTAGTGCATATTCGCTCATTTGAGTTCCGGTATGATGCGCTTGATGAAATGTTTCCCGTTTTGATGTTTCATCTCCTGCATAGTCGACATTGCAGTTCGTTTCAGAGAAGTTTTCGGATTCTTCAAGCACAGGAGCAGTAAACTCATTCGGGGCTTCATTCATCAAAGGTTCATCCTTGTTGCCTTGAATATCATTATCATTTTCACCCTTCGCTGCCTCTTTGAAACTGTTTTCCAAATCCTCGTCGAAGTCTTGACTACTGTCTCTAGTTGCCAAAGATTTTCCTACAGGATTTTCCGCGTCACCCTGATCACCAGTTAAAATATCCGCTAAATCACCTAAACTATAATCGCTGTCGCCATCTTCGCTGCCAGCATCGTTGCTACTTTCACTGCAACTCTCTTTTGCTGGGCCAGGACTTGGCGGAAGGGGACTGAGAGCTGGGGCCATATCCTTCAACGCATTTAGCTCTTCAATTATATGTTCCAGGTGTTCTTCTGAATGGGAGCCCGAAGATGAGGGCTGTTTATGTCCCTCAGGCGACGAAGGCGGCTGCCAAGATTTCTTTCTTTGCCTGCACGGAAAAAGAAATCTTAGCAAGGTAACGTGGGCTCACGATTTTACAAAATACATATTAAAAAATTCGAAGAACTGTAGACCGAGAACGGCACCATTCGGTACTGCTTTATTTTGGAGTGAGTTTAAAATGCGGTAAAACTTCGGTAAAGTGCAGTAAAATAGCGGAGAAAGTGCAATAAAAGTGCATTAAAACTGCGGGGTAATTGCGAGAAAAGTGCGGGGAAAGTGTGAGGAAGCGCGCCGACTTCTACGCTTGAACGCAAACTCAACGGTTAACTACCAGCGCTCAAGAAGACGAACGTCATCGACACCCAAATACTACCATCAACTAAATTGCCCAGTACCACAACAACCGAAACTTTACGGCCTGTCGCAAATTGAAATATTGTTATGGTTCATTAGTACATGCAACTTAAAATCGACGACTGTCGTGTGATCAAAATCCAATCTTACCTCGATTTTGGTGTCTTTTCTGTCCTGTCTTTCCCATAAGTTCTTGCTATAGGAATTAAATAAAGAGAGAGATCTGAATCCAATGTGAGGTGTACAAGTGTTTGTGCGTAAAAATAATCTTACTTGATACAGAAATAGGAGAATATTGAGAGAGGGTCTGGTGGGCTAAATAACCAGCAAAAACCAATGAAAACCGAGGATGGAAAGAATATTATTTCAAAGAAGCGACGCAATTTACCAAAAGCATGGAAACTAAAACTAGTTTACTTTCAAAGAGAATGCGACTAAATTTACAGACAGTCAGTCAAATCCAATCACAGAAGTCGTTGTGAAGCTACGTAAGGAGAGAAAATAAATATCGTTTAACGAAATACTTGAGTTAGTGCGCCCATAAAATTTCAATACATGAACAATTCAAAGAGAGGCATATAAGTCAGTTTTCCTTACCACATTAATACAGTTTTAATTAAAAAAAAATTATGGCAAGAAGAATGAAAACATCAACAAAAGGATTTTGTCTGTTTTAAGAACAAATTCTCAGAGCTAAGTTATGAAACATCACGAAATGTGAATGAGAGGGCTGGAAGATTTGGGAGAATAAACTTTAAGTTACCCAATTATTAAGCCCTGAATCTTTATTTATATAAATATCTTGTAATAAAGGTTATTTTCATGAAACACCAAGTTCAATACTTTCTCCTTTCTGTTCATATGAATGTAATAAAATGAAACACAAAAATTAGACCGCGATACATGTACAAACAAAGCTGAACTAACCAAGTCGGGCTTCCAGCTTGAAACTTTGGATTTCATCCTGTTTAAGAGGATAAAAACATGAAAAAAGTTACATGAAATAAGTTTAAAATACGCTGTGAAATTCATCTACTCTACCATTACTCCATTGAGCTACGCTTGCAAAGAACCAGACGCACTTTCTAGAAGTTGAAAATTTATGCATTGAGGTGTTTCCATCACACAGCATGACACCAAGCCTATGAAAGTTTGGACAGCTCGCTAATGAAAATTTTGTACTCCAAAATCTAAGACAAGTTTTTGTTCAGCAGCACAGACATAAATTTAACCAGCAGAATGTTAATACCAGAACCCTCAGGAGTTTGGTGCCAAAAAGGTGTGGTTGCATGGCTACGCCATATGACAGCTACAGGATCCAGTTCTGGAATTACAAAAAGTGCATTTTCTGCACTGGCAAATGGTACTGAGCCACTGGCAATGGTTTACCCTGCTCATTACGTTAAAAGCAAAATAAAATTAATTATCTCACTGTTTTGCATAAATGAAATATTTGGTAGAGGCAGGGTTAAGTAACACAACCAACACCACAACTCATCCAAGGAGAGTTGCTACACCTCTGCTGGTGTCATGCAACAGAAACCAGAATCAGCAATGTTCACCAGTTGGCTCCTGCACAATAGGCCGTTTTTGATATATCAAAATTCTAACATGGCTCTGAGGCTAGGGATGATAAAACTGAAGAAATTTATTATTCATCCCTCAACCTTGATGTCATTTCCTTTGTTTTATTCCCCCAAGCCTTGGAGCTAAGTTTGAATTTTAATATATCACAAATGGCCTATTCTTCAGAGAACAAATAATGAGGAATAGCAAAGAAATGTTTCGTTTCTTTTACCTTGGATTTCTCAAGCTGTTGCTCCAACTTTGCTGCTTTTCTATTCGCCTTATTCAGCAAACTGGACATCTCCTTGTTTTGCTCTAAACAGCACGAGACATGATCACCTTAGACATATGAACAGCAAACAAAAATGCACAAAAGTCTGAGAAATAATTTAGTCACCTTTCTCTTTTTTGATCTGTTCCTGTAGCTTTGCAATAGCAGCTTCACTTTTCTGCAAGCTGAAAAATACACCTTCATGAGAAGTAAAATCACAAGAAATTAGCTCCTACCTCAGGAAAGGATCACTTTAATTTCACAAGGGGGGTTCAATTTTGCCATTATTTTTTTAATAGAAGTAAAGATCTCCTGTCACTTTTTTTGGACTTACAGTGTATTCCACTGCTGCAACATACATGTAATACCAATTTCACAATATTTTCACCTTTCAAGGTGCCAAGAGCTTTGATTCATCTTCACTAGGATTCAGCAACGAAAGGAGATGATAAATGTCACATCCCTTGTGTAGCTGGCATTCTGTGTGCCCTTTAACCATTTGGCTCTTAACCCTTTACCTCCCAGATCAAATTTGTAATTCTCCTCACAGTCAAATATATAATTCTCATAATGTTAGTTCAGACAATTTAGCATTGGATCAACTAACTATCCTGAAATTGATATATTTCTTTATTCTCATCACTTATCTGGTTGATATTGTATTGATATTGTAAGGAGAAATTCTGTCTTGATCACTTGCAAGAGTTAAAGGGTTAACGGTGACAAGGATCTTATTTCTCCTTACAATATTACTCTTGAATCAAACATTAAGGTTACCAGAATAAAGGAAATGTGATAGTGTAGTGCTGAGAAGGACTGTTGTTGCTAGTGGTGACTGATGTCACGACAACCTGTGCAGAAGTCATCATCAGAGTCAAGTGAATGGTTGTGGTCATTTGAATGTATTAAGTCTGGTTTGTGTAACCTTACTGGTCAGTTTTGCCATCATGTTATTGGCTGTAAGACTCAAGTGGCATAGGTCCATTGTGATTGGTCTGTTTTGATCCGTGACCAATCGTGAATGACTTAACCACTTGACTGGGCTCCTAATTATATGTATGTTTATCAGATACCTCTTTTTTTGTTTTTGCATCTCATGAGCCTGAACTTGTTTCTCCAACCTCCACTGGCATTCCTGTTCTTCTTTGAGTTTTGTAACACTCAGTAGCTCTGAGTTTGTTTTCTGCAATTGATAATAAGATCAGCAAAAATTAACAAGACCAGGACTGATTCGGTGTGTATTTTGTTAACAGAGTGGTTGTTCATCATCAAAAAACAAACAACTCCATGAAATAAGATTTCTGGTAATCCTGAGCAAGAGCACAATTCTGTTACTCTCAATAAAAATGTCAATATGGAGTAACAACTAAAAGAAAGGAGATAAATGTATCAAAGTTTATTTCCTATCATACACAGTGTGTCCTATTCCATTACTATACAATTTTACTGCATTATATTATCATGAGAACATACAGAATATGCCACAGTATTACAGCATAGAAAGAGCAAAAATACAGAACAGCAAAATGGCTGCACTAAAAGATCCAACTTTAATTTTCTTTTCAGTTTTTTAGGGTTGACTATTAAAGAAACAAACTTTTTAGTATGACAGGTTTTTTGGTGGTCACAAAGAATCACCTCAGTGGTTTTGCTCATGTTGTTTTTGTCTTTCACATACTTCCTATGCAATCAATATCATGCAGATCTGCAAAGGGTCCAGATAAGACTGTAGGATGTATTTTGCAAACTAAAATCAAAATACTTTAGAGTGAAACTAGTAGAAATTGGAGATTAGGGAAGTGCATTCAGCATTTCAAAGGGGAAATATTGTTTTTCATCCTTTGCGCAACGAAATTGTGACGTCATTCAAAATGGCGCTGAAAAGATGAACGGCCGGCCGATCGAACGAAAAAACACGGGTCAGCTTTCGCTTGCGTGCTCAGGACCCCTACGCTATCACAGGTAGCCCAGGAGATTAGGAAGTGTTCTTCCTTCGTCGAACACAATAATAGTGGAATTATAAGTCCCTTATTCCATGGTTTAACATAAAATAAGCATGGACATTTTTCTCATTGTTTTTATTTTTCCTTTACCCTTCAGGGCTTGGAAAAATACTATGCAAATTGCAAAATAACTGTGCATATTACGAGTTAAACCATTGAAAAGAATGTACTTATATCATCCCATTGGTGGAGTACCTCAAATGTCTGTAGCTTTTCTTGTAATTCTGCAATGGTTGAATCAGCTAAGGACTTTTCCCTGTGCAGTCGTGCTACATTCTGAAATAAACAAGAGCACTTCCAACTTAAATTGAAACAAGGTAAAATATTTTTAAGTTAGGTAAATGATGATTTATGATAAAATGAAAAGTAGAAGGGGGAAGAATGGCTTGAATTTTTTTGAGGTAATCCATGATTTCAGAAAGGGTCTGCTGGGTGATTTTGAAAAAATTATGTGAATCCTACAAATTATTACCAATCTTTTTATCATATTTGTTCAAGAAGATTTAAAACAGATTGACAAGAAGTAAACAAATGAATGTCTACATGAGCATATCCGTAGCAACTACCATTCAGGGTGGAAAGGGGTGCGAGGTAACTGATGTTGAAAAAACCATACTTCTAAATATAATCCAACTTGTAAGGTATAAGATCTGCATCAAAATTATACTAAAGATTTGAAAATCAGTCTGACCTAAACCTAGGACCACACAAGACCATCAAGGACTGTAAGGTAACATGGGGTTCTGAACAAAAAACTCTGGCTCCAAGCAAAGCCATACACTTGGTAGGATTCTATAAACATTCTGCTACTTGTGGAGCTCAAAAAAAAAAAAGGTTCTGTATATGTAATCAGTAACATCACGTTATGCGTAACGCAACCAAAATGGCAGGCAGGGATGGTGTTACAATATCAAATCAACCAACTCCGACCACAGGAATTTCAAAACAGGCCAGTGACAGCCAGAGTTCTGCTGGCTACTTGATAACATGCCACTGATTACTCTGGTCAAAATAATAACCTTTTGGCCCTTCATGAACTTTTCACAGTCATCTACTTTTACCAAGTCTGAGTCATACTTCAAACATTTCAGAAATCCTTGTAACCCCTTCTTCAAATTTGACCCCTAGGGCATAGGATTGAGAGTTCAATTGACATTCAAGTCAGATCATTCAGCACACTCTTAAATTAGTTATCATAAGCCCCATATTTGCCACACTGTTGAAAAACAGTAAAGAGAGCCACCACCAACAACATCAACTTCAACAAGATAGGTACCTTCCTCAGAGGTTCACTGGAATGTAGTGCCCTGTCCAGCTGGCCTTGCAAAGTTTCAATTTTCCTGTAGTCATAGCACAAAATTACAATAAATACTACAATTCCAGATATAGTTAGAATTTAAAGACTAAAGATGGCTGAACATTTACTTTCCAGCAACTTTAAAAATGCTTAAACTTAAGCAAATATTCCTTTTTGGCATACAGAACATTTATGTCATACAACACAATCAAATAATTTCTTATCTTCCAACAAGGGCTTACAATACTAATAACTATTAATAAATTTCTAAATATAAAAATGACATATTTTAAAAATAATACCAAAGGTGATGAGTCTTAAAAGTGTACATGTACACCTTATGATGTTCTGCACTACCCTTGCATCAAACAATTTTTCTTAAACTCAATTCCCATATCAAATCATTTTACTGTAAAAACAAACCCATCATCAGCATTTAATTTAGACTAAAGTAGTTATGGCTTTTAAAACCTAATTTCAGACAATCTTATATACAATGGCAATTGCATGATTGTATCATTTCAAATTGTCTTACATCTGAGCTGCTTCCAGTTTCAGTGTGAAGTCAGTGGCTTGTTGAAGATGTTTATCAGATTCTACAACTGGTCAAGGACTCACATCAAAAGAGAACTTCATTAACTTGTAAGTAAATATTTCTAGAGACAAGTATATGCAATCCAAAAGGTCTTCACTACCAAGTACTCAATACACTACACAGAACTTATACCATACAGAATCTTTCAGAGTTTTACATGTAGTCATGGTTTTGCTGCACATTCCTAAGTTTTCCATATTCTGAAGGGGAAAATAATTACACTTAAGAATTCTAACTCATTGAGTACCATTTAAAGGTGCTCTGAGCACCAAACACGAAATGTTAGTTGGAACTGATCCAGAAATTTTTGATAATTTGGGGGTTTAAAACTCCTGCTTCTGAAAACACATTTTTTTTTCAACTACAACCAAAATAAGCTAAGAAATACTTCAAGACAAGAGAATTTTGAAGGCCACAGTATATTAAATGCTATTCTATAGTTTAAAAAATTTTGGCATCTGAGAAGTAGCACAACATCCCTGTTGTCTGGTTGGGGAGGGTCTGGATACTCCATTTACCCAACATTGTGTAATACCTGGTCCAATAATTTGTACATTTAAATTAATTCTGGTAAAAGGACCAAGTGAAATCCAATTCAGTCCATAATCATACAAGCAATTAACAAAATCAGTCGACTGCAAAGCAGAAGTGTGATTTGTCAATCACAAGTATGATTACAGACAGAATTGGACAACACAAAGTCCTGTTACCAATAAATCATATCCGTTGCAATTTCTCAAAACAGAAGAAAACATTTAGGACATATATCTCTTGTAGAAACAATGTCTTGGTAAAAAATTCCTCAATTATGGAAATTCCACTGTTTTCTTAGTATAAGTGGTTGTTGCTATGGTTATTGTGATCAATTCTGTGGTCAGTGGATTTGGCTGAAAGGACTGATTATGATTGGCTGCTTCAACTGTCCAGTAACAGGTATCCCATTACAGCCAACTGTTGGATTACACTGTTCGATAACAACTGCACAGAATGATTAGTGAAAAATAAAGCAGGTAATGCACCAATCACATTTGAGGAAATTGTAATGGTTATGATTGATTGGCAAAGAGAGGGAATGATATGGACACTTATCAATTTCAAAGTTTTGCAATAAACAAGTAAACAAACAAAATTAAATACATTGTATTTATCTTCAAGAAAACATTGAAAGGATACCCAAGCATTTCTCTTGATACTTCTTGATAAGCTCACTATAATAGCAAAAATAACGACAAACTAGTTAATTTTGGAAAAAACTGAAATTGTTTCCTTTCTTCTGACTCTGATTTTGTCTATATTTTGACTCTGCTTACAACCTGATTTGTGATTAACAGTAGGTTGAAAGTCCTCCACTGACTCCGAATATGACTCTGTCTCCAGTGAAAACTAACCTCAAGGCTGTTACCTCTAAAGAGGAGCTGCTCAGACTTAAACAACTTAAGAAAATAAGTGACTTAAGCAAATACCTTAAACTCTGATTCAAAATGGAGTAGAGTTCAAAATATTGTACCAAGAGAAAAAAAAAGCAACAAAAATTTAAGGGCTGCCTACAGTACATGTAATTTAGTTAGAGTTAAAATCGTCTTTAGGTCAGGGGCATAAAATAAACAAATATGGACAAAGACAACAGAAAAATACAAAATAAAGCTAACTACCTGTGGACTAAAGTTCTCACATTGCAAAACAGTACACTGAAATGTGTTTTCATAAAGGGAGAGAAATATACACAAATCAAAAAATCTTTGATTTAGTGGTTAATCTCACTGTCTTGTCAACACAGACACCTGGGTTAATCTTTTTAATAACAGGTAAAATTTAACTTACTCCGTTGAAATAATCTTTTCTTTGATCATTCTTAGTGTCAGTGCATGTTCTTTCTTAGTGGCCTCAAGTACCTGAAAGAAACCACAGGTAGCCATGATCATTAGTGCCCTAACTGCCCAAAAAAATTGACCAAAAGGTACTAATTATGAAATTTATTTAGTTCTTCTTAGAAGCTCAAACCACTTGTACATGAGAAGTGCACGTGTATGTATAGCTAGAACATACACTTTTTTCCGGAGTGGTTGTCCCACTAAGTCTTAACATTACTCATATTAACATTGCGACAAAGAGAGATTATGGAGATTGTGGTTATTTGTACATGACTGATTGAGAACACTGTGATTTAACAGGATAAAAGGAACATGCATAATAATGAAGCTTGTCAGTGTACTCAGCTCTCTTCTTGCAGCAAAGCACATGTACATGAAAACCGAACATTCATAATCAATGAAAGCGTAATAAAACAACGTCAACCTTCGTGGACCGTTCTTAGCATTGTCAGAATCAACCGGAAAACCGTAAAAAACACAACTTGTGTCCTTTAAGTGAGAACCTCATATTTGTAAACTAAACAAGAAACAAGACGTAGTTTGGACGTTTTTAAGGGTCTGGAACAATTATTTTGAGAAAAAGACCCAACAAACCTCTTTCATTTTTGCACATGAAGAGCAAGTAGAATCACTGGAATTGTTTGAAGCTGAATCAGCCATTGTTGAATCAGACACTGCTTTCTGACAGCTTATAACTTCTTGCGATTTTAAACACCACGAATTTCCTCTGCACAATCTTCTGCCATTTTGACTTCACGGCCGAAAACTGGGAACGAGAAAGACTATCTCCACACCAGTCTTTCACGGTGTGTGCTAAAATGAAAGAACTGGAAAGGATATGAGGGTCTGAGGATTATCAGGATAAGATTATTGAGATAAGTTTGTATTTTTAAATACAAAAAAAAGTGTGCCCGTGGTTCATTCCTTCATGAAACAAGATTATTAATATAAGTTTCCCGGTCTCATTTAGTAAACATACAACATGCTTACAATTATTATTCAGGAATATTTTACTTATCGATTATTGTTCACAATTAACGTTAAAGAAATATCTAGACAATTCCTCGTAACTTTCTTAAAATCTTCTCATCCATTCTGGAATGTTATTTTTGTTCTTAGTCTGAATTACGTGACTCAAAGTTGTTACATTGCGTGACAGAAGTATGTTTGTTTTTAGTATGACATTTCCTGATGTTCTGTCAAGACTGGTTGAACGTGTTAGATTCCTATGTCGCGCGCGTAATTACAAGTTTTATTTTTCACTGCTTCAAGCAACAGCTCTACAGAAATGTCATGGAAATATGTACTCGTTGCAGTTTCTATCCTTCAAATTGTTCACAGAGTCAAGACGCTGGGTCAATTACACAAGACGATTATTAGCACTCAAGATGCAGTCTGCAACGACAATTCGCGTGCGGTGTTCTACATCGGACAACGACGGACTCATAACTGGATTATTTTCTTTGAGAGCGGGGGTCTTTGTTCGTCGAAGGCAGACTGCAACAAGCGATATTTGAACAAGAATTCGACTGTGTTAATGTCTTCGAAGTATCTGCCTGAAAAAGTAATCGGAAGAGATATCTTGTCTTCTTCAAAAAGTGAAAATCCGACTTTCTACAACTATAATCATGTGTTGGTCCCTTATTGTAGCAGTGACCTGTGGCTTGGTAAAAAATCAACTCACCGGAACGGATCCTTTGATTTCGTGAATGACCCGTCCGTAGATAACTTCAGTTTTAAAGGCCATACGATTTTTCGTTCAGTATTTAAAGATTTACACAAGAACTACAACATTGCATTTTCAGAAGAGATCGTGGTTTCGGGAAGTAGTGCCGGAGGGATAGGAGTTTTAAATCACGCAAATTGGCTAACAACAAACTTCACCAGTTACTTATCATCGAAGCCCAGATTTCTTTTCATAATAGACTCAGCATGGTTTATAAACTTCCAAGATGGCTTTAAATCCAGAGTGAACTCTGAATTTGGCAAATTAACGAACATTTCGTCGGCTGCATGTGCAGATATGCGATATGGTTACGCATGTTGCCTATCAGCGTCGTGTCTCCTTACACACCACATTTCGACCGCAATGCAAATGGCGTTTGTTTTTAGTTTGTACGACATTTATATGTTTGCGGACGTGCTTAAAAGGCTTGAAAGTCAGGGAAAGACAGCCGAAAATCATGTAGCAGATTTTTTATCTGCAGTAAGTATGTATGGCGGAGCCATGAATGAGTCACTGGAAATTCCTCAAAGGCGTCGTGTTAGTTTTTTTGTCCCGGCTTGTTTTCAACACACTTATTTGAGTACGTCAAGTCTTTGGGACAAAGACAGCGTTTTACAACCTTTGGTAGAAGTTACCCGAGACAATGGAAAATTCAGGTAAAAAGAATTAATTGAAATTAATTTTTCGTGCTTGCGACAAGTTTGGAGGTACTCCAAACCCAAATGAAGTAAATATCTCTGTTCCTTCCTGTTATCAGGTGACCTTTCACACACGTCGGATTATCTTGGATAAAATACTTGAATGCACTACCTTCCGGTACAGACAGTGCTATAAAAAGAAACGCAAATCGATTGAAAAAGGAAAAAAAAAAAACCAGTCAAAGCGGAACAAAATAGGGATCTCGATAGCTCAAGACACCTTGATGAAGAGAAAAATATTCCAATCGCTGCCTTAGGGGAATTTTTGGCCTAATCCCATCCCTTAGCCCATAAAAAGGACGAGTCCGTTCATGTTTGGTGTATACCCTCCTTTGAAAATGCGTGGTTCTCATGTGCAAAGTCCTTCTGTTCATGAGTACAAATAAATACCCGGATGTAAGGGTGGAAAAATGTCCTCGTGGGTGGGGAAGAGGGGCTGGTGCAACAGCAGATGAGTATCATCTCCTTTAAGGCACTAAGAATTTCTCTTTAACTTTGCTTAATTTACTTGTGGGAGACATTTCATTTAACGGGATATTGTCAAAATAACAGGTTCTTTTTAGCCTGTGTCTATTGTGACAAAATAGTTTTCCTTTTTCCTTCATAGTCATACAGTGAAAAGTGGAACTTGGTCATCAACAAAAATTAAAAATGGGACTTCCAGCATCAGCATTCAAGATTTCTTATCTACCTGGGTGAAATCCAGTAATACCACCTTCAAGGTGATTGACAGCTGCATTGGTGCACACTGCAATCCAACCTGCCCTGATAAACTAATTTTCGTGGATGCAGGTGAAGTCTGGCATGATGTTATTAAAGTAATCATCATCACATTTTCCTTGGTTATCACAGTGCTTTGTTCTGGACTGAAAGCAAGTTTTATGGTTTACTATCGCTATTTAATGAAAAGACAGAAAAGTTATCTCAATGACAGTGAAACTTCTCAAGCAAGAAAGGAGGTAAGCATGTGTTACCAGTTACAGTTAGATTTCGACCATGTCATCCTCTTTGAAGTGCTCTAGCCCTCACCCTGAGGTGTGATCACCCTACCCATCTTACTCCCCACTCCTGCTAAACTCTTTTATCCCTTAGAGTGATTGGCATCTAATTTCTCCTTTCAATGTCACCCCTGAATCCAACATTAATGTCATGAGAATAAAGGAAATGATAATCAATTGAAGAACCTCTTTATTGTTTAACAAATTCTCCTTGTCAGCACATCAGGAAATGTAGAGAGAACAGTATAGAGAATTTGCATACTGATGTCAGGGTGTAAAGGGTTAAGACAAAATGAATCCTGAAAGATCTAAGATTAACAAATACTGTCAAACGTTTGTTTAAGAAAGTGTTAGAAGGGGAAACCTAGTGCTCTATTCCTAGATAGGGCATATTAGAAAGTGGGAATTGTTAGAGGTGGCTTAATAAAAGGGGGCTTATAAGAGATGGAGCCTGATAGAGAGGGGCTTGTTGGAGGGGAAGTGATAGGAAAAGGGACGTAATAGAGAAGGGGCATAAAACAGAAGGAGGAGGCTAATAGAAAGGGGGCTTAATAGAGAGGGGCTTTAATAGAGAGGAAGGCTGGGGGGTCCTTAGAGAAGGTGGAGTTAACTAGAGCGGAACTTGCGGGGCCGTAACAATGGGAGAAGTCAGATAGATAGAGGATGATTATTAGAGGATGATTATTAGAGACGGGGGGTTATTATATTAGGAGGGGGGTGTAGTTTACAAGAGAGGGGTTAAAAAGTGAGGAGGATCAATGAAACATTCACGGTTCATATGTCTTTTTTTGTAGCTTCCACTTTGCAAGGCGGGTGAAACTGTTAGTATAGCTTGCTTGTCCTTAACATATGAAGTGGATGTAAAGGAAAAGAAAAAGAAAGCTGACGATGGTAAGAATAGTAAAATTGTACATTGTTTACTACAGAATACTGATAGAGTTTCACAAAACAGTTTGAAGGATTACGCCTTCCAATAAATCTTGATTGAGACCTTTTACAGCTTTTATGTTTTCCCCAAAGACCACACGGGGGAAATCGCTAAACGTCAAAATAGGTTCCAGGCCTTTCGCGTTTTGTGAGTGATTCTAGCTCCCCGTAAAGAGCTTATTGGTTAGCTCTAAAGCGGCCAGGCACGGTCGTTTAAAGGATGTTAAAGGGTGGATAATGCGATCCACTGCATAAATCTTTATCCGGTGTATAGCGCGGTACATTTTGTTAAAAATTATCCGATGGATAGCAATTTACCCGTAGGTTATCGTTATCCGCCCGTTGGAGTCCAGGTTAAGATTTTGCATTGATCGTTAGAAATGATTTGAGCCTAAGGTTTTCCTGTTACTACAAAAATCAGCACCTACATTGCCAAGAAGGTTTTAAGACAGCGTGTGGGCCTTTTTACGCTCTTTTGTGCGCTTCTTTTGGAACTGCTGTAATGTAAATCCTTGTACGTTTTAAGAAGAATGCTTGAGTTGATATTTTTTCCCTTTGTCAGACCTCAGCTCTGAAGAAACCAGCAGTGTGATCAGAACAGATAGGAACAGTAAAACATCACTTACACTTCGAGGTTGCCTTGTGGAGGAAGACTCTGGCAGCGATGGACAAGATTATGAGGAAAGTAAAGATGACGAGATAGACGGCGACTTGAACTCTCTACCTTCCAAGTTGACAAATGGTTCTACGAATCTGGAAACAGAATCGACGGAAACTTCCCAAAAATTTCAAGCTGAGTCTTCGTTGGCCAAATTGGACGGTCACTCCACTTGGGGGTCCCATACGGGAAGTGAAATAGCACTCTTACAAGGTAGCAACACAGAAATCAAACAAATCCCCGTGGATGCGGCTGATGGTAACCCCTCTAAAAAACAAATTCTTAAAGGTGTGTCGGCGTATTTCAATACCGGAGAGCTGGTGGCGATCATGGGACCATCTGGATGCGGAAAGACAACACTACTTGACTTGTTAACAGGAAGGCGGCGCTCTGGACATTTTAAGGTTTGTGTGAGTTTTTTTCTCGCTTCTTCTTAAGGAAAAAAGGAGTTAAGGTTGAATTTATCTCAAATTTAATAAACTATATGATTGCAGGGCGGTTCAACATATTCTATAAACCTTTGAAACATGTGATTGCGGTACGCGTCTCTTGAAATCCGCGACAATGGTCGACAACCGAACCTTTCCGAGAAAGACACGGTCGGAAATCGAAGCTTTCCGTACGATGCACGGTTGTCTTGTTGCATGTCACTACTAGGTTGCCTTCTATACAAGATTTTGCATGGCATGATAGAATTAGCATGTTACGGGATGTTTCGGCATGTTCTGGTGCTCCGAGTTCGAGCGCATGCGGAGTCGTGCTACAGTTGTACGGGTTATTAAACTGTAAATACAGTCATACTCAACGTTGCAACTATACCCTAATAACCTTTGTTGGTAAAACACTAAACTAAAAAATTTCACGAGACTTTCGAAATTAATAACAAAGAACTTAATCATAATGCTTCCGATGAACTAAATCAACCTCTGACTGCGTTAGCCAAAACAAAAACTTTCGTGTGGGTCCAAAGCAAGGCTAGTAGACAAACTAAGCACGTCCGCTTTAGGAAGTTAGACAAGATTGTCGCAATTCGGAAACTCATCACGACAGCTCAAAAAAAATGTAGTATAGACAAAAGATTAAATCATACTGAACTGACTAAATAAATTACTAACTATAAACTAACTAAATACTTCATAACACAAGGATTGCTTCACACGATTTTTGAAAAATTTGATCAGCTTATTTTTCAATTTCCGAAGAATTTTATTGCGCACTTTCGTTTTATTCCACTTTTTCTGTTTTCTTTCCTTTGAGGTATTAAAACCCTTTTCAACCCTTCAAAAACTGTACCTTGAAACAGGTGGTGTAAGTGAACTCTATTTATCCCTTACCTCCATATCTGTTCTAACTCACATATCCTGTAGGGCCAGGTGTACATCAACGGAGTTGGCCTGGGTCAAGTGCAAGACTGGTATGCTCGTAAGATTGGTTATGTGTTACAGCTGGCTGTGCCTTATTATGAGGAGCTCACTGTGCGGCAGAATCTCTTTTTTGCTGCTCACATGCGGCTACCCAAAGAAACGAGTGCTGCAAAGAAATACGAACGCGTTGAACAAATTATTGCTGAGGTTAGTTATTCACTTTCGATAAACTTTGGTTTAACTTTGGAGGAAATTTTTTATTTTACTGGAGTCTGGAAGTAGGGTTCACAAAGCAGATTCAGGGGCACATACAACTGGGGCTGCCGAAGGAGTATTACAAAGGGACCCTTATTAGCTTTAAGCTAAGACCAGATTGAGTAAATACCTTGCCAATCCGTGAGTTAAGAAGTGTGATACACCCGAAGGACCTTGGCCTTGAATAGTTGGGGCTTAGAGGCGTTCTTTTAGAAGGAGCCCAGTGCACATTGCTCTCTGCGCCTTCAGAGAATGTATTATAGCCAAGTAAATTTAAACTGGTTCTGTTTCTCTCTGTACCAGACTGGATTGACACAAATGGCTAACACGGTTGTAGGAGGATCAACGGGCCTGGGTTTGAGTGGAGGCCAAGTAAGTAACATATCAACTGCACTTCTTACAAGGATTAAAAGCAGGCGAACGGTGGATTGAAATAACCGGTCGAAATCGACGTTAGCAGGACTTCGTCACCTCCTGTTGGATATGACTACCTTTTTTAGTTTACTAAACCTCAGTACTCCAAAATCTCATACCACATTTCTGTTTGGTGTAGAAACGTCGCCTATGTGTAGCTCTCCAGTTGATTAACATGCCCTCAGTGCTTTTTCTCGATGAACCAACCTCAGGTGAGTGACTGTTAAATCGTGATCGTGATAAAGCAAGCGTTCATTCTCTGTGATAAGCATTTGCCACTACATGCAAGGCGGAGAAGTAAAGGGCACAGAGATGCATATTTCTTTTGATGTCTGTAGTACTGTAATGCCCCAGCTTTTATCCCTCAGCCCCCCCCCCTCCGATGGCGTAGCGAGAGAGGGGGGGCCCTGGGGTGCCCGTGACCACCCCTTCCCCCTTTAAAAAGCCTCCTTTGTCACATTAAGAAAACACGGCGCTGAGAGCCCTCTATTAGACACAGTGTGAACCCCCCTTTCAAAAATCCTAGCTACGCCCCTGGTCTTTCCTCTTTCCCTCTGGTTATAGACCTTACAGCGTCATTGCCTTGAGTGGCCTGGCGGGTTTGTTCTGCCTCTCCATTATATCCTCCATTCCTGCATTTCTCCACCATGATTCTCATTGCCCTCTCTTTCCCCCGCTGTTTCCCGTGCTCACTACTACAAATGGTCATACACAGCACCGCTGCCTTAAGATCGAGGCTTAGTATTCATTTAACTATTCCAAACAAGTCGCTATGACTTATTTTCTTTATACGATCTTAAGCAGAATTGTAAACCTGTGTGACTGTTTTTTCGGCGACACGAAGCTACTTTTAGCTGCAATTTGTGACTGCAACGCGTTGTTGTTATTTGCCACCTAGTGTGATCCCATCCTCGGTTTAAAATCAATTTTAATTCACATTTTATGTTTAAACCAGGTCTGGACGCATCGTCTTCCCTAGAGCTGTTGAATCATCTCAATCTTGTTGCTGAATCAGGCAGACTTGTTATTCTCACTATTCATCAGCCCCGGCTAGAAATCTTCCATCTTTTTCACAAGATTCTTTTCCTGTGCGATGGTCAGGTAAAACAGTTGGTTGCTAACTGGTCGTCGCTTGTTTGGTTGATCTGCTCTTGCGCGATCTTTCTTTCGTTCTTCGGTTTGTTGGTTCGTTTTTACGTTCGTGCGTACTTTAGTGCACACTTATGTCTACTTGTTTGTTTATTGTTCGCTCCTTCGCTTTTGCGTGCTTGTTCGTTCTTTTCGAACGGTGATCTTTAGGAAAGGTTTCGTTTCGTTCGTTTGTGTGCGCGTTCATACGCGTGTGCGTGCGTAAGTGCGTTCGTGCATTTATTGTTTCGTTCAACAGTATGTATTTTGGTCGTTCTTTTGGTCGTTTATTTGTTTGTACCTTTGTTTCCTTTCGTTTAGTTGGTTAGTGATTTTTCTGTTTGTTTAACTGTTTACTGTTACATTATTTTTCTAGGTAGCCTACTATGGGGAACCTTCTATGGCACCAGAACTTTTTATCAAAGCTTACGCTGCAACTTCTGAGGAATACCAGCTGAGTGAGGAAGCACCGAAAATTGACGCAAAAAATCCCGCAGGTGAAAAGGTCTTTCTTGTTATCGCGAGTCACACAATTGGAAATGTTAATTTTGAGCAAATGGATATATCTTTCGTGGAATTCGACTTTCTGTTTTGCAAAAGATGCTGCACCTACGATGTTGTTCCGTTAGAGTACTCTGTCCGTGTTGAAATTGCTTTTCAATTGACCAACGGAATCACAAAGTAACCATAAAAGCCAATCAGAGCAAAGGGAATTATGACGAGGAGCCAATGAAAACTCGATATAAAAACATGCAGCAGGCGAAAGCGCGGAAAACGCGAGTGAAAAACGCGCGAATGATTTCACCTTTACATCTGACTGGTTGAGAGAATGGGGCGAGATTTCTAAACCAATCACGGAGTGACGCACGTTAAAACCATTGCAATCACTTTCGATTCTCAACACTTATTTGAAATTGCTTCAGCAATTAAACTTACTTTTGCGCGTCAAAATTTATGTTACAAATACTGACGAGCCTTTCAATATTGTCTTTTCAAATTTACCCTTTAGATACCATCATGGATTTACTGAATTGCGGTGTCGCTCGTCGTGCCATTTTGGATGTTTACCAAAGAAGCGGAGAGCCACAGGCAGTCCAGGAAGCCATTAAAACATCACAGGAAAAGGCCAGTAAGACGGTTACCATGGAGAAAATGAAAATGATGTACGTACTGTAATAAATGAATGAACGATCTAGAATCACTTTTACCACTGACGAAGATTAGCATCGTAGCAATTGAAGCCTTGCCATCCTTAATTGATAGCTTTGCTTTTCAAATGTGAACATTCATTTATCATCGGAACCGTGATGGACAAACGCACATTGCCGACGTTTAACTGTAAGGTGGCATTGCACCACATGTATGTGAGATTCTGGAATTTCTTAGCGTTCAAAGCTTCTTATTTGACGGGTTTTATTTGCTTGTCCGTACGAAGAGTTTGCTAATTTAACTCTAATTTGTAACTTGTTTTTTCCAGTGTCGATGGCGCTGGGTCATTCAACAGAATCTTTGTGTTGGAGAGCAGAACTTCTGTAAAGCAAACATTGGGACAGATCTTGTACTTTCCATTAATTTTTTTCACATTTGGGATCATCGTAGGTATGCAGATAAACCTAAATGTTATGCATACTTTAGTCACGCTTGTTAAAGCAGAGTGGGTCACGCTTTTGTCACGCCAAGACTAATATGGAGCTCAATGTAATGAAAGTTACTCGAACAGAATGTGAGAACTGCTCGCAGTGAAAGACTTCCTTAATTATGTGGTTTTGCGAATGTTTCAGTATTTCTAACAGTGTTTTAAGTACTTTGGTGAAATTTTTTACACTAGCACTAGCTGAATGATAAATTTTGATGTAGTTTAACACTCACCTCCAGTTCTCTGTGGCTCAGTCGGTGGAGCGTCCAAACACGAAATTGGAAATGGCCTTGGTTTAAATTCTCTCAAAGGCCCGAGATTTTTACTTTATCCTAGGCTCCTGCAATATGTTTAACAATTGTTAACCGCAAATTATGTTGGTTTTATTTTACTTTTAATTTGAAGGAACTGTTTACTGGCAAGCTGAGGAGAGAGATGGAATTTTGCTGATGTCTGCGTACTGTGTGTACTGCTGTGCCAGTCCCTTGTTTCTAAGCTCTGTCCTGATGGCGCACCTCAACAAAGCTTTAGATGTAAGTACCCTAAAGATATTCAAGAGCCTCTCTTTCTCTTGGAATTATGGTGCAAAACATATCACATTTACGCTCGCGCATGTGTGGTCCCTCTGTGATGGTGCAAAGCATGATGGTTGAGATCATTTCACGGGAATAATAAAAAGAACAAACACTACTGGTCCTTAGCTACCGCAAAAACATCAACCCAAAAAAAAACTGCGTAAACTTCATGAACAATGGGTTAAGTTTTTAAAGAAACTGTGGTACTGCGTCAGAGGGGGTTACAACAAGATAATTTTGTTTTATCAACCGATTTGATAAAGTAAATTGGCTACCTTAAAGAATTTCTAAAAAATCTTTATGGTGGCCGAGTTACATTATTGACACCGAGAAATATTTAGTGCGGTTATGCTTTTAAGATTGAAAACTTTTCATAATTACTGTAATGCATTTACAACTTTTTCGTACATTTTTACTTCTTAGATTTTTCGCCTTGAACGTCAAGACGGTTGTGGTAGATCTTACGAGAACGTGGTACAAACGTTTGTTCGGACGACAGCATTATGTGCTTTACCGGTGATCATGTGTTCCACGATGTCTTACTTGATGGTACGTTCTTTTACGATCATTTATACGTTTTTATTAATAAATCATTTCCTAGGATTGCTTTGAAGGCAAAACGAAGGCAAAAGGATGTAGGATTCACCTTCATTCCATCCAACGAGTCATCCTGGGGAAGGGAAAATCTCGTCAAGACATGATTGATTTCAGTTTTTTATCGGCTTGGCAGATAGGACGGCCGCGGAAAATTTCTTAGACCAATCATAAAGCAAAACTGATGTAAAACGCTCGATTGGAAGTTGATTTCTTCTGCCTTGTTGATACACAAATGAAGGAAAAATGATAAAGTTTAATTTTGGAAAAAATCGACACTATAAACGATTTTTTGGTAAGGTTGCTGCATTTTTGTCTTATTTTCTCAGGTCATGACGTCGTATGATTTGTGGAAGTTCCTTTTGGTAACAATCATTTCATTGGTTTTGAACCAAACCTGGATTGCAGTCTACATGATGGTGATTTGTGCACATCCGGGAATCTCTCATCGCATTTGTCCAATGGTATCCGCCATCGGAGGCTTCGCGGGGGGCTTTTTAGTACCCAGACCTCAAATGCCAGTTGTGTGAGTGTTGTAAGCTCCTGTTATTTAAGGTGTGCGTTTAAGAATCTGTTGGAATTCTCTGGAGCAGGGCAATGACATTTGAAATAGGAATTGTCACATGTTTATTCTGCCAGAATTTTATCAAAAATAAGTGTAATTTTTGAAAGAAACATATAATGGCGTGAGGATGAGTCATGATTTCAAGGAGGGTAGGAAGAAGACTGAAATAAGACAGAATTATAAATTGAGAAACCTTGTTAGGTTTTGGTCATTCATGTCGATCACGAAACATCCAAATGTACTAGCTTGATTCTGAGGAACAGTACCTTAAAAACAAGGAAGTTTCGATAAATAACGAAGGTTCATGATAGGCAAACTCCAAAATCAAATGAAGGAGTAACTTCTCCTGTTGGCGCACAGTCATGTGAAATTCTATAACCCTAATGAATTAGGCTTTTCTATTTCTCAGAAGCTACCATTATCTAGCTGAAATCAAAGCGACTGGCACAATTTGCAAAAAGTTTCTTACGTTTTAAACACTTGTTTTACGTCTCTCTATTTCTGGTTACATTTCAGATACAACCTTCTATTTTACATCAATCCCCAATTTTATGGCTACTCAGCAATGACTAAAGTCCTGTTGTTAAATGTTCGACTGAAATGTGAATATGAGTCCACACTGAACTGTATCAGTACGGACGGTAATGCTGTACTGGCCAGGTTTGGCTTTGATACCGTCAATGTCTACGAACACTTGGTGGTGAGTTAGTTTTGGTGACTTGAGGACGGTTGATGCGCATAAATATTGACTGAAGTTCTCTTTACTGTTAGCGTTGTTTTCTTATTATGGACAGATTTTGGTGACGTTGTTTATTTATTGTACACTCTTGGGGGACTCGACCAGGAAAACATGTCATAAGTTTGATGAGTTTTCATTCTTAGGTATTCTTAAGAGAAATTTCAACTTCAGTGAGTGCTGAAATTAAAAGCTGGTGTTACTTAGGTTTTGCTTGTCTGTGCCATGCGATTGATCTAGAAAACTCCATTTGCCTTTTTAATTGATCACTTGCAAACCTGTAACCAATTTCGAGTACATGAATACACTCTCTTTCCCTCGCTTTAGCCTTTCAGTTTGATTTTTCTTCAAGCTACCAATGGCTCTTTTTCTTTATTGAAAAACTATCGTTTTTCGTTTTTCGTTTTTCCATTACTCCAGAAATGTCTCCCAATTCTTACTGTCGTTAAACTACAATTGTTTTGTTGTCCAGAAGATTACGGTTATTCCTCGTGGTGAATACAGAAGAAGCGGAGTATTATCGTTTGTCTTTCTGTGTTCTCACTTTTCAATGTTGAGTCGAAAAGAGGGAATCCCAATTGGAAGTGACTACATTGCAAGACCAACTATAATACTTCATTCCTACTGTTATTAAAATTTTTTTTACGTCGTATTTAAGACATCCTTATTTTAATTAAAATATTGTTTTTTTCAGATAATGCTAGGGATGACAGTGTTATCTTTGCTTCTCGCTTGGTTGTTTTTAGAAGCGAAAAACTTCACCATCCCCTCCCTCACTAAAACGTAAGTCTTTCTCTCTGTTTTCACCTTGTAACGTTGTTTATCTGATTTACATATTATATCAACCGCTGACAACTTTTACCGCGCTACAAACTTTAGTTTCCAGGCTTCTAAGCTTCATCGCTCAAATTGTTTTAAAATTCTTTTGAAGCTAAGCCGTTTTAATGGTTCTTGAGTCACTTCAACCGAGCTCTGATTTGTATAATCAAAAATTTTTGTAGGATTCGAATATTAGTTCTGACAAAAGAGCATTTTTACTTTCAAAATTGCCTTTAACCAGACTTCGAATATGAAGTATCAAAAGTATCATTCTGTTTTTTATCTTGTTATTCCCAGTCCCCCAGCCTTTTTAACCGAGCCTGAAGAGGAGAAATTGGAGGTTGCGGTTGTGCCAATGACGCCAATTGACGAAACCTTAGTCGATGAGGACGAGGATGAAATACTACCGGAGATACCCTTAAAACCATTCACTCGCAATCGGAGATCCGCAAAATCCAGGCTTGGACTGATCAGTGGCAACCAAGGTTTCCATTCTGTCAAGCTTCCCTTACACAGGCGTCAGTCTAGTGACGCGAATAGCGTCCAAAACACTGAACAAGCAATTGATGGTGAGAATGTTGACTACGTTGTACGCCGAAGGCGATTGGTGAGCATTTCAGGGAAAGAACTTTGGAGATCCACCAAACAGCGCGTAGAGGAGAGGAAAATGGACTTTGACAAGCGTTTGTCACAAGTTGAGAAAATCGCCCGGCGCTATACAATAAAACACTCTCAATCCGTGCGAAGGAGAGCGAAGGAGAAGGCAGTCGTTGCTCGAAGAAGTACCATGGCTGCATCGGCTTCAAATGAAGCTAACAGGCCGGAGTTTATTACCAAAAGAAATGGTCGCTTCCAAGATGATTGCAGGAAGGGGCTGTTTCAGGAGGTGATTGAAGAATCGGAAGTGGACGGAGGAGGCGGTGAGATGAACGAGGATGAGGTGCGAGACGTTCTTAACCAGGAGGCTGAAGCTGGAAAGAAGCAAAGGGAAGAAGAAAGCGCTACTGGATCCAGTGAAGGAGATGTCTTGCAGCTACACACTGTGAAGAAACCTTTCGACAATGAAGCTAGAGGCTTTGAAATTCAAGAGCAAGGACGATCTAGAGGAGATGAAGAAGGCGCTGACCAGCAACATGTGTCTGGTTGTGAGGCTCAGAAGGATAAACAAAAATCTGTGAAGAAAGTCTCCATCATAGAATATACTGAAAGTCTGGATGTATAATACGGCGGAATTTCCTCAATTTTACAATTTCCAAATATCAAGGACGACACATGCAGATGTAAAGCAGGAGAACCAGATTTTAATTTTTGCATTTTTTATTTCGTATTTTGGAATAATGTGCAGTTAACTGTGAAGATTATGCATGATAAATAAATCAGTATTTATAAAGACGTTGTGACATCAGGGAAGTCAACTGATATTAAAGCCTACTTACTCAGCACTTGTCTTTGAATGTGACTTTTTTACTATTAATTACGTAATGAAGGAAAAAATGTCTATTGCTCTTTCCCTATTTTTAAAACTTGGTGTCAACAACGATATTCGCGGTATCCTCTTCTTCTTCCACAGAGCCAAACGCGTCATCATGTTCACGGATACTTTTCAATGACGAGCTACGACTCGTCATTTCTTGATCTCCCTCTTCAACCACAGGAAAACAGACACTCTTTGGTCGTGGCGCGGGTTGCCAAGTTGTCATTTTCAGTTCAAGATTCATAGGGTTGTGATCGTTGGTTTCATGGTATGACTGGTGACGTTTCTTTTTTGGTTCTGGTTTTTGTCCGTTTGCTCCAGGGTCACTGTTGTGTCTACTTCTCGGTGGCAGAGGTATAGTTTTCTTTCGCGTCCTTGCCATTTGAGACTGAACTTGTTTTGATTGTATAAATGTGGAATGTCTGACGATTCTCTGAACGTTCTGCATCTCAAGATGGGTGCTTAACCTTCTCTCCGCCATACGCCTACGAACAATCGCCCACCGACTCTCTCGAGACATGACAGGACTCGTTTGTGGCATCAAAGAAACAACATCTGGATCTGGCTGGTACTCGCGAGAAATGGGACTGTCCGGAAGCTTCACGGTGTGCAGTCCGTCGTCATGGGTAACAATGCCTAACGTGGACCTCCGGCGAGTGGGGTTAGCTGTGTGGCCAGCCTCATTTAGAAGCTCGATTGATTCTTCTAGTATTTTATCCACTTGTGACCTTGATATTTTTGATGACCTAAGTCAATAGAACAATAAGATTAGTTGAGTGATTGTGAGTCGTCCGACATTTCTGGTATAGCAGAGGAGTGACGGGGAGGGGGGGAGGGGAGGACGGGGGGAGGAGGCAAAGAGCGTTTTTGTTTTTGCATATTATTGGATCGGGGTCTGCCTTTGACGTTCAAGTCAAAATGTAGACTGCGGAAACTGTTGCTGTTTTTGTTTACGTGAAAATACGCCTTTCATACAAGTTGATATTTTGAAGAAGGGTCGGTGTGCTATTTAACTAATCGACGGTGATTTAGCGTGGTGTGTAGTATTATCGACAACTATATTCGCTGATGGTCAAATCCGCAACAAATTTTGACCACTGTGATGACAAATATAGTTGTTGTTAACCCTTTAACTCCCATGAGTGACCAAGACAGAATTTCTCCTTACAATATCAATACAATACAAAGCTGACAAGTAATGAGAAAAATATAAATAAGGGGATTATAAGTTGATCCAATACTAAATTCTCTAAACTAACATCACGAGAACTGTATGTAGGCAGTGAGGAGAACTAACGAGATTTTGGGAGATAAACGGTTAAGAGTACAGACCACGCCAAACTATTGTCGATTTTTTTTTAACCACAATGTCGACGTCGAAATTTCCGAGTCATCCATGTTGGACCCTTTAACCCCTAGAGTTGATTAACATGTTAATTCTCCCCATTATATGTACACATTATCCAGCATACAGGTAATGAGAATACTTAAACTTGTCAAGTAGAGGTTGTTCTCTTGATCTGACACCAAATTCTTAAAACTGACTTAAAAGGAAATGTGTAGCAGCTAGAGGGGAGAATTTAGAATCAGATCTTGGGATTTAAAGGGTTAAGAGCTGGTAAAGGAATCATATGACACATGGACGCTAGCAGCGTTGTCTATGCTCTTGTCCCAAGCGGTAAATTTGCCAATCAGATTGAGGCATTACTGTCCATTGTAAAATTTGGATTTGAGTTGTGTAGATGAAGGAAACGCCTAATTTCAGAGACGCCATCGTTCAACTCTTTACCGAATTTGCCTTGTGAAGGCATCTTAGACTACATACAAAAACCCACGAATATTTCCAGGCTCGTTCAAATGTTAATTTCTGTCTAGAATGAATTTCTTTACGAAAACACCGTTTCCCTTATAGAGTTAACATTTGGCTCTGTCGTGTTATTCGACCAACATGAACACGTAAATTGCAATTTTTTTTTCCGATATTTTCCAATTTTCTGACGTTACTCGAACTAACATTGAGGTTACTTTGAGAAGAGGCTATGCATAAACAAACAACCGCTACATACGTTTTGGAGAATTTCATCTTCATGTTCTTTACTTCCAGAAACAGCCAGGAGAAAATTAATGATATTACTGTCATCCCAAGCATTATCTGTAATCAGAGGAACAATCAGCATTAAATTAATTTCATTGTTCATTCGTAATTGTTTTTCTGCAGAGCAATGTTAATGGTAGTACTGGAATATAAAGAGTGTCGTGTCTTAGTATACGTTTTTGAAACATTTTAAATTAGCATGTATAGCATGGACGTCGAACATACATGTCCGATGTAGTTGTAGAAATCAATTTGGTGTCGATTATATGAGAAGATAAAGGAAAAGCGACTTTAGTTTGTTCCTGGTTTTATCTTTACGTTGGGTGAAAAGGTTTGCACCAATCACTCTATAAATTTACTGTCTTTTCTGGCTCAACGGAAGTAATCTTTCTTATATTCAAAAGAAAAGGAAAACTTACCGCCAAATGTTCATAAATATTGACCGTGTCGAACCCAAATCCGGCCAAAACAGCATTGCCTTCAGTACTGATACAATTCAATTTGGACTCGTAAACACATTTTAGGCGGAGGTTTTGTAATAAGGCTTTGGAGATAGCAGAATAACCGTAGAATTGTGGGTTGATGTAGAATAGTAGGTTGTACCTAAGGTAAATAAAAATAGACACCATTAGTAAAAATTAAAAGTTCAGAGCTGTAATAATCGTGGTACTTCACAGTTAAGCCTTCGTTGTTTCACCTCCATCACAGGTAACTTTCCGCAAAATTTCAAGCCGATTTTGTCATAAGATTATGAAAAATACTCAAACAGTTCGATACAGAATATTTTGTTTTCTTATGAAACCAAATTCTCCTCAATAATCTACGGGGAAATATTTTAGTAGTAATGACGTTGCTATTCCAACACGCTATTACTCTAGTGTCGTGTTTTATACCTTAACTGAGGCGTTGACTGATATGTCAATGAAGTTGTTAAGTTGTTGACGTCGTTATCTTAACGACTTCGGCAACTTTCGGACTTCGTTAAGTTTATGACGTCGTTAAGATGACGAAGTCGTTGAAGGAGCAAACTTGATGATATGTTAGTGAAATCGATAATTTTTCACTCACCCAGCCGGCATTTGAGGTCTGGGTACTAAAAAGCCCCCCGCGAAGCCTCCGATGGCGGATACCATCGGACAAATGCGACTAGCGAATCCCGGATGTGCACAAATCACCATCATGTAGACTGCAATCCAGGTTTGGTTTAAAACCAATGAGATGATTATTAACAAGAAAAATGTCTTCAAATCATACGACGTCATGACCTGAGGAAAGAAGAAAAAAATCAGGATATATACATTTAATTTGTTTATTATCAATTTTTTCACATACAAATTTTTTTTTATGTTTATCTCAGCCACACAGGAGAGAGATACATTCACTGATAAGGGTAAGCGTATCGCTTTATTCAACCGCTGTCTCTGAATTCGATAATCGGTGTTTTGGGACAAAAATGCCGGAAAATGTGTTTGGCATGTTGCATCCCGAGAAGAAGTTTCTACTCATGGAGATTATGGACAGGATGGAATGTCAATATCCACCTATTACGTGTGTGACGTCAATAGAACAGAAATATCTTTAAATGTCCTTGTTCTTTGGTATTTTAATTTTGGTCGAGAGAAAGGGCAGTCGGTGGTGACAACGTGTTAAATTGGACCCGAATTCTTCAAAAATATTAGTTTTTGAATTTCGGTTCGCATGCCCCAACTACTTCTTAAGATTTGACTGTTAAAACGATCATGGTGAAACTTTCCTGTAAACAGTTTAACGATCACTCTTGAAGACGTAAGCTGAGGCATGCATACGAAAAGACAACTTTATAAGACTAATAGTCTTGTAAAAAGCTTGTAGCTCTCGTTGTGCTTGTCACTGCAGTTTGCCTCGCATGTTCATGAACACTTCTGCTTGCGCACGATCATTCATGTATGACATAACATGCAAAATCTGCATTATTTAACATGCATTCTATGCGTGGTATAATAAGCTGTTTCTCATAATTGCAAAGGGATAACTTAACTCCGTGATATAATTATTTTGGACACTTCGCCAGAACAACGGCTATGACGTTTTATCGCCCGTCTTCTGCTAATGTTTTTATGCCATCTTGCAAACCACCATTAACAAGGGGAGGGGAGGGAGACGGTGACCTGACAAGTGTGTCTAAGAGTGGACACTCATGCAAAATCGATGAGGATACTTCTTCAGGACAACGTCTATGATGTACTTTCGTCGCTCTCCCTCTTCAAATGTTGTCAACTGCCAATATTTCTAAACCATCTTGCAGACCAACATTGAGGGGGGCAAGGGAGGTAGTCGGTGTTCGGGAGTGTAGCACAACCGGGCAAACTTGTAGGTCTTATTTTTAACGTTACCCAGGTTTGCGTAACCTACCAATAAATAAGACATCGCCGAACGGACTAGAATTGGAATCACACACAGAGCAGCAATGCGCACGTATGTCTGAATCACATTCTCATATGACCGACCGCACCCATCAGCACGTTCAAGGTGATATATCTGCAGGCACAAAAATACAGTAAATATCTGCTTGTCATTAAATAACGCGACTAAGGTCTTGCACAGAGATGGTGGTCTGTTAGCCCCGGAGGAGACGCATGACCCTTAGTCCCCCCCCTTTCTTATTCAGACTTGAACCCCAAGAGGGCCCAAGAAGGTGCTTATTTCAGAAAATCTTCCTTATATAATATAGTAACACTTATACAGTACGACAGGAAATCCTTAGGGTGATTCCTCAGAAAATGAATTTATCGAACGCCTTTTTTTCAACTTTCCTAAACAATAAGAAAGATAGGTCACCGTGCTTGTGTAGGAGATAAAATGGGCCAAACTTACTCCTTACAAAAATCATTTATGCCTGTACTGACACTTATCACGCGAATTATTTGATCGGTTTACGGTACATTTTGACATTTTGCTGCAGCTGGAAGCAAGGTTTTGTTAAAGTGACACTCAAGAAACTTGATAGATAGAATTTTTCGAGCGCATGGAGCAATTTGAAATACATGAAAATTTAAACAGCATACACGCAAAACGTTCCTCGAGTCGTTCTTTTCAAGGTCATGATTTGCATCCACGAGTAACAGGCTTTGTGCACGCTTTTCAGTCATATTTTTTTTTTCCCTTCGATGAATTTTTCTTAGTTTGTCCAGTTTAAAGGGGAAAATTTATACACCAAAATTATGGAACAAAAAATATAGGTCACCGTGCTCGTTCACGAGCTAAAGATCATCGTATCTATTTACCTGGTCCTTTTATTGGAAAAACGACACCGTGTTCTTGCGCGCGCCTATTCGCCCGATTACGTGATTTTTTTGCGCAGTACAGGATGCGCACTGAGGAATCACCTTAAAAAGTATCGTAATGAAAAAAATTTAGTGCAAAAATCAGAATGCTCAATCTACTCACATTTAGAGCTTTGTTTAGATGCGCCATTAGAACTGAGCTGAGAAACAAGGGGCTGCAGCAGCAATAGACACAAAATGCTGACATCAGCAAAATCCCATCTTTGTCCTGCGCCCGAAAGTAAATTGTTCCTGATGGGAAAATTATGTAACACATTAAAAAAGATTTGTGTCCAATATTTCATAAATTTGTATTGCGTGATAGGCAATGAGGGCGAAGCCTGAATCATCAAAGACGCACAGAAATCAAAGTTTGCAATCTCTGGTCAGACAGATTACAAGTAGTATATGTGGATGGTTTCGATAGCATTCTCAAATTTGGCCCTCAACCAATGTCAGTTCCTTCCGATTCTGATAAGAGATAATCACTTGTCTCTCGACATCTTAAAATATAGTAGTTCTTTGGTACTTATTAAACGTCCTCGATTTCATGGTCTCTGATCCAGGTTAGTGCGCTAGACTCCGGGTCAAGAGGTCTGGGCTCGAGACCTAGCCAGGTCGTTTTCGTGGGCAAAACACTTTGATCTCCCAGTGCCTCTCTCCACCCGGGAGCGTAAATGGGTGGCGGTGAGTTGTCAGGGAAGCCTGATGAAATGCTGAGGGGTAACCTTGTGATGGCATTTAATTCAGGGGGAAGTAGTAATACCCTTGGCCACTTCATGCCCATACTCGGGACCAGTGGCTGACTGGGCCAGACCATTACCTCACCCTAAAACAGGTGTGGTCAAACATTATTCTTGACAGGGGTAGGGCATACCTACCTACTACTAATCCAAACAAGAAGAATATCAGAGGAAAGTAGCAAATTTGTGCAAGTGTTTGACTCAGGGAAGTTCGGCCTTCCAACGCAAATATTCTGTTAAATATTCCTGCATCGTTTATCCTGCCAAGAAAAAAACAATGATTTGCTATAATAACAGGCTTTGATGAGACTCATTACAGGCTTTGAAGTGATTCATTCACGCTTTTTTAAAACTCTGAAGAGATACGTGAAAGTTCGAATGTTGTTTTCAAATGTGCTTTAAATTCGACTATGCACGAAGCCTTTTTCAAAAAGCCTTTAAGATTTATGAAACAGGAGACAGACTTTGCTACGTCGCGGATAAACGGCAAGGTTACTAACCAAGATTAAAAAGGGCCGTCTCTATGCTCAAATCATCAGCTCATTTGACGACAGTATTCGAAAGGGCAAGTTACTCTTATGAATCTCGAAACATGGTCAGAATCATATTTTCAAAGGCACTTTTTGATTGCGAACATAAAAAAATGGTGTCTGATGCCTACATCTCGTGTAAATGCTGGTTTGGGAAGCGTGATAGCTACACCGACGCAGAATACTTACTCCTCTTTGTCGGAGTTCATGTTTTGCATAGTAAAAATGTTTCTTGCGTCTTCCTGTGCCTTTTTGATAGCTTCCTGGACTGCCTCTGGCTCACCACTTCTTTGGTAATAATCCAGGATGGCTCGGCGAGCCTCACTGCAGTTCATTATATCCATAATTGTGTCTGGATAGATAAGTAAATCGTATGCTTTTCAATTTAAGAATTGTCTATTCTTTACCTTCATATATGAATTCCACCAAATTTAAACTTGAGGACCACTTCATATTTTTTGCGGGGGAGGGAGGAGTGGCGGAGGATTTTGCAAGGATAGCAGGGTTCTTAAGGTGGAGCGAAGTGGGGGATCAGTCGTCGCTAACAGAGTGGCGAAATTAAAAGCTAAATCCTGTTAGCTATGCGACCAAATCTTTGCCTTTCTCTGTTTTCTTTTTTCAAAGATTGAAAGGTTGAGAATTCCAACCTATATTAAAAGCGAACAACATTATGAGTAATATGATCGAAATACTCCCTTAACCAACGAACAGAACGGCTTCCGATCCAGTGTCTAAAAGCCAGACGCAAATTTATCTAAACGGCCAATCAGAACCAAGACGTGCATCTCAAGGAGCCAATAAGAACTCAAAGAAAAAGCACGTCTTTTCCCTGGTCTTAAGCGCGGAAAAACGCAAGCGACCAACTCGCAAATAGTTTTGATTTTTCATGTTGTGCGATATAAAGCTAAGGTGCGAGTTTTTCAATTAATCCTTGAACGAACTAAATCAAAACCAATGTCAGACCTCGGATAACTAATTGCTCCAATCTTAGGGTGGACCTTGCAGCTTACCTGCAGGGTTTTTGGCATCAATTTTTGGCGCTTCTTCACTGAGTCGAAATTCTTCAGTTGTTGACTGCAGATAGGCTTTAAGAAAGAGAGTCGGGGCTGATGTAGGCTCGCCGTAATACGCCACCTAAAGTCATGAGCGTGACGGTTGATAAGCACGTAAAGGGAAGCCCTCCTTATTTATCTTCTAATAATTTTAATGGATATAATTCTAAAAATATTAGATTTTACCATGAACATTATCTATGCTATTGAAGCTGAAGTCAGTGTTAGGGGTGTGCGTGTGTATGTATGGACGGAGTTCACACTTCATCATCATCATCATCATCATCAGGTCGAGCATGCTCGGTTCACACTTAATTTGACCTCTTTGGAGGAACCACCTTAGGACGAATGTTAAGTGGTAAACCTCCCCCCCCTTCCCCTTCGTCCTCGTTTACAGGGAAGGTTTGCTCACCTGACCATCATACATAAGGATAATCTTGTGGAAAAGATGGAAGATTTCCACCCTCGGCTGATGTATAGTGAGAATCACTAGTCTGCCTGTCTCAGCAACAACATTTAGAAGATTCAACAGCTCCAGGGAAGATGTTGCGTCCAGACCTGATTTTAAAGAATGTACGTTAATTTGAGCATTTTGAAATTAAACAAGGGTTAAATGATTCTATAGTATTGGGATAGTGAACATCATAACTGCAACACGAGATCCAGTGACAACGTTCGTGAGACTGCCTCTGACGAGAAGTGGGGTCTTTGGACTTCCCCAAACTTTGCGTCCAAGGACTGAAATAACTTGGATATATCCGTCAGAACGCTTAAGAATCTTTACGAATTAAGAAGGGCTATCTTGAGAATGCGCCTAATTTTTAAAATATACATTTAAAAAATCAAGGTATAAACACATATAAACACGCACTAAAGAGAAATCTAAAATTCGCTATTAAAACAACGTACCTGAAGTTGGTTCGTCAAGGAAAAGCACAGATGGCAGATTTATCATCTGAAGAGCGACACACAATCGACGTTTCTGTCCTCCACTGAGACCTTGACCCACAGACCCACCAACAACTGTATCAGCCAGAGACGTAAGACCGATCTGCAACAGGTAAGTTGTGGAATCGATGGCAAGTTTAAGAACCACAGGAACCACAGCTAATAAGAGACCAGTTTATCATTTATCACCGGGGAAGGGGTGGGGGAAGGTTGAGAGACTTTGGCTGTCACGATAGCATTAACTTGATCCCTGCGAACAGTCTATGTAATATGTAATATTCCCTCAAATGAATTTGGCTCGGCATAGCACGGCAGCGGTTTCAAACGTGCAGTCGCGCCAAATTCAAAAGACAAAACAAACCATCCATCCAGCGGTATCGCCCCATCCAAATTTGTTTAAGAAAATTTTAAATGCCTAAAATCAGACACTATTGATATAAAACGGACAATAGTGTCTAGAATGAAACACTTGTGATTAAAATCGAACGGTAGTGTATAAAATCAGACACTAGTGTTTAAAATCGGACAACAATGTCTTAAAGGAAACACTTGTGTCTAAAATCAAACAGTTGTGTATAAAATCGGACATTAGTTTCTAAAAAGAAACACTTGTGTTTAAAACTGCACGATAGCAAATAAAATTAGACATTAGAATCTTAAATTGAACACTAGTGTCTTAAATAGGACAATAATGTAAAAAATTCAGACATTAATGTCTAAAATCAGACACTAATGTCTAAAATCGGACACAAATGTCTAAAATCGGACACTAGTTCTAAGATCGAACACTTGTGTCTAAAATCGGAAACTAGTGTCAGAAATAGATCACTTGTGTCTGAAGTCGGTTAATTGTGTCTAAAATCGGACTCTAGTGCACAAAATCGGATACTAGTGCCTTAAATTGGGGTCTTGTGTCATACAGCAGACTCTAGTGTTCATACTCGAAGTATGTTATGACGACGAGAAACGGAAAATGAAGAATGAGAAACAGGGAACATGGAGCTTTTATCATTCCTTTGAGGTTCACTTATCATTTGAAAGTAGCAAGAGTGAAATACCTCTGCAAGTATCTGTTCAACGCGTTCAAACTTCTGTGCATTGCTCACTGATTTAGGCAGCCGCATGTGAGCAGCGAAAACGAGATTCTGCCGCACAGTGAGTTCTTCATAGTAAGGCACAGCCAGTTGTAACACGTAACCAATCTTGCGAGCGAACCATTTGTGCACATTACCAAGACTTCTAGGAACTCCATTTATAAACACCGCACCCTGCGAATCAAGAAAACGTTGTAAAGCTTAATCACAGTGTGGAGGCGCATAGAGAGCAAGTAGTTAACGATCTTCAAAGTAGCGAGGTAAACGTACACTTCTTTTTAGAGCCACTGAGGTAAACGGATGAATAGCGGAATTTCTGTGGGACCAAATAGTCCTTCTTAGACCGTATTTTCAATCGCATATATGGTTTGCACGAGTTACCAGCATGACTGTTCACACAGTAAATAGCACCACAATCTTTTCAGCCGAAGCGCTGCACCTGTATCGGAGACGGCCAAGAATTTGAATCCTGTTCAAGCTCTTTCTTTACCTTTTTGAGTTTATAAAACTCCCTTTGTTCCAACTGTTTACAATGCTCTTAATTTTCCATTTAAATCTGTATTCTACATACAAAAACTAGATATTCTAATATAAGCTCCTTAAATATATTTTGACTCTCGTATGAGTTTTCCTATGACGTCCTACGTACCTGGCTGTTGCCTGTTTCTCGCCTTCCTGTCAGCAAATCTAGTAGAGTTGTCTTTCCAGATCCCGAGGGACCCAAGATGGCTACCAACTCTCCAGGATTAAAGTAAACAGAGACATTCTTTAGAATTGGTTTTTGGTTTTGTCCATTTCTGGTCTTCGCCTCTTTTACCTTCACTCTTGGATTGTCTTGACTATGAGAATGACCATTCTGAGTAGAATGTAATTTCATTTTGGTAAAATCTGTTCGCTCAGGCGTTAGAGACATTAAGCTCTCAAAACCCAAGTTATCGCTTGGGAAAGAGTCGATTTCTCCATTTGATTCACTGGAAAGGCTTGTTGATTCCTCCTCCTCGAACACATTATCTAAATCATTTCTCATCATCAAGGGAGATGTGTCTTCTGGTTGATCTGTTTGAACTACTTTAGTCTCAGGAGCCAGCTTGTCTGTAAAAAATTCAAAATAGTCAGTCGGTCTTTCAGTCGGTCTGTCGGTCGGTCGGTCGGTCGGTCAGTTGGTCGGTCCGTCGGTTAGTTGGTCTGTCGGCCAGTTGGTCGATCAGTTGGTCGGTCAGTCGGTCAGTCGGTCAGTCGGTCAGTCGGTCAGTCGGTCAGTCGGTCAGTCGGTCATTCAGTCACTCAGTCTGTCGGCCAGCCAGTCGATCGGTCGGTCGGTCGGTCGGTCGGTCGGTCGGTCTGTCAGTCACTCAGTGAGTGTATCTGTCTCCTCGTTTATTCTCTCTGACAATCTAGTTTAAAATAACCGTCCTATGTCAAGTGTACACTCAAGTATCATTGCGCATTTGGAGCTGATCTGTCCTGGCTAAGATTATGATTAACCCCAAGGTTAAAGTCTCACCTCTGTCGTTTTTCGTTTTCTTCTTGTTTACGTCGACTGAGTAGCTGAGTGCTAAACAGGCGATGCTGATTATTTCGCTGGGTTGTGCCGGAGGCAACTGTTGTAAAAACGCACATAAAAAGTATATTCAAATAAATGTTTTCCATGTGCAATTATTACTAACGTGACATAAATGAAAATAGGTGTCCTGGGGTCTTTCTGGTACCAATGTTCTCCATTATATTTCTGGTCGATTGAACCCATCGCTGGGAGCTACAGAAAGACTGTGTTAACTATACAAGGCTCTTAGTGGCACTGACCAATCATAAAAATGGAAATATTAGAAGGAAAATAGTGCTCAGGGTAAGCATCGCTGGAAAGCATAAACGAGTAAGTCGTGATGCACTTTTGCCCGGTAGGTTTTGATTTTGATTTGCTGAGAGGAAGGCGCAATTTTTACTCACAATCATAAGGCAAGTGGGAGGCGCGGGGCGCGGTGGCTCGACGGTCGTGCGCTCGAGTCCAGTTCGAGAGGTCTGCGATCAATGTGTTGTGTTTTTGGGCGAGAATTCTTACTCTCACAGTATCTCTCTTAGCCTAGGTGGTGGGGGTAACCCTGCGATGGACTAACTTCCCATCCAGGGAGGTTTAATGATGCTACAAGTCGCTTAATGCTATGGAGACCAGAGTAAGTTGAGAGGGACTCTTAACTCCAGCATAGACTTTACCTTTTACATAATCACATGTGGGTGCAATCAAAGACTTCTCAAGACATCGTATTAAATACTGCTCCATAGCTCACCTCTTTTTGTGCTTCTTTAGATTCAGTATCGGTCAAGTGCTGCCTTTGTTTTTTTGACAGGTGATACTGATACAGCATGAATACGGCCTTCAAACCAAAGCACGTGACTGTGATGGACAGGGACAGAATGATTATGACAATCTTGACCACCTCGACCCAGTTCACCGCAGGATCTATAAAAAACAACTGCTGGGGACACGTAGGGTTGCACTGAGCACCGATACAGCTGTCAATTAGTTTTATGGAAGCGTCACGTGATCTCACCCATGTCGATACAAAATCTTTCATGCTGGTCTTCGATATTTTTGTTGTCTCCCAAGTTTTTCTTCGCACTTTGTTCCTACGTGAAAAACCAGGCAAACATATTAGTAATTGGGGAAAGTTTTACAAAAATAAGAAAGAAGAGCCTGTAAAAAACTTTGGGTCGAACACATGCCTCCTAGATACCATCTGCGCGCCACCACTACCAAGTGAGTGACGAGGCCACATGTTGAAAGCGAGGCAAATTCTCAGGGGTTCTTTGTTATCCGTGAAGCAATATGACCACAAATAACCCTCTTTCCGTTATGTGACTTACATGGCTCAGTTTTCAGAGCAACGTTGCTGGAATCCTAGAGGCGCATTTTCAAACCCCACAGAAGCTGCTGTTTTTTTCCAAGTTCCTTTCCTGCAATTACATTAACAGAACTGCTTCCCACTTGCGATATGAGTTAACTGCGATCAGTAAAGGGCCAAAATATGATATTACATTCATTTTGATTTTAATTGGTTCTTACTTAGGATCTCTTCGAAGTCAGACTTAGATAGTGTCACCATTAACAACAGTGTGCTTTTTTATTATACAAAGCAAATTAATTCCATATTGCCATGAGTTAATACGGTCGTAGATCACAGATGACGTCAAAATGTGGTAAGAACAAGGGAGTAGCACCCGAGGCGTGGTATGACTGAGTCAGTGCCATTTTAATCACATTTTGACGCTTTCTGTAATCTATTACCATGGCACACGAGGTGGCGAAGGGGTCTCACGTGGTGCACCTGAGTGTGTCGCAACAGATGCACGGAAACATGGGATTTATATTTGCTTTAAACCATTTAAAACTTGTTTTAAATAAAAGTCGCCAAATGAAAAATTAAAAATGAGTTTAGAGTCACAAAACAAATTGAGTGTCGTGAAATCAAAATCAAAGCAATCACAACGACCAATCTAAGTGACGGGGAAAATTTGGTGAAAGAGACATAAAAAAATTGGATTAATGAGAGTGTGTGAGCTATGGCACACGTCCCTCTCGTAACCCATCAACAGTCCAATGATGGCATATTAGGGTTAATTTTGGGTTAGGGGAGGGGTAGGTGCTGACATTGACCCGAAAACTTATAATAAATGACTCACCTAAATTTTGCATTTCCAACTACAACTTCCATTGAAGGAGAAAAGATCCCATTCTCGTCCCACAAACTTGAGGTGGCAAAATAAATGTGTTGAAAACATGCTGGTGTAAAGAAGCTCACATTCAATGACTGTTCTTCTGATGACGATAAAGATTCATTCATCGCACCGCCGTACATGTTTATAGCAGATATGAAATCTGCAGAGTGCTCATTTGCCGTTTTTCCTTCGGCTTCTAGTGTCTTAACAACTTCACCAAACATGTAAATATCATACATGCTTGAGATCAAAAGTAACGGGACTCTTGCGGGATAATACCCGCGCGCAATCATGCATGGTGCTGATGGGCAACAAGTGTGACCACGCGAATAATCTAAACAAGCAGGCGACGAAATATTTGCGAATGATGTGAACTTGGGATTCACTCTGCCCTGGAGACTACCCTGAAAGTCGATAAACCAGGCTGAGTCGATTAAAGACAAAAGGCTGGCGTTTAAACGATGTGTTTCCACTACGTACTTCAAGACCCAATCCGCGTGATTCAGAATACCAATTCCCCCTGCGCTACTTCCCGCAAGAATGATCTCCTCGGCGTCTTTCAAGTTATGAAGCTGTAGCAGATCCATGAAAACCGAACGAAAAATCGTCTGTCCTCTAAAACTGAAGTTATCGACGGACGAATCGTTCACAAAACGGAACGGTTTGTTGGGATTAGTTTTCAAGCCAAGCCAAAGATCACTGCTGCAGTATGGAACGAGAACGTGATTGTATCCAAAGAAAGCTGGGTTTTCGCTGCCAGACGCAGAGAGCAGATCTCGTCCAGTAATTCTATCAGGCAGCTTGTTCGAAGTCATCAAGATCGTTGAATCTTTACTCAAGTAACGTCTGTTGCAGTCTGCGAACGAGGAACAAAATCCGCCACTTTCGAAGAACACAATCCATTTCTTCGATGTCTTTGCTCCGATATAAAACGTGGCTCTAGAATTGTCATTGCAGATAGCTTGAGGTTCACTAATGTTATTCCTGAGTAACTCTCTCGCGGCCGTAACTGTGTCCACATTCGAGGCAAGAAATACAACGAAGAAAACATGAAACCAGCGAATATTTTCAAAGGCCATTTTAAATCAGTCTGGGGTCACTCCGTTACCATCATCACATTGCAAAACATTCAAGAAGACGACGGACAAAAGCACCCAGCCGTACGAGAGCAAAGGTCCTTAAAACAATAGAGATAATAAAGACGAGACGGGAATTTCGTGAGGAGGGAGCCCGTAATACATCAGTTTACCATATTCATTATTCATAAATTTACAGCCTATTTGTAACGGTTAAACCCTTCTGGCCATATCTCACTGAATAGGCAAAGTAAGGAAAGAAACCGTTTTCAAAGGTTGAGATGACTGTAAATAAGAAATAGCCTGGGAACATGAACGTTTCACAGATTGCATAATACATGTTTTTTTTTCTTCTCGCAAACAATGTCATTGCCTGCGGGAAAATTTTTACTCATGATTTAACATGCGAACAATGACTTATATTGACATAACCGTATTTTTGTCGAGCCCATAATGAAAACTCATCAAAGTGACGCTTAACTTTCCTTTTGCTTGATATTTTTCTTACATCCGAGTGCGTCATTAAAGGCTGTCTCAAAAGTTCCCATCAAGGCACCCACGCCGACATTTAAAAAATCACGAAATTTTAAAATTAATTAACACACGATGATAAAGAGAAATAAACTGTGAGCCTCAAGCACATAGCGGGGACTCACTTCTGTTCCCGAATAAAAACGAACTTGCATGGGGGGATTAACAGAAAATAATGAGCGACACGCAATGTGAAAAAGTGCCTGTGGACTGTAACCAAAAATACATTTGTGGTGTAATAAAATCTGGTTGTGAAGTTTTCTAGAAATTTCCTTTGCTGATTAACCTTTTCCTTTTTTTCTTTTTGCTATAACGGCGGAAATCCGTTACACATCATTACTAACTCAAAAGGATATATCGACTTTCGCTGTGTTGTACAACTAAACAGATGTACGTAAAACCAAAGCCTAGTTATTAAACAGACTGTGGATAATTGTGTTCCGTTTGTTTAAAAAATAATTGTTTATTTAATATTTAGTAAGATATATCCTAAGAGTAATGCAATTATCGGTTTACCCGGCCGCAAATCAGTGGGTGTTCTAACAGCTGTAAAAGCTTGAAGAACAATATATCATGAACAGGAGCCCATTACTTAAGTATTGGGTTCCTTTCATGACGTACATCACATCAGAAGCGCGGCATGTTATTTAGCGCGTTGTGCTGCGCAGCTTGGTGGGTGATGTGGCAAAGGTTCGAAATTGACAGGGGTTCGAGTCCTCGCAAAAGAGACAGATTAGTGTTTGTTCCAGACAGGCGTGAGGCTGGAAGTCATCTTTCCTTGAAACTAAAGTGAATTTTGTTTTCTCTTCATTTGAGGACTGTGTCTATAGGGGTCAAGTACTGCTGTTTTATCCCACATTATTATTTTTAAGTTGTATCATTGTTGGGTTTGGCGATTGATGTGATTTGAGTGATTTTAGCAATTAGCATTTTGGTGTGTTATTGTAAACTCTAAGTAAATAAAACATGCATGGCTGATGATGCATTAAGAATGCCAAGTGGCTTGCATACCCATGAAGACACTTATAATGATGATCCAGAAATAAGCGACAGACAAGTACGAATTTTTTGAGGTTCGATAGCTGCCGTTACGACCTCAGTCTCGTCATTTTTTTAACTGAGGTACAAAATAATTGTAAATAGCGGGGCACGGATTGTTGCTTTATATTGAATATGTCACTAAGGAAGTTTGGCTTAAAACATTTCAACAAAGCATTTAAGCTTTTTCTTAATTACGTAGGGAATGTCTTTTGTTAAGAAATCATAAACCTTCTCAAACCTCTCTTGCCTTACTAAAACTTTTCTTCCACTGAATAAATTTCGATCGCCGTAAGCTCCAATCTCAGGTGAAACTGTGTCAACATTAATGTTCTCATACACAGTCTTCGCCTCATTTCACAGCAACGTCTCAAAAATACTTCTTCTAAATAACGCAAAGACACAACAAATTTACTTTTCTCTGGAAATTTTAGCTTTTTTATGCGGGGGTAGAGTGCGAAAGCGAGGCCAGGACAGGGGTTCAATTCTAATTAATAATTTGACTGCATTCTCAAAGGAAGAGAAAATTCCACGGGAAAAATCGAATGTGTTGTGGTCTCCAATTACTTAAGCACCACTTCTTAATATGTAAACGACGATAGATCATAAAAACAGCAAATTGAACATTAACAGAGCAAAATGACGTAAGAAATATCAATTTCTCGTCTACTTTCCTTCGAGTGGCAATGAAAATAATATATTGACCAAAAGGTTTTTTCCGAAAAGATGACAAAGTCCTGTGCCTAGTGTACTATCATAATCGAAAAAGGCAGAAATCGAGTTACAAGTTACGCAGTATTGTTGAGGATATTCCTTTTTGCATTAGCCGTGTGTCCTTCAATCCTGACAAAAGGCTGGCGCTCGAAACGCGGTCAGCTATAGAAACTCTCTATGGTGGCCAATTTACGTTATCAACTCGCTTGATAAAACCAAATTACCTTTTTTGACGTGGGTTTGTTTTCTACAAAATGATGTTGGTCCTGAGTGTAAGACATTATCAATATCAGGTCTCAGTGAGTTCGTTATCTTCGTAAATTTGTTTTTTCTCACTTCCATTTTGCTTTGGTTTTTAAATCAATACTCCGACTCAAGATGTTTCTTCTTTTTAATGTATTCTAAACTTGTATCAAAAATTGTTGTAAAAAAATAACATATGTATTTATAAAACATAATTTTCACTTTGCGTCAAATAGTATCCACATAATTAACATTTTCTTTAAAAATACCGAAATTGAAAAATAAAGAAAAATATTTAATATTTCCGGTAATTGTTAAAGTGAAGTAATTACTTGCTATTATGCAAAACATAAAAGATATGATGAGGGGAAGTCTTAGATAAATGTTAACTACACCTGCAGCAACGACGTAACAAAGCCTAAAAAAAAAGAGTGATTGTGGAACGTACAGGATATAACTCTGCGAATATCAAAGGCGAAGTCTTAGTCATGAAGTGCATTTAAATGAAGCAATATTGTTTGGTGGAACATTGTTATCACCTTCGGCGAGGATCGCGAGGACTCAAGGTAGAAAAAGTGAGAAAATCTCAAGCCTCGCCGACGAATGAATAAAACACTAAGCTGTTTAGGTTTATGTGGCTCTGACAAAAGGCGCGGGTACAAATGTCACTTTCGATGTTAAAATCACATCTAAGGTTTATCTGCCTCATCTATCTCGTTAGTCAATAACTAGCTAGGTGTTTGGGTCTCTTTGAGGGCGCAACACCACTCCACGGTAAGAGATACGATAAACAAATTATTATTTATTTCAAGAGGTAATTCAGTCCTCTGTGATTGGCTGTAGTGGGTGAGTTCTTTCGAATGGTTTAATTTTTCAAACGTGTAAATTTTTACGTAAACCGCTGCCCTAATTGACAGTTTCTTTCACGTCGTTGAAATGCCGAATGATATGAAAGCTGATTAACAACTTGGTATAATTCAGGTGCCGAAATGAGTTGCAGCTGGCCATGACATCTTCAGTGTGAGTTTGTAAAAGCTTAGGTGGTTTAACTGTATAATGGGCTGTTCTTCATCATTGCACAACAGAGAGCTTGTTTCCAAAGTCAATATTTCGAATAACCTCAGCGATGCTCAAAAGATTGCCATACAGATGACGTGGAAAACGGTCGAAGAAAATCGAACGAAGATTGGAAAACAAACATGGATAAGGTAATTTGGTTGTAAGAAAAATTATGTTTCAAAGACGCATATATCCGAAGATGTTAATCTTGCGTTCAAGTGCAACATTTTCCAAACTTCTGCTCACAGGAACATGGAAAAATACTGTATTAGAGACAGGAAACGGCCGAAAGATGTTTATATTCTAGAATAACCTTTTTTCAAATGTTTTAAAGAGGGATTGATTGAAGATATATTTACAAAAAAACTCTTATTGCAAGTCGCAGCCAGCTAAAAGTTTTGTTGTTTAATTAAGTAACACCAGATTTTGTTCCATTAGTTCGTTTTTTAGGCTAGTAAAGTTCAAAATTGGGAACATGTATCCCTAAATTCAATAACAATGACCGTTTCTCTGGTACCCTAATTATTTTCAGCTTCTAAATTGGCTGAATAATTTATTCTTTATTGTCGGTACAGTCACGAATTTTCTGTATAATTTTTTTCATTCAAATCCGAGTTGAATGTAAAATCAATGAGGTTGCACAAACAAGCTAGTTTAAAACACAGAATGAAGCAATCTAGAGAGAACTGATTAAAAAAAAAAAAAAAAAAATTACCCGACAAATAATGACACCTGCAGATTTTTCTATTTTCCTTCCCAGTAATATATGCAAAGTTTTTGCGAAACGTTAACACATCTTCTGCCTGCTGCGATAGAGAACTTAAGGACAGAATTCGCCAGGCAACGAGTGGAAACCGGAGATTTAACGTCTTTCTTTACCGCCGTAATGCTCTCTGTAAGTTTTGGTTCGTCCAGCTAAAACAAGATTCATTGATTGGCGAACGATATCAATTACAAAGCGCGCCAAACGGAAACTGTATTTGTCTGCTTTCGAGTCGATGTCCGACTGATATTAAGAAAACTCAATGCTGCAAAGTTTGTGTTCCATGCTACACTTTGCTCGGGGAAATCTACAGGGAAAAAGCATGATTTATTTTTAGCTATGCAGGTAAAGCCTTCAGTAATAAAAATTAAAAAGAATGATCGTCGTGCATATTTTGAAGTGATGAATTTTTTTCTATGACATGTTCGTGAATATTAAATTTCCCAAATTCGTTTCTCTTGTCTAATTGATGAAAATGAGTACCACGCGAAAAGATTGAAACTTTAGAATTCTCTCATGAAAAACAGCTGTAGCCATTTGATTGAAACTTTACGCCTTCATTGTCAAGATAAACAATGCATGGAATTATCAGCGCTACGTTAAAATAAGTTTTTAAAATTGAAGTTGAGGAAAATTAAAACATTGATCGTGATCAATTTCAAAAAAAATTTGTACTTTTTGAATTTTTCTGAGTTTATGCCTTTGTCTGTAGTCACATTCTAGCAACAGTAGCATCTGATTACACCGAAGGGCTCATACGAGGTAAAGCTGAAGTTACTGTGTGAAAACTCTGCCTCCGTTGGTCTTTTAACAAAGGTTTCAGTTACCCAGCGATATATCATTATGAATACCAGATCCCAGATCCTTAATTTAATCAGCGAAAACCTTGCACTGTAGTGAGGCATTTTAGCCAAACTTCCACCTCCATGCAAACGGGAAGTTGAGATGTTAAAAAATTATGAACGGAACTTCAAAGTCTCAGGAAGTCGTTCTCGGTTTGAAATTTCTTACACAGTGTGCTTTCTGTACGAATTCTGTTGATAATTGAAAACCCGCTTTTTCTTGTGATCCCATCGACTTTTTTCTAAAGAGAAATACGAACAAATTGCAGTATATGAGTTTCATGGTGCGCTTATTGTTCAGCACCTTGATAACCTAAGTGTCATTGATGCTGTGACTTGGCTACAAAAGAGCGCATTTCCCTCTACCGAGGAAAACGGATTCACCCCTTTTATATCAGATTTTTTTCCATAAAATTTTAAAGAATTTTTTCCATATTGTGGTCTCGCTTCTTATTAGCCAAGCCCTACCGTGGCGATAGTGGAATATCAGAAAATACCAGATTTTTCCCCGAGAAATATCGATATAGCCTGAGATTGCATAAAATTTATATGTAAATAAACTCATTTTCGTATTCTAAATGCTAAAATTCCTGGAAAACAAGATGATTTATAACAGTATTTTGATAAGGAAAACCCCTGACCAAGCCTGCAGGGCAGTTAAAACGCACTGTGCCCATTTTAAGCCTAAAAGCATAAAATGTGAATTCGAGACATTGTAGAATGTGCTGCGAAAAAAAGCTTGGTGCTATGTCAGTTATATAATCACCATCTATTCAAATATTTTCTGAGAAAACATTACATAAATTAGCGCTTTGTCTCCGAAATGTCTGTGTCAGACTGTCAACCATTCAATAGGGAAAAGTTACAATTGAAAAGCTCAATAAGACTTCATTTTTCGTTGCAGGGTGTTCGAATTAAATCCTCAAATTAAGAAGATGATGCCAGAGTTTAATACAAATGATCCAGTGGAAGAGCTAAAATCGGCACGAGCTTTATTTGGACACAGTAAAACCTACATGAAATGTCTTGAAAATGCTGTCACATCCATGGACGATAATGAACGCTTTGTCACTTATCTTGTTGAACTCGGGAGACGACATCAGGTTCGGCCCCTCAAAGCCCATTACTTGGATGTAAGTAGACTCTCTCTCTTAATAGGTTTTCCCTTTTCTCAGTTTATTAGATCCGGTCGTTTATGTAGTGATGACTCTGATTCCTTCGACAAATCAGTGACAATGTGCCAGTTTTTCGAAAAACGTGGCTGGTGGCCCGCTTGAACGACAAAAACAGGATACCGCGCCCAAAAATTGACCGACAATCGGCATTACAAACGGCTCAGAAGGAAAACACTGATCGCATTCCATTCACTCTCACATTTCACCCTCAAAACCACGCATTTAAATTCATCATTCTTGAAAACTTAAAATTAGGTGAAAATGATTCAGAGACTGGTACAATCTTTTCGCAACCTTTACTTATTTCGTTCAAACGTGAAAACCGATTTTTAAATGCGTGCGCGCACGATGCAAAACTTGTACTCTCATTCATTACGTTGCGAAAATATCCGCCGATATCTGTCACGTGCACCTCATCAATTGCATAACTTGCACTTATTGCAAAAAGATATACATCGCTGAAACAGGAAGACGACCAGGTGACCGATTCCGAGAACACCATGGCGATGTAGTAAGGAATAAAGAGCACGCATCAAAACCATATTCCCAGACACTTTTATCTCATTAATCATTCTAAGCAGCAGCGGTACATGGAAGTCTGCGGCCTCTCTTTACATCTTGGCAGTTCGGAAAGCCACAAAATTCTACTATAAGGCTATGATACGTTGTCTATTTAAAAATTATCTATAATTGTGTAACTTTACTCATAGTTTAACTTCATCTATCAAAATTTATTTTCATTTGGTTTCGCTTCATACATCGATATGTTTATTTTCAGACTGATCCTATGAGAATTTAACTGATTCTTATTTATTCCTTTGCAGTTGATACATGAGGCCTTCATGTTTTCATTAAAAGAAATTTTCCAGTCAGAATGGACATCTGAAACTTTTGAAGCCTGGGACGCTTTATCTAAATTCATGTTCAAGGCGATGCTTACAGGCCTGAATGATACATAACTGCTTTTATGCTTACAAATTCTCCACTCAAAAAAATGTGTTCTTCCTTGACAGATTATTGGATACCACTATAATCAGTATGTTTTTTTATCATTTAGTTCCGCCAACAATTCGCTGGTATCCCTTTATACTCTTGGGGGTGGGGTGAGATTGAAAGACTGTGAGACTGTGCAGCAGACGTAAGCTGCCAAATAACAAATCCCAAGGATGCCGCCCTGGGTTCGAGTTCGGACACTCAATCATGGTTCCAACGATACCAGTCATTATTTTGAGAAATCACAATTTCAATGGTGGACTCAACGAAAGCTAAAGTCGATACATCGCTGTCTTCTTCATCATTAGTCCGATATGTGATCAAGGGAATTTCGGAATTATCACCCTCAGAATGAAATAATCAGTTTATCAAGTGACCTCTAGTTAATGAATTTGAATACAGCTGTATAAAATAACCTGTCCCTTACCGGACTAAGTCTTATTACGTTAGTAAATATTGCTTGATAAGTTTTTCTTTCAGATTGGTACAGTGGTATAAAATGTCCAAGTAGCGATAGTTTTTCAAAAAGTAACGAGAATTGTAAGCAGAATTTGCGGGTGTAGATCGCTTTCTTTTTCTTAAAAGAGAACCAATATTTCGCGCCCTCGTAAGGGGAAGCTGTTATTGTTCACGTATTTCCTAGGGCAGGAGAAATTTGGCGAGTTCGCTCTCAGAAAAGCATTGGTTCATTAAACTTTTCATCGTTTATTAAAAAAAAATGCTATCAAAGCCCATGAGCGTTTGGCACTTTTAGTCCGTAGAAAATTGTTATTTACATTTCGTTTTTGCACTAGTGTATAATACAATACAGAGATATGTCATCTACAAATACTTTTGTTATTATAATGAATTATTTTACTCATATTTGATTATGATAAGATTCTGAACAACCATGAGTAAATATTTGCTTACGTTATGTCATAAAATTATTTAGGCCTGACTTGAAGCCAATATACGGCATCCAAAGACGATTGCTCGAATAACACCGGTCGGCCAGCCAAAAGCGAGGGAAAATAAGTGGAAGCCGACGTGTTTTGGCGGGAAACACAAAGCACAAAATAAAGCATTGTAGCTCGTGTTGTCGTACAGACAATTTTTGAATAAGTGTTAAGCTGAAATGATGTCAGAATCGCAAAATCAAATAAACTTATGGGGAAGAAAACACCCTAGTACACCTGAAAGTGAGAAGGTTTCCTTGAAATTTTTGTTTAAACAGACAAAAACCGCGAAGAGCTCACCTTGAGAAGACGATCTGTTATTCACGTGTCACCTTGCGATTAGGACTAAGCGACAATACAAGTTCAATGCATGACATTCGTAGTGGCTACAAATGCTACCTCTGGGCAGTTCAACCCTAACCTACCACGCAATCCGTTTGTGTTAGAAACGGCTTCAAGAAACTAGCATTTATGCTTAGAACTTGATGGAAATAAGTTTTCGCATTGTCTTTTAAAATTTCTCATTGACCTTAAATGTAGCTTTAGTTGACGTTCATGAAGTGTGCACGGGGAAAAGTTGGTTAATTTTCCCTCTGAAGGGGACTCATTTGGCTAGTTTTAAAGAAATCTTTGCTTAGTTAACATGACGATAAATATTTCGTGCTTGAAACTTTGACTAGCAAAAGTTTTCAATATACCAGCGACTGTCAGACTGGCTCCTTTGTAATTTCATCATAGTAAGAGCCATAATCTTATTCAAAGAAGACAAAGAGGAGAGGTTTGTGCAATTATCTGTGCTTCAAATATAATGTCTACGATTTTGTGTCTAATTCATATGCTTTCACTTAACTCGAACCCAGACCGTATGCTTTGTATTCCAACTTTAGGCCGCGGGAAAACTAGGCTCGAGAATATTTTTTTCTTTGTCATAAAGCTTTCCTCTTGCTTCGGAGTTCGCTGTTTTAGTATCCCACCCTACCCGCTTCTAAACTAGATGGTCATTGCCTTTGAGGGGAAATAAGAGTTCTGTCTTTCTGTAACTGTTTCTTGTGTATCACGACTGCAAGCCGTAAACCATGTGTTCTGTGATGAACTGGAATAACTTGTTCCAGGCATCTGCAGTTTCCTCAGTCCAACTAGACTTGAGAAGATCTTTAAGAACAAACATCAGGGCCTCCTGCATGGACTGAGAGGAAAAAAGGGAATTGATCATTTTTGGAGGAAATGACAGGCATCACAATTCAAGCTTGAATTTGTTTTTTTTAGGATTTCTCGTTCATCTCCTTTTTCTTCTTTAGCAACGCCAGAATATTTAGCCAAAAAGAAGCTTCATGCATGGTAGATATAGCAAGATATGATTTAGTTCTGACCAATTATAGAGTAGCAGCTCTGTTATCGCCTAGGCAATGATACTAAAAATCAAATATATGATGTCAGTCAGTGAAAAGTTATCTATTAACTTACGTCAAGATATGTTGGTTTCAAGAAACGTGTTTTATGTCTGCGTCCTAATTCTTCCAAATACGCGCTAAAACTCTCAGAATCATCCAATGCAGAGACGGCATTCTCCACCGCTTTCATCACTCTTTTCGCATGACCATATAAGGCATTTGTCTTTGCAAGCTCAGAGGGCGGTACATCTTTAAATTCCGGAAAAAGTCGCTGATATTCAGGATTATTTTCAAAGAATCTGCAAAGATGTAAAAATGTATATGTTAAGGCTATGCACAGTAGCTGACTTCCCCTGTAAGTGACAATGCAATATGTAAAGTTTATTTTTATTTATATCAGAGAAATCCTAGAGTAGCAGTAACGAGTTAAAAAAAAATTCTTAAGACATACAGTTTTACGAACCAAAAGACAAGTTTTTACTTAGTTTTCGTAAATCGAGCGTCTTGGACAGACAAAAGCCGTTTTGAATATAGTAATTATTGGCTTTTGTACTACATGGTTATATTTTATCAAAGCAATCGCTCTCTTTTCACCGATTAAGTAGCTATTCTGAAGAAAATGAAGGTCTATTAGGGATGACCACTGTGTAGATAAAAAAAACAATATCTTTTGCAGATCAACGTTCATATTATTTCTACAGACCAATTGATGTATTTAGTTAATTGCGGCTAAGCATTTAGCGAGACGATGTCGCGATAAAAAAATAAAAATCTGTAATCTCATTACGGACTAAGAGGTTAATGTTTCACAAACGTGCTACTTTAAATTAGGGAGGGGGGGTGTCCTGGTTGATTGTCAGGAACAGGTTTCGACCAACACGTAGACACAATTAACCCCTTGATCCCTCAGAGTGATTAGCATCTAATTTCTCCGAACAATATCACTCCCCTCGATCACAAATTAAGGTCATGAGAATAAAGAAAATGATCACCACTAAAAGACGCTCTTGATTGTTAAGCAACTTCTCCCTGTCAGAACCTTAGGAAATGTATAGGGAACAGTATGGAGAATATGCATACTGATGCTAGGGTGTAAAGGGTTGAAAAGCTAAAACGTAAATAAATGTTTTTATTTTTAAAACTATTGTTTTACTGCTAACAAGTTAATAAAAAATCTTGATCATGCACGATTCGCGTTGAAGGTATCCTTTCACCCTCTACACCCTAACATTAGCATGCATTTTCTCCTCACTGTTCTTTATACATTTCCTATGGTGCTGACAAAGAGAATTTGTTTAACAATCAAGAGCTTCTTTAGTTGCTGATCATTTCCTTTATTCTCATGACCTCAATGTTTGTTTTAAAGGTGATACTGGCAAGAGAAAATAGTTACTTATCACTCTTAGGGGTTGAAGTGTTCAAACTTTCCCGTTGATACAGCTTGCTCTTCTACTCCATTCATCGCTTGTACAGCTGCACCGTTTACAAGTGATAAAAGCGAAGTTTTGATGAAAAAATCAGAAACTCTCGCAAAAGAGATGAACGACCATTTAAATTCATAGCCATTTCCGAATTTTCACGATCCTGTTTATGCGAATTTACCTTCGTTAATATCGTGGACACTAAATTAAAAAGGTTGATATGGTTTTTTTAAACTTTCCTCTACAGGTTTAAGTCAGTGATAAATTCAGTCCATTCAAAATAATTTACCAACGCAATAAAGCGTAGGAGTAAGCCCACGGATCCTTAGCTATAGCATGAGACTACGCACCGTTGCAACCACATATGAACTGAAACAGTAATTGGAGTACAAGCTATTGTTTGAGAAAGCACTGGTTTAATTTGGAGCAAAGCAAACAGCGGTTTTCGACCATCTTTTTCAGAGGGTAAGGAAATCTATAATTTTCTCGCAAAAATCAAATTACAGGCCGTTTAGGACGGTTTTCTAAGTTATATTTATATTATTATGCAAGATATCATTTGGATGTGAAGTAACCTTGGTGGAGTATTTTAAAGCTCTCAATATCGAATTATGGATTTATATAAAAGAGACATTGTGTTTTGATGAAATAAGTAATTGCTTAGTACACCGCAGAGTAAGTTTTTGGGATAGATTCTAAGATTAAAAACATGAAATCCTGGAAGAAATTAGTTTTTCTACCGTATGGTGTCTTTGCTTCCATAACTTTGTGTGAGAGAAAACTCGAAATTTAAAGCTTTACTTAAATATCGCTTGAAATTGTGCCAGCGTATTACGTTGAATTGGAACAGGAAACCAATTTAGATCAACATGACCTGAAAAACGTCTTGTGGCTGATGAATACTCTGTATTACGAACACAACACCGTTATTTTTATTTTCATTTTTATCCCATTTCTCGTGGAGTTTGACTGGTCTCCTAATTCGGAGAAAAGATTTTTACGGCGAACGATGATCAGTGCCCACGCTTAAGAGGGAACGTGACGATAACGAGGAATAAAGTTGTTCAACCGAAAAAATTATCAAATCAATTATTACTGATCATTAAAAACTACGAAGGGAACCGAAAAATAAACGGCTACAGAAGTTCTCACTTTTTTACGTTTTCCACTTCTATGCAAGTTTGTGATAAAACCCAGAATTCCCTCTCTCCATAAAGTTGCTAAGCCTTATTATCCGTTGGAACAAAAAAAAAGGGAATTAAATAAAGCGATATTGTCTTTTCAAATGATTTTACAAGACGAAGCATAAATAAATTGCTAGTTTTGGCTGTGCTGTAATATTTCTTTTCAGTCTCATAGAAAACACTCGATCACCAATGGCTTTTTTGACATGTTAAATTAAACGCTAAAGTGAATATATTGATTCCTGGAGCTATACAATATTGAACGGACCTATTCATATTTTACAAAAACATTCTAAAATGAAAAATCTACGTAGTGAAATAAATATAACGTTGTACCAACTTTTTTTGAGATGAAAGTTATAATCAATCTCAGTGGAGACTCTAGATTGAGCGATTTGAACTGTCTTCTTAATATATACATTACACTCACTTGATAAAAGTCTTCTTCCCAACAGAACTCTTATGGATTTCGATTGTTTCCCAGGTCTCGCGTACCAGGTACTTTTGAGCCGTAGTGAGCGGAAATACAGAGGCCTTAAATTTATCTCTGTGGCGACTCGACGAAGATCCGCATCCCATATTCTTGTTTATATTTTGATGAAATAGCTGGCAGACTTCTTGACAACACCTGTAACGATTTGAAAAGACGAATTGAAAATCTGTGTTTACCCTGAAAAAACACTACAACTCGGCAGATTTGCTTCTTGACATAAATAGCTCGATCTGGCGTTGCTTCTGTCAGCCCAACATTGAACAAATCATTTTGTATTGGAGATAAAAGAGCGTTTTACAATAAGCTGAATCTGATTGGCACCGATTGTAAAACTCTGACAATTGATGCTGCATGCAAATTGCAAACATGCTAAGTGATTTTTCGTCGCCGTAAGGGAGACCCCACTTGTTTGAAGCAAATTAAATTGGGCAAAACATTGCAAGACAAAAGTCCATTCGATACGACAAATGAATATATAATTTGAAATTATTCCACTATGAAGAAATTAAAAACTAACATGAACGGCCTGAAAGGAGTACCCCTGACTGAAAGACTCATAACTCGGGAAATATCCTATTTTCGTGCTGTGAGCGTCTAAGTGCATGATGACCTTTTCGAGCAATATCATGGTCGCAGCTCGTGCGGTCAAAAAAGCTACTCGCAGTAAAGTTGGCTAACCCTTTAATTCTGAGCCACATGCGGTCAATAAATTGCGTCTTGCACATATCTGATTACTCTTAATTTCTGGTTCTTGCAATTTATATAAACCATTTTATGTCCTCCGTAGTTACTTCCTGTTATACTGCGTTGCCATTAAAAAAAACTAGTGGATAATCTTTCCTTTGTTCTGTATTTTGTATTGTCTGTTTTTTGTCCTTTTTATTGCATTTTGGTGCTTTGGCCTGGTTTTTAACATTTAGAATTTGTCTCTGTTTTAATATTTGGTTTTTTTCTGCTTTTATCAACATTCGTCATGAGCTTTTAATGTAATTCCTTTTTTTTTTCGTTCTTCTTTATCTCCTTTACTTCTGACTTGTGGTTTGCCTTTTTAGAATATTTTTATCTGTTTCCTGTTTTTTTTTTTATCACGTACCAAATTGGGGAATGTTAGTTGTTTTCGTTAGTAGCTTTTATGTTGTGTACACGTCTCAAGTTTTAGTTTGTATTTTGTTATCGTTGTTGTGTTTTTGTTGTCTTCTTCACCTACTGGTCGGTAGCTGGTCAATTTTTTTACTCCTAGCTCCCCATGAAAACACGCAAAATATTTATCGTAACCAAAATCAGAAAACTTTCATTCCATAATGTTGTATTGCTTAATGACTGTAGTTTTGTTTTCTTATTTTTTTGCTCTGACTCGTTCGGTTTGTGACACGTGAGGATGATAATTTACACAAAGCTAAAAAAAAAATCTCTCCAAATCTTTCAGTTTGATTTATCTTGCTTAACCGACATTGGGCTACAAGAAACTGTGTTGGATTACCTAAATGGTGCGTTATTACCCACGTCAGCGGTGCTACACGTCTATTACGTGCAATCAGCCAAATAAAACAGTTCCACTGTACCTATGAGAAATTAGTAAACGAGACACATGCACGCATCTCATACACGAAATAAATGGCTAATTTTCCTTTTTTCTTTCATCGTAATCTATCTCTATGTTACTGAGAGACATTCAAATTTTTTTCTACTCGTTTGTTTCTTGCCGAATGAAAGCGTAGCAAAAATTTGCGAATGAATTGAAATAGTCGTGTGAACTACCCGCCAGCGGCTAATAATTTCACACCTGCTTGGAGAAGTTGACAGAAAAATTTAAAATAATTTATTTTTTATGGATCATAATAACAAGGCCCTCTAAATGCTACAAGTCAAACTACAGGAAAACTCATAAGTCTTTTTTTCTTTGACTCGTTTGCTAATATAATATACAACCATAACTGTAGTTTTCCCGAGTAAAACTTATTGATAATACAAAGCTGTTTTCTTCGAGGGTGAGTTTTAATTTTTTTAAAATTTGCAAGGGATAGGTTTCATTTTCGATCCATCAATGACCCATAAATCTTCTTAAACAGTATGAATATACGTGTAAAAGAAATACCATGGGTGACACGTCCGTTCCAATATGTCGTTAAGCGTGGAAAATAGCAACAAAGCTGGCAACGTTACAAATCTTAGAGAGAAAACGTTAAGACCCAATTCTGAAGTTTGTTTGTGTTTATGAATCGACCAAGAGGAAAACTTACATTTTAAATGAACTGAAACCTACTGTGAATTGAAATCATTTCTTAATACAACTCTACGAGGAGAAAGGAAGTTGTAAAGCCTAGCTAATTATATTCTGGCGCAAAATATAAGTTCTTCGCGTCATATAAATTATTTTTAGAGCTATTCTAGATAAGATATCATTACTCAAATTTTTCCCTCTAAACGTCTAAACTCTGTCGCAAATTAACAATGAAGTCGGAAAAAATTTGATCCCAAACTACATCTAATAAATTTCTCCCATTTGAAGCTTAATTTTAAAAATTAACTCGCCAACTAACTTGCATCTAATCAAAAGAAACATTGTGTTATTAACCTCACCACGGAGTTTTTATCTTGATCAGTCTGCGGTTGAAAGTAGGCCGTCGATGTATTTTTTTTATGTTATATATTGTAATATTCTGTCCAACTAAAGAGTTCTGCTCTAATTAGCCAAAAAATAAACTCGACATTTCCATTACAACCACCATGCTAGCAAATTAGCATATCTATCCAAATTTTGTTTTTCAGAAATTTAACCCAAATCGGTTTCAGAGCGGGACAGTATATTTCTTATGAACAAATTACTCACGTCATTTCGGTTAATTTTTATGACAATAATATGTGATCATTTTTGGAAAGAAACAAATATCAAATGAATAAAAACAAAACATGATCCACGATAGAGACGCAATAAAAGTTTCATTACAAAATTTGCATTTCAAATTATACTTTTAAAAGTATACACTTGCAATGCAAGTAATGAACTGTGTCGCCTACTCACTTATAAAATGAAAAAGGTTTGTTTAATACATATAAATATCTGCTTAATCTTCAAGACAGAGTTTGAACGTTTTATTTATAAATATTTATACTTGAAGAGAGATAAATACTGACAGCTTGAATTGGCTATCATATAACACACTGGAGGAAATCAAACAGGATATGTTCTTTGGAGAGAGCTAAATTGTCAATGATGATACACGTGCACTTCCGAAATTTCCGAAGCTAAGAAATCCATTGAATTCAAGCAACCTGCTCTTCTCGCAATTTTACAGAGGTAAATTTTTAGGAGTCGCATTTCTTTCAATTTATTTGGGAAGACTTTCCCACAAGTTCGGTCAATCTCCATTAAATCTGCTTTTTATCGCCATAACAGGTGATTTTAGCTTTAATGCACTTCACTCGTAATTGTGTGCGGTATTTTAACGTTTTATAAAAGAATGAAATTTCATCCATAATTATAGATTAGTATCGTACGTGATATAAATTAGAAATAACCTACGGTCGAAGTTAATGCTTTCTATCCATCTGTCATTAAATTGCGTTCATTAGTTATCGAGAAAACGAATAGAAAGTAAGAGAAATAACACTTGAGTCAGCTTACGTTTTGCTGCGATGAAAAAGGGGAAACTATTTACGCGTTTGGTTTCATAGCAACGAACATCCTGATACAAACAGGATCAACAATAACAGAGCTGTATAAAGCAATTAAAATGATGAACTGTAGAATTTCAATACTGATAAATTCCAATGTCAGAGGATAAAGTTATTACCAGTAAGCTAGTAACTCTAAGGCGATATCAACTTCCATAAAATGTTCTAAGCGAAATGGTTAGATTTTCATTGCTTTCCGTTTTTGTTTTTGTTTTTTTTTTAAAGCCTGAACGAGAAATAAAACCGACGGTTATATGCTTAAACTATCAACTTTTACGCAGAATAACTTCTGAATCGGTGATTTTATGGTCAGATTATCCAGAAAACTTACACAATTAAACATTTAACAAATGGAGAAGCCTTGGCTGTGCTCTGTTCTGTTGTAAAGCACGTAGGAAGCGGTTAGAGCACGAAAGAAGTGTAGTGTCTTGACGTTTACAAACCTTTGTTTGATTCTTCTTTTGCTATTTGCCGACTTGCCTGTTCCCAAATTTAACTTTCAATTGAAGAAAAAAAAAATTGGGGAAAATTCCCGGAAAAGGTCGGACATTGTACAATTTGGCAGATGGCGTGACAGCTTTAGCTCAGCTTTATGCTCTATACTCTCATAGAGCACGCTCTTTCAACCAATGACAGCACACGTTATATCCGAAATTTATTATAATTAATGTTATTACTAGGAAGCAACAATTTTTCGCCCTAGGGATAAATATTTAGAACGGGTTAAAAAAATAGGGAAACGCGATCATCATTTCAATTCTAAAACTTAATTTCTTCAACAACATTCACAAAATATGGACAAAACGACAAGAATTGAAGACGACCAAAGCCGATTGCATCGGTTTTCTTTGAAAACGTACGATAGACTTTCAAAACTTTATCTCATGGCTTATGGAAGCACCGTTTGTCGCTTTTGTTCTGGCATCGTCATGTTGCTATGGCGCGAGTAGGCTAGCGGTTAAGTTGCCTAGGTAACATAGACTCCCACAGAAATAACAGAATTTCAACCTCTTTAACTACTACTCTGACGACAAATTGTATTTCAGAAATTCAATTGTCGTACTTCTTCGTAACTTTGCGTTAGTATTGTCGAAACGAAATTTAAATATTTATTCTTACGTTGAAGTTTTACTTAAGTTACCAAAGGTGTCAAAAACAGAACGCTTTTTCATAAATATTGAGAATCCTCGGACTAAATGAAATATGCTAATTTAGGAGCATTGAGTTGATTTTTTTAGAAAAGTGACACCTTTTCGGGAATACATTCAAACAATCTACCAAGGGTATTTTTGAAGCTGTTCCTTCAACTGCGGATGACATCAATTACGATGTTAAACATATTTTCGAAGAGTGGAAATATTTGTAATCATCTCGAGTTAACATGTTTTCCAGCTCAATCTTAAGTTTTTCCCCGTCATATGAAATTACTCCAAACACACCTGTTATGCCTCAGATCTACGGTAGAAACAAAAAATTAGCAAAACACATTGAGTCTGGATAAATATAGCTACTCTTTCGCGCCAAAGATATTTAAATTTATTCAAACTAAAAATTTACTTCGTGCTTTTTCTAGGGCGACATGACCATACTTTAATTTATTGGCTATTAGCTGAGAGGAAATATATTTTTGAGGAAATTGCGCAAGACACTTGACGAAAGGCCAAATGCTTCAAGTTGAAGTTCCTAATTATTGATGTCTACATAGAAATGCACTAAGCAGTCATTGCGGGCAGTGGAGATACTAGTTTACATAGATTATGTCAACTTCCTTCAGCACCCTAATTACAAATTTTGCAGTCACATGTAAACCGTGGCGACCAAAGAACGTTTTGGATCATTTTTTACAAAAATATGGGTTGTTCTTCGTCTTTAAGTCAAAAGCATGCCCATATCTCGCTTCCCTTGTCCGAGCCACAGAAGTATCTTGTCCGAGAAACTTGGGAAACGATCGAACAACACAAAAATATGGTCGGGAAGAAAACGTTTCTAAGGTAAACACTTTCGTGTTTTGTCGTTTACTCAATTTCCTCAGTTGACTTTGTTTTCCTTTCATCATTTTTTTTCGCTGTAGATAGTTGTTCTTGTTTTTTTTTCTGTCGCTTCGTTGAAACCTGATATGGGATGATATCTTCTGAGCACTTGCATTTGAATTGCGTGTTGAGTTAATAAACCTTCCTCGGGATAGATAAAACTTAACCGGGAATATAATTTTTTGACTCTGGAAGACAACTTTTACAGTGATTTTTTTTTCTCTCGGTTAAGGCTGTAACGAAGCGCTCTTGTATGGAAGGATAAGATCTAGAACCGATGCGCACTTCTTGCATGTGAATTTCTTACTTAATTTGCGATTCTCGAGAGCTTTCTACTTGTTGCAATTCAAATTTGCAAAAACGGACGCGACTGGAAATAATCGCATTTATCACCTCGAGGAATCGCTCGCTGAGGCTCTTGTTCATTTCGCAAATGCAATTTCCGAAAAAGGAAAAAAAAGAACGTGAGTGCAAGTAATCGTATTTATTGCCCAGAGGAATTTTCCACAAGACGTTTCTACTTTCAGAACTAACTGAACAGATGCACAAAAACGAGTATATTTTAGTAAAAAACAGGGACGGAAGAAACAGGTGCAGGAGAAATTACTAAAGAAACATTGCTGCTGGGATGTAGCTTGTATACAATGTCGCCCAAAGCTGTCAACTAGTTGTCCTTTTACGGTAACAACGAAAAAAACACTATCCAAAAAAACGGGGGCTGTAATTGGAACAATGTTCTTGTCCAAAGAATTTTTGAGCATTCCTACTTCAATTTTTCATTTCATAGCGTGAAACGCCTCGTAGACTCGTCCATCAGTGAAATTTATCAGATAACTTATACGCCTGCCATGAAAATATATCTCGACAGCCTGAATTTCCGTCATAAAAGTCAGAATGAAAAATTGCATTTTCATTTCTGCTAAAAGAATACCAATTAAAATTCCGCCTACTGACAACCTAGTCACAACTAAACTCTTGCGATTAATTCTGATTATTAAACTTCGACGTGGTTTTCAATAAAAGTAATCATTCACTGTAAAATATTCTTAGGACAATTTTGCGACAGAATAAGACGTTTTAAACTAGACGATTGATGTTGATCTTTCACTGAATACAAACGTGGATTCATGTTTTTATTTGTTTACTCCCCGTTGCCATGTCTCAGGCGAAGAAACAGGCATTATGTTAAGAAGAACGCATTATTTCCTTCAAGCTATACCACCTAAATAAAAAAAAATGCGACGCAGCTTAATTTCATTCTAGTTAAATCTGGTAAAAGGCGAGTTATTTCTATGATCAAAATATTAGTTTGTGACCATCGGCAAACTATGGCTGGTGCATGGCTCTTCTGATTTACAGGATCGTTTGAAAAAGGGAATGCACCAAACATTTATCATAGTCAAACAGGACAAATATAAATGTCACGAAGACGGTTACTGGGCAAAAAATCGACCCAGACCTCTCTGGATTTTTCTGCTCCTCTCCTTTAGCGCGGTTTACTGTCGCGCTTAGTTTCTTATCTAAACGCCTGGAACAGGCTAGTTGCTCACAGGTTCTCTCTAACTTCTCTCAGATTTTTTGAGATGAATCCCGACTATCAAAAGCTGTTTCCAGAGTTTAAGGACGTAGACCCAGTTGAACTAGAGAACACGAGTGCTTTATATGGACACGCTAAGCGAGTCATGAAAGCCGTGGAGAATGCCGTGTCTTCACTAGATGATGCGTTTAGCTTCGCTGCGTACCTGGAGGAACTGGGAAGGAGGCATATAGCTCGCGCATTAAAACCGTCTTACCTTGATGTAAGTATCACTAAACTGTAACGAGTTGGTATGTCAGCATGACGACTACATGGGTTGCGGGGATATATAAATGATAATTTTTCGAAATAAAGGTTGAAGGAATCCCTGCGTTAAGGTAACCCTCAGCTGAACCATTTGTAAATCAGTGCTGATTATCTTTAAAGAAACTCTTTGTTTGGTAGTTTCATTTGCGATGAAAAGGATACAGCAAGCAAAACGCGAACAAAATATAAACCAATATTGCTGCAATTGGAAAATTAATCGACCAAAAATGGGACCTGCCTGGAGAACGGGTGATGGGGGGACAGGGGGGACAGGGGGGACAGGGGGAACTTTGGTCTCTCGATATCCCACGTCTATTTCCCACGCCTGTGACACTACGGATCTCTTCTATCTAAATTCCGTTTAAAGATAATATTTGCATTTTGTCCTTCAGTAGTATTTTGAATGAGAGTATTTGAATTTGAAATAAACGTCAGACCGCTATCTGATCAATATAAAGAGTTAAGAATCCGCCAATCAATGGCATCAACAAATATAATAACACTTATCTTTTCTCTAGCTTGATCGTTTTACTTGACGCGTGTAATGTATGTAATTTCAGGGCAAAACTAACAAAAAAATCATTCAAGTAAATATTACCAAAAGAATAATTTTAAATGTAAACAAATCCAAGTTTAGCTACGTTCAGTTGAAATGTCTTTACATAACTCAAATTTGCTCCAGCATTTAATTCTTTAACCCCAAAGGGTGATTAGCGTCTAATTTCTCCTTACAATATCACCACTGAATCAGGCATTTGAGTTACGAGAATAAAGAAAATGATCACTAGCCAAATAAACCCTTGATTGTTAAACAAATTCTCCTTGTCAGCACCTTTGTAAATGTTTAGAGGACAGTATGGAGAATATGAAAACTGATGTTGGGGTGTAAATGATTAAAGAAAATGTAATCATCAGTTATCCTTCGCGAAACAGGTACCATCAACAGATCCCTAACTTACTGCTAATAATAAAATATCTTGTCAATTTTTATTTATATTTTTAGGCAATGCAGGAAGCACTGATGTACAACTTGAAAGATTTACTACGCAGCCAATGGACAAAGGAAACAGAAGAGGCCTGGAACAGACTTTTTCGTTTCATTTCTTCAACAATGGTTAAAGGACTTCAGTCGCCGTGAGAAAAATTCCGCCCGTGAAGTAAACGGGGTAAAACGTGGTTTTAAATTTTGTATTAAGCCATTTCGGCGAAAAATAAAAAGCGCTGATATTATATGGACAGTGAAAATGAACTTGAATCTGGCATATGTTAAAATTCGCCAGCGAAGCTTTTGTATTTTACCTTTTTGAGTATTTATCGCGAAATTGGAAGGTGTTAGAGTTGAAATCTTCAGAATGAACTCGAAAAATTTCTACGTCCTACATCCTCGATAAATCAGTCGACAACCCCATCAATTTTTTGGCTATTTTTTTCTCGAATGCAGTCGGTCGTTTAATACGGCAGTAACTTGAAAAAACAAAGATGGATAACATAAACATGCCAAGTAATTTCAGTCATTAAAAGTTAAAAAAACATAACTCATTGACTTCTATGTAAATTATAATGTCTTCTGGCCCTGGGAGTTCACATAAATGAAAATACTGATTAATCTTTTTCTATCAAGTCACGGACAGGAAATTATTGAAAATACAAATCTTGAAGCAAAGTTTACATAGTCAGAATTACAAAGATGAACATACCTCTCAAACTCTGAACAACATCTTGTAAAATTGGTTTGTTTCCTTCGATCGTTAGTTTATTGAAAATGACAGAAAGGTCTCATTCCATCTGCTTCTTGTCGTTGTGTGATAAATGAAGTTTTAATTGCTTTTTACATCCGGTAACCTGGTAGTCAAAGGAAACCGATAGCTCTTTCTTAAGAGCTCGATTTCAAGACCCTTTCAGTTCAAAATGCTGTTATTTATGTTCCCTTCAAATAGCGCAACGCTATTGGCTACAGTTGAAAGAGAGTTCATGCTGTGAAGGTTGATATGTTAGATATAAAGGAGACTAAACAATTGAGCACGAATAATGTGCTTTGAAAATCAATACCCATCTTTCGTTATGTTTCAGACCAACGCGTTGTGGCTTATAAAATAAACTATTTCAACCATTGACTGAATAAGAGACGAAAACACCGGAGTCGCCAGGAAATTCAGAGAATTTTCATCTTGGAAGGATACTGTCAAAGAGCTGTCTAGTTCCAAACTAAATGTTTCTGCTATATAAAACAATTCATTCAGTTAAAGACCTCCTATGAAAACATTAAGAATAATTACGAACCTTCTGGATATGCCCCTGGGTATTTCCAGATTAAATGACATACTCAAGGCTTAGGGTTCATCAAGCTCCAGTGTTTTTAGAACAAAATGTATTCCAATCACATCAGCAAAACATGCCAAGTTAAACCGGGTTTAACTAAATGAAATTCAGCTACAGAAAATTAAAAAACTGAATCTTATTCATTTTTGTCTTCATTTTTCTGAATCTGAAGATGAAAAGAAATCAGTCTAAGCATCTTTGACAAAAAAAAACAAATCAAAACAAAACAAAAAAAAAACAAACAGAAAAAATGACTTGAATGTCTTGGTCCTGCTGTGAATGAGATAATAAATTGATCTCCGGTTGTGTATGGTAAGTTGTTTTGAGTTAGGAGAGACTCAGGCTAAAGTAAGTGCCCCATGAAGTTTTCAGGCTTTAAAATACATTAACTATCAATGAGCTACAAACGATTCATTCAACAGATAGCACCATAGTATCCTATGTATGTAATGATATGATATCTTTAAATGAAAAAACCTACAGTAGGAACCATCATAAACTTTATTTCTGATTAATTTGTTGTAAATATCTCACATTGTACTATATTTCTTACGCATTGTCACGGATTCCTATGAGAACAACATTTTGTGGATGTATTTGTGATGAGAAGTGAAATAAATCCTTTTCGCTATCAAGAGGTCAATTTACCATTTGCTATTTTGAGAAAAATTCCTTATCTTATATCAACTGAAAAAGTTAGAAAAAGGCTGAAAGAACAATAGAAAGCCATCTGCTATTAGCAAATCCTTCCTTGTTGCTCTGCTGGTAAGAATATGGAAAAGTACTTGGAAAGGAATATTGCTAGCTTTCTTTGATAAATTTTGTGGTAAATTGTGTATAAAAACCTTGAAAAATAATTAATTACTCGTAGTGTTAAAATGAAGTTAGAACAACCTTTGTTTTGATAGAATGACTGACCAGTGCAACATTGCTTAGTGACAGAAGAAAGACTGATTTGGTAGAAGTAGGTTATAAAGGACATACATTGTTCCTTTTCAATTACTTGACAGGTTTGATATTAAACTGACATTAAAATGACGTCATTAGCATGACGTGCAAACCTCTAAGAAAGTAAGAGAAGATACAATTATTATAATGGCTCTTACGAAGTTTTCGTTTCTCGGAAAACTAAGCCTCAATTGCTCAAGTCTTTTATGTTCCTTATCGGAGAGTTCCAATCAATTAACATTATTTTTTCTTCAGCAATTATCCAAAAACTTTCAATTATATGAAATGATCACGAAAGGATTTCTTCTGGTTTACAACTGTTGGTACACAATGAAGAACTCTTTTACCTTGTTCCCTATTCCCTGTGAAAAAATCCTCATGTTTTCAAACTGCGCTGTTTGGTACATTAAAAAAAATTGGATCTTCGATACATCAAAACCCACGAAAATTTATTTTAATATTGGTTGGTGTTGTCCTTATATTCGAGATATGAAAAATGCTTCCATATCTTTTCCGTTTAAATTTAGTGCACCTCGATTTTCACTTCCTTTTTTTGGACAAATTAGAGAAATATCCATCAAAAAAGAGAAAAACGCTGTTTGTACTACTGGAAAAGCAAACATATGTTTCCTACCTGTAAATTGTTATTTCCTTTAGTCGTACTTTAAAAACCCGATTGGGATTAATTTTCAATATGGCCTGTTGCTAAAGGCATATTTGTATATAAACAAAAAAAATCAAATTGGAAAATACATGATAATTTATGCGCAATTAAGTTGTGCTGTGCGTCAGAAGTTCGGTTGTCAATTGATTTCCAAGAGTTTTGTCGCAATTTCCCTGTTAACGAAAATGAAAAACATTACGTGAAAGATTCATTTTAATGCCAAAAGTGTACCTGTATGTTTGTGATGAAATCTTATTTGATAACCTTTGAGTATTTCATGATCACGAATCGTTAGGCTTAAGCTGACAGTTTAAAAAAAAGCTTAATGATCAATATGTTACAATTGTTTGTCTTTTAACTACACAATACTAATTGCAGCCGCACGGGACAAGAGTAAAGTAAAAGAAGCACAAGTCGTCAAACGACCTTTTCTTCTATAACTCTTGCACAAGATAGCTCTAGCAATTGTTTTTATTTCACAAAACTTAAATGTCTGGAATAAAAAAACAGAAGTAACTTTTAAATCTACTTTGTCTGTTTTAACTTTGAATTCAATATGTTTTCAATTCTGCATTAACGATTTAAAATTATCACTGCCTTAAAGCTTCCGACATACCAAATACAAAATTAATATGTTTACTACATGGAGGATAAAGTTTATATACAGCCGAGGAAAATAAAGTTAATCATGTAAGAAATTTTTAAACTGTCTTTGTCCTTTTTTAAGATTCAGTGCTTTTTTCAAACTAAAAACATTTCACAATTGGGAAAACAGCGAAGCTTTTCTTTTTCACTTAATTCATTTGATGTTGTAGATACACATAAAAAAGGGTTTGCCATTTAAAAAGTAACGTCAAATAAGGCTGGAGGACAAGAACCTTACGGATTTCGACACTTACCTTTCTTTATGTCACAAATCCTAATTTGTCTTCAAAATACACATTTAAAATCTTCAGAGGAAGAAACATTTGCAATTCAAATATAAATCCAAAGAGTTCTTTAACAAAGTGGCATTGTAGTATTAAGTTTTTAAGTGTCAGAAATTCAAAACAAAAGATGAAGTTGAGCCAGGTTAGGTCACCTGTAGAAGTGTTGAACACCTCTAAAATTGTATGCACAATCAAATGACTAAAGTAAACAAACCGAACTACATCATTAAAACTCGCTTCTGTATTATGGGTTAAGTGCTCTGATAAGAAAGGTTCATGATTTTCTTCCCCAATTGGTCCCTAGGTGAGGGTTAGGATCAGGGTTTGGTAAAAATGCGTCTTAGTGTCCGATTTTTGAAACTTAAATTTCGTTTCTTAGAGCAGAAATGTTATCGGATTGAAACTCGCTGTAATGGTGCTCTTTTCATGGTTCATCTTTGGGTTTCCATTCTAACTTTGTAGTTTTGTAGCAATTTGCAATTTAGTTATGAAAGTAATTCATAGTTTCATTGGCTTTATTTACTTCGCTCCTTGATTGGTTCATAGAATTCGAACCACCGTGCCCTCAACCAATCAGACGGAAGACTTAAACCAACAGTGTCACGGTTATTCACGTTTTTTCCGCGCTTTTGGCGGCTTGTTTGTTTTTAATCTAGGTTCTGATTGGCTGTTACTACTAATCTGGTTTTGGTGCCTCGACGCCTAACTTCGGAAAGGTGCTCTTTTAGTAGTCTTAGTAATATGTCGTCGGCTATTTACACTTTTACAGTAAAATTAAAGGTATGAACCCGGGGTAACACGTGATCGTGTATTTTGATGGTCCAAGTGATTGTAGTCTTGAGAAGGGTCAAGTGAATGGTTATTGTCAGTCGATTGTTCTAAGTCCGGTTCGTATAAACTGATTGGTCAGTTTTGCCGTGATGCTATTGGCTGTAAGACTCAAGTAGCGTAAGTCGGTCGCGATTGGTCTGATTCCATCCGTTAGTAAAGTTCAGTCGTTTTGTTCGTTTCGTTTGTAATGTTAATGTCGTCAATGAGTCGTTTGTATGGTGCTGGTAGTAGGGGAGTCTGGTCCGCGTACGCAAACCAGCTTTTCTGAGTCGGTTGTTGAAAGTAGTTAATACTGTAGGTTAGGCATTGCACAGAGTCCCAGTCAATAATGTGCTTCGTATGAACCCCTCTCTGTTCTTCGGTTCGCCTTTGATTTTGATGTTTGTTTTTAACGGAAGTAGTGTGGTGATGAGTTTGTGGGCGACGTGGATATTAAAGGATTTTAGAATTCCAGGGATGTTCTTGTACGTGCCTTTATGTACGATACGGTTGCTGTAGTCGTAGGAACTGCGTTGTGGTTTGTTTCGTTAGTTGCAGTAGGTCGCTGAGTGTTTCGTCGGATGAAGTCTGCGTTCTAGTTGTTCGTTGACAGGGAGCGGTTTATAAGATCAATTGCTCCGATTGCCAAGCCTTCTACATCG